CCAGGAAGAAAGGCCAACAGCGTCAAGCCAACCTCTGGCTGAGACCTTTCAATGCTCCCACAGCACCCATGAGAGACACACAGAGAGGCAGAGATGCAGGCAGAGGGAGAAGCAGGCTCCCGGGGGGGGGGGGGGCTGGGGCAGGACTCAATCCCAGGACCCCTGGGTCACGCCCAGAGCCGAAGGCAGATGCTCAACCGCTGAGCAACTTTTTTTTTTTAATTTTTATTTATGATAGAGAGAGAGAGAGAGAGGCAGAGACACAGGCAGAGGGAGAAGCAGGCTCCATGCACCGGGAGCCCGACGTGGGGTTCGATCCTGGGTCTTCAGGATCGTGCCCTGGGCCAAAGGCAGGCGCCAAACCGCTGCGCCACCCAGGGATCCCCGCTGAGCAACTCTTAAACGAGTAGAGGAGCTGTTCCAGGCCTCACCCTGATCAGAGGACTGCGGCCCTCAGGCTTCACCTCTGTCCCGCCTCAGACACCCTGACCCCGCGAAGCTGAATTCCCTGCAGTCCTACCTGCATGCTGTCACTCAGGGCTCTTGTAGCTGCTCTTCCCTCTGTCTTCAGGGACTTCCCACCCTCTTCCCATCAACTTCCGTCTCCCCTTCACTGGAGCCTCCTGCTTTTCTGTCAGCTTTCAGGGAGTTCAGAGCCTCATGGGACTTGAGAGGGCTCTTATTGCCCCACTTATGCTACAGTGCAACGGCCTGTCTCCTGTATGTCTCCCCAACAGGCCTCAAGGTTCTTCTAAGATCGGGACTGTGTGGTTCACCATTAGAACACTACGTCTTAATGCCAGGCCTGCTGCAGAGTAGGAACACCTGAAACGCTTGTTGAGTGGCCAACTGAACCAGTGCTGTACGAGGGAAGCATCGTATTCATTTTCACCCAAATGAACTATGGACGTTTAATTGGCCTAGGCTTTTATGAATTTAAAATATTTTTTTGAAATTTTATTTATTTATGATAGGCACACAGTGAGAGAGAGAGAGAGGCAGAGACATAGGCAGAGGGAGAAGCAGGCTCCATGCACCGAGAGCCCGACGTGGGATTCGATCCCTGGTCTCCAGGATCGCACCCTGGGCCAAAGGCAGCGCTAAACCGCTGCGCCACCCAGGGATCCCTGGTTTTTATGAATTTAAATCCCGTTTTTTTCCCCATGGAGAATAAAGAGTTCATATAAAGATTCAATAGCTCCACATGGAGAAAATAGAGGACAAATAGAACCACAGTGTCAAGCAAAGGAAAAAAGGACATTATTTTCCCAAGAACAAACAACTCTGGGAAGGCATGCTGGAGGTAATCTCTGTAGAACTTGGGGAGCGCCACCATCACTGGGACAAGGAGCTGGCATTATAGAGAGTTAGAGCAGGAAGAGAGTCTTGGAAGGCATTTGACCTATTCCTCATTGGCTCAAAAAAGGGCTTGTGACTTGTCCAAAGACACCAGGGCTAGATTCTGGTCCAGTGCACAGGATTCGAGAGCTGTCTTAGGTATGTGGGAGGTGTCTTGCTGAGACCCGTTTTGGGCTTCCGACATACAGAGCTGTAAGATAACACTTGTTTTAAATCATTGAATTCATGGTAATTTGTTATAGTGGCAAAGAAGAGTAATACTGGACACACGCAGGCACGTACCCTGCATACCCCTAAGCAGGCCAAGTAGACAGGCGTCCCAGCTCTCTTCTATTCTTTCTTCTCACTCTTTCGTAGTACTTTTACCCTTTCAAAGATCCCCTGAGTTTTATTTTGATTCAATTTCACTTGGATTGGCCAGTAGAGATGGGAACAGGGGGCTTGCAGAGTGATTGGCTCTGGGCCTCACACCTGAGGAACAGCAGGGCCCTTTACAGCAGGAGGATTGGCCTGGGCCCGTGCCACCCTACACGAAGCCGGATTGACAGAGAGCAGTCCCATGCCAATCTGTTTAGAATCTAGAGAATCCCTAGAGTCTCTGCTGGCCAGGAGACCAGGCCCAGCACTGAGGGACTATTGTTACAGACCCTGGGCAAACAGCCGTGGCAGTCCAGGAAGCGGGAAGGGTAGTATTTACACATGGTTCTCCACGAAGAGCAGGGCCTCTAGAGCACACAATGAGGTCCTTGTAACAGGTTCTCTCACGAATACTCCAAAAAGCTCCAACCATTCCCTCGGAGTACATGCAAAAGCTGAGGGTAGTGAGGTAGGACCAGTGTCATTCAGATGTGTTACACCTGCATGTGGTCTGTTCTTGAACCACTATCCCACGTTTCATACTTTATTTAGCCTCACTTGGATATCTAGGGAAATTTTTCTCTCTGCCTTCCACTTTAGGTGTGTGGTACCAATGCTGCTGACCTGGGAAACTGAGTGGTGCTTAAATTAAGTCAAATGAATATTGAACGAGAAGGGGTGTGTGAATTCAGATGGGTGTTCTTTGAAAGCTGACACAGAGTGCTGAGGGGGATCAGAATGGGTGCTAGAGCCTGAATCTGACATTCCCCTCTAGTTGCCAGATACAGAAGCAACATTACTTAGTGCCGCGGGGTACATAAGCCAAACAACTCCTTGCAAGTCAGGCAAGGGGTAAAATGCCTCAGAAACACTTTAATTATCATTATTCCAGGGAAGTAAAGAAATGCCAAGGGGATACGCGTGGCAATGCCTTGGGTTTACGCGAAATGCAAAGTAACTGTGGAGATTGAGTGTCAGTACGAGTTTCTCAGATCAGTGGAGTGCTGTGAGCTTCCTGGCTTGGGGCTGGATCTAATATGGGCAGATGTTTTGAGGCTTGGTTTGTCCAGTATGATGTTTGAAAAAAAAAGTGTTCAGTGGTGAGCAAAGTATTATTAAATACCCAGATGAAGCTAGATAGCAGGCCAAGTTGGCGGGGTTTCATAACAACTTTAAAATGTGTGGCCTGAAGTAGATCTGGGGAAAAGCAGACTATGTGGATTATTCTGGATTGGCTAATTGGATAGTACACAAGGCCAATTGGGCATTGGAGTGTTGAAGTGGTAAACAGTAACCCATAGCACTGCAGAGGCTGGATAAGGACAGAGTTAAATGTACCTAGTGGAGGACTGCAGGACCTGGTGGCAAAGGAAGGTTGGGGAAAATTATAGATATCAATAAGGCAAAGAGTTGGCTCAAGGAGGAGGAGGAGAGGGAATGCAGTTAAAAAACAGGATGGATTTCCAGGCATGGTTCTTCAAGTGTGGTTCCTGAACAGCAGCGTCCTATTGCCAACCTAAAATTGTCACGAGGCAATAATCAAGAATGTTTATTTGAGATCAAAGAATTGCAGTTCAGGGTACACAAATTTGGGTCGTAATGCAAATAGTGTGCCATTAGAGAGCAAAGTCAGAGGTGTTTAAAGGAAAAAGGAAAGTTTGTATAGGCTGTATACAAATAATTTTTTTATTGGTGTTGAGGGCAGAAAGCTACTTTTTTTTAAGATTTTATTTATTTATTCATGAAAGACACACAGAGAGAGGCAAGACATAGGCAGAGGGAGAAGCAGGCTCTCTGCAGAGAGCTGATGGGGACTTGATCCCAGGACCCCGTGATCACAACCTGAGCTGAAGACAGATGCTCAACTGCTGAGCTGCCCAGGCATCCCCAGAAAGCTACCCTGACCCAATATAATTGGTTGCCAAGGCTATTGCTATGCAAAGTCTCCTACTGTAGCAAGATGCAGGTGTTCAGGTCCAGTCCTTAGAATATTTTTGGTTTGTTCCAGTTCAAAACTTCAAGTTTCCACCAGTGAGGATATGCAAAAAGCCTGCATCCACTTTTATACTTCTTGACATGTTACCTCATTTCATTTCACCTTTCACAATATCAACTGGGAACTTGTTGGAAATTCAAATTCTTGGGACCTACAGAGTCAAAACTCTGGAGTTAGGTCTTAAGCAATTCCTGCTCTAACAAGTCTTACAGGTGATTCTAATGTATGTTAGAGTTTGAGAGCCAGTGGTCTAGAAAAAATAAATGTTTGAGATCTCGGCAGAGAGCAATATCCTCTAAAAAGGAGGTACAGAGAACTCTTATGCTGGTGCATGGCTGATGTGATATGAGGAGTCAGTGGTTAGAAGAAGAAGGGAATATTCAGGTGAGTCATCTGATGATTGAGGGTAAAATCAAGGGTTGGAATAAAAGGAAAAAAGAGATCCAGGTGCTCATATCATCAAAGAAAGTGAAAGTGAGTTTTAGAGGGTAGCATGTGAGGGTGAAGATTGAGGATGAGTAATATGTTGAGATATCAAATGAAAGAAACAGAACTATGATGAATAAAAGGTTTAGCCATGACAACAGTGAGCAAGGACCAGAATAGCCCCTATTTCCTCTCCTCTTTAGTTGGGAAAATGGGAAAAACTGGGACACCTGGGTGGCTCAGTGATCGAGTGTCTGCCTTCGGTTCAGGTCGGGATCCTGGGATCCGAGGATCAAGTCCTGCATCAAGCTCCCAGCAGGAAGCCTGCTTCTCCCTCTGCCTGTGTCTCTGCCTCTCTTTGTGTCTCTCTCATGAATAAAAAAATAAAATCTTTAAAAAAAAATGGGAACTAAGTAATTGTTCCATTAGCCAAAAGAAAAAGGAGCCAGAGAGTGTCCACCTGATTTGGAGGTAGTGATGGTGGCTGCCTAAGCTGAAGAAAGGAGGTGAGGATACGTGGGAGTTTTAATTTAGCCCACCACTTAAAGGAAACTAAGCTTGAGGATGAGTAGAAAACAGTTAAATGGTGGAAGTTCTCCTGAGTGGCTAGCATAACTAACATGGCCCAAGAAAACAGTAGACTGGAAGGTCACATCAGTGGACCAGCCTCCATTAAGTGAATGGAGGACATCTAGTGGATGGATAAAACAAATACATGCAAACAAGATATAATCCAATTTTCAATATAATGTATTGACACAAACTCTTTGGACAAGATAAAAAAAAATGGTGGCATGGGAAGTTGGCTGTTATATTTCCACAGGTTACAACCACAGCTGTTACAGACCATGTAGAGGACAAGGAACATTTCTGATGGGAGAAGCAGGAATAAAGATAAACCCACACTTAAAATCTGCAGTTATTGTTCAGGCAAGGAGTCATGGTCAAGGTGAATTTCCATTCTAATACAAAAAGTTAGGACAGCCCCCAAAATGCCAGTGTGACATTATTAAATAAGGCTGTATATTTTAATGGCATTCCTTTAATATTGAGAAAGAAAAAAGAGTTTTATAATTCAGTCAGAAAAAGTGATATAAGATATATGCTTTATTCCCATGGATTTCTGAAATTATAGATTTAAAAAAAAACTCTACCTTATTCAAATTTACCCCTGCTATTTAATATTATGCCAACCAAACTGACACAATCATTGCTCCCGAAAGAACAGATTATAAAATCTAATACATTGCAGCCAATTGGTTAACAACAACAACAACAAAAAACTAAAGAACATGAACTTTTACAACAATTTACAGAGCTCTTTTTTTTTTAACTTAATAAATAAGAAAAATATGCTTTGGATAAGGCATTGCTTCAGCATTTCTCAGAGAATAAGGCACACAATCACTAGCATTACAAATTACAAATGTGTAAGAAAATCTCAAGACAGCAAATGGTACTTAGGATACTAAAAAAAAAAAAAATCAAGTGTCTTCAGGGCACTGACTTTTATAACACAGTAACATTAAACTATGAAAATGTAAAATTTCACAGCAACTAAATTTTCCTTCTCTAATAAAGGTCAATCATTTTTAACAGATCAACCTGAAAGAACAAAGAAAAAGCAAATTTCCTAAAACCCCTTCATTTTCAAAAACATGTTTCGTCTCTCAGTATCAGGCAGATATTTTTAAAATTACTTAACAATATAATATTTTAAAATAAGTGAGCAAATAAATTGATAGCAACTAAAACAACTTTAATGGCACATTCAGGAGTTTACATTTGAAACAACATTACCGGTAAATCTTTTTTAGTGCCAAATCAAATTGCATGGTTATAAGCCAAGTATCAATATTTTGTTAATTTTTAACAAATACTTTGCTAAATTTAGTTATGTTTTTCAGAACAGTTAAAACCTTAACACATGAGAGTTTTGGGCAAGGATACTAAAAAAATAATACTTGAGTAGGATGTTACTACAGCCATTAAATTACAATAATTATTTCCTAAAGTGATTCCTGAAACAATAATCTAGATCTACTGTTAGTAACTTTTATGAGTATTATAATTAGTATCTTTTATGAAAATTATTTCTCACAAGGGCACCAAAACAGACTCTGCCAATAATCACGACTCTCTAAAGTACTTGGCTGATCAAACTTCCTTCAGGATCAACATACATGAAATAAAGAAATGGGAGTGTTCACTATACATCTTATTCATGATCTCATTTATTTTGGCTGTTTCACTATTTCGGTATCTCAAGAAAACGCTGATACAAATGCTGACTTTTTACAAACTAGTTGCCCTACGATTTGATCTGTTTTTCCTCCTGAAGTGGCCTGCCTTAAACAAATACCTCCAGAAAAACTTAACTGGATGTCAACCTATTAAAGCTATTAGTAAAGCCAGGTAAACAGAAGAAACATCATCAAAGAACTCTATCATGGAATAAATGAAACTCTAATATTGTACTAGTGTTAGAGAAGACAGAATTATGACAAGATATGATTTTTTAAGTGTACATGCTGGGGCACCTGGGTGGCTCTGTCAGTTAAACGTCTGCCTTCAGCTCAGGTCCTGATCCCAGGGTCCTGGGATTGAGCCCTGCATCAGGCTCCCTACTCAGTGGGGAGTCTGCTTCTCCCTCTCCCCCTGCTATTCTCCCTGCATGTGCTCTCTGGCTCTGTCAAATAAATAAGTAAAATCTTTTAGAAAAAAGTGTACATGCCTCCTGAGCAAGAGGATTCAGGAATTATAATAATATAATATGTTGTTGAAAATTCATTTGATAGTGTCAGCTACCCTTAATTATCATTGTCTGAACCATTTGCTTCTCTAAGACTGGCATACAATTACCTCAAACATCAATATGAATTCCATGTTTTGAAGACATCATTTGTCTGGTCCCTGTTAAATACATAATGAATGAACAGATGTGAGGTAAAGAGGAGGTGATTATGACATAAAGCCAGAATGGCAGTGGAGAAGTTTTTCCAAATGGGCATATCCACAAGCCATGACGAATTCCATCTCGGATATGATGTGAGGTCCAGGATATAAACAGCATCCAGGGAAGAAAGCACCATGAGTCTTTGAGCTTGAAAAGGTGCATAGTAAACTTCAGGGTCAGGGCCACAACTGGTATCACAGTAGAGCAGTGAAGAAAAGGTCTTCGTGGAAGAGTCAAAGCAGCCTGCCGGGGAAAGCAGTAGCTAGTATCATTTCCTTCTTGGCAAACAACATTTTTAAAAAGAATATTTTATTTATTTATTCATGACAGGCACAGAGAGAGAGAGGGAGGCAGAGACACAGGCAGAGGGAGAAGCAGGCTCCGTGCCGGGAGCCCCATGCGGGATTTGATCCCGGGAATCCAGGATTATGCCCTGTGCCGAAGGCAGGTGCAAAATCGCTGAGCCACCCAGGGATCCCTGGCAAACAACATTTTGTAGATGCTTCTTAATATTCTAAAATATTTTCTAGGAGTCTATTAGAAATACAATGGATTAGCGCCGCCTTCAGTCCAGGGCGTGGAGTCCCACGTCAGGCTCCCTGCATGGAGCCTGCTTCTCCTTCTGCCTGTGTCTCTGCTTCTCTCTCTCTCTCTCTCTCTCTGTGTGTGTCTCTATGAATAAATAAATAAAATCTTAAAAAGAAAAAGAAATATACAATGGAAACATTTTCTATGTCACCTCTAGATACATGTATCTAGAGGATGTATCACATCCATTTCATAGAAAGCAAATAAGATATGAGTAGGACATTCTTTGCATTAACAATTAAATCAAGATCTCGAGAACATAGCGATTAATTTTTTAAAGTTTCCTGGTATTTGCTTAGAAAAGTCACAATACAAATGCTAATTTATATTCCAAATGTATGGTTTATGTAAATTTGGAGTTTTAGAGAATTATCTGGGCCTCTAAGCATTGAAAAAAAAAAACTACAACCAAATAAAATATCCTTCTACTAATAAAGGCTAAAATTCCCTACTAAAAAGGGAAATATTTTTGTTATCAACACTTCATATTAGCCTTGAATATTTTCAAAATGCACTTAACATTTAGGAAGATATTATTTTTAAAAGATTATATTTATTTATTCATGAGACACACACACACACACAGAGGCAGAGACATAGGCAGAGGGAGAAGCAGGCTACATGCAGGGGGCCTAATGTGGGACTCGATCCCAGGACTCCAGGATCACGCCCTGGGCGGAAGGCAGGTGCTAAACCATTGACCCACCCAGGGGTCCCAGAAAGATATTATTTTAAATAAGTATTATAAAGTTGGGTTAAACTCCAGTAAAAATTTTAAACCATTACAAAAAATGTATTCACTAACTAAACAAATAAAAATTTAAGAGTTAACCCCTGATTGATTCTTGAGTAAGGAAGTTTTTTTGTTGTTGTTTTTGTTTTTTAAATTTTATTTATTTGACAGAGAGTGAACAAGCAAGCAGGGGCAGAAGTAGGCAGAGGGAGAGAGAAGCAGGCTCCCCCCAGAGCAGGGAGCCCAATGCGGGGCTTGATTCCAGGACCCAGGGATCACGACCTGAGCCAAAGGCAGACGCTTAACCAACTGAGCCACCCAGGCACCTCTTGAGTAAGGAAGGTTTTGTTCTCACATACTCTAAAGGCTAATTTTCAATTAGATAATTTCTAAATAACATGGAAGTTGAGGACAGTGAAGACTGCCTAAACCCGAATCTCCCCACACATTATAGACAGGGCAAATAAAACTATACCAAACCCCACTCAGCATAGACAGAAGTCAGAGAGTGCCGCAAATCCTAACGTATTAAAATACACACCACATCAGTGTGCTTTCTCTCCCACCATAAACCAGGAAAGGTGAGGGGACCTAAGATGGATTTACAATTACCGCTGGAAAGAGAAACAATGAAAAGGGTCCTGGTTGATCAGAGCACTGGCTACAAAGCAAGGACTTAAATATGTGCATGATTCAAAGCTTTAAAAGGCATTGGTTCTGGGGGAGAAGATGGCAGAATGGAAGGGACTGGAATCATTTGGACAACGGGTGGTAAAGAGGAAAAGGAAAAGTAAAAAAAAAATAAAATTAGGAACCTATAAAAAAATTAGAAGGCATAACCTCACCACATTAAAATACAAGGCATCCCTTAAAGAGATGGTGCCTTGCCACTGTGTGAAGTCACAGGATCCTTAAACCAGTGTCTTTAGCTCCCACCTACAGACTGATCATCAATCAAAGAGTTTATGCTACATTCCTCTTCCTTCTCCCTCCTCCATATTTTTAGCTGTTTTACTTCTTTTTTTAAAAAAATGTTTTATTTCTTTATTCATGAGAGATAGAGAGAGAGAGAGAGAGGCAGAGACACAGGCAGAGGGAGAAGCAGGCTCCATGCAGGGAGCCTGATGTGGGACTCGATCCTGGGTCTCCAGGATCACGCCCTGAGCCAAAAGCAGGCACCAAACTGCTGAGCCACTCAAGGATCCCAGCTGTTTTATTTTCCACGTGGCCAGAACACATCATGTTCCTGTATTGTTATTCCGCCCTTGTCTCCACACTGTATCATGCTCCTCAACAGCAGGGCGGGACAAGAAAGCCTGAGGAAATCCCTACTCGGAAGATAGCAGGCGTCTGAAGTTGACGTGATTAGCAGTTATACTCTAGATGTCCGAAGGGAAACAGACTCTACACCTTCATTTATGAAGTCTACTTATTTTAATAGATGCAAAGATGTATGCATCTGGGATCCCTGGGTGGTGCAGCAGTTTGGCGCCTGCCTTTGGCCCAGGGTGCGATCCTGGAGACCTGGGATCGAATCCCACGTCGGGCTCCCGGTGCATGGAGCCTGCTTCTCCCTCTGCCTGTGTCTCTGCCTCTCTCTCTCTCTCTGTGACTATCATAAATTAAAATAAATAAATAAAAAAAAAGATGTATGCATCTTTGGCACTTTGTGATGCCAAATAACTTGATTAGCAATATGTCTGTTCACCTTCAGGGAAGTACTAAGTGATAAAAAAAACTGGATGAATGGGCTTTCTTATTTTAAAATAAGGATAGTCTTCTCTAGCTCTAAAATGATCTCTAGATCAATATAATGGTGGTAAAGAAAAATTAAAGACCAGAAAAATTAAACATATATGCTTCTTACCTTTAAAGATAAAGATCCAGCTAGAAAAAAGTGGTCTACATCAATAACAGAGGCTAAAAATCCAGCTAAAATGATTTCTCCAAAGTCAGTTGTCTTCTTGACTCCAATGACAATCGCCCACAACCACATGCCAATCACGCAATGTACTGCGTTATCTGAGAGAGCTCGAAGCCAGTCATTTTGCTGAATTACTGAAAACTGAAGAAGTCTGTCGGCTACCAGGCAAAATATCCCCAGACCAAGGCTAGAAATAAGAGACTCAGTGCTACAAGACTGGAGTAAAGCATGGGTCTTCTCAGCCTCAGATGCCATCACAGACAATATATCAGTATATACTAAAAGCCATGAGGAAACAAACCACTTATTCTTGTTTACATTCCAAGACACCCTAAAATAGAAAGCAGGGGAAAATATTAATGCCATGTAACATTTAAACAAAACAGTATTAGCAATAATTTCATAAATACAAAACCCAGCTGTAAAAATTGGTATCTTTTTTTAAACTGTCGTCAGTTTTATTTTTCCCAACTTCATTGAGATATAATTGATATATAACACTTTCTAAGTTTAAGCTTACACTGTGATGATTTCATATAGACATACTGCAAACGGATTACCAAATAAGGTTAATCTCTGTCACCTCAGACAGTTACCTTTTTGTGCATGTGGAGAGAACGTTAAGACTACTCTCTTAGTAAATCATAAATATAAAAAAATTGTACTTCTTATATGTTGTGTACAATATGCCATGCAGCCCAAAGAGAACAGGTTAGCTTTATTACAGGAACAACAGATTACATGATAGTATGTATCCAGGCGAATTTAAGAAAGCCTACCAACTGTAATCTATTACTTTGAAGTCATCAAATAGTTCTCTCAGCAGTGTGTGCCACATGGTAGTGGGCATCCATTGCGTCTCTGTATCCATCAACTATTTCCATACTTCTGAAAACAGCATCTCCTTTCCTTTAGGAAAATTGTTAATCACAATACCCAAACTCTGGTGCTGATCAATTAGAATTCCCTCTCTTATCAGTAGTAGTAATTACTTAGTAATTACTAATTAGTCATCATTTTCCAGTAGTGATTAGACTAGGGTGAATAACCTAGTGATTAAGGTGACCCAGGCTAGGCCAATCAGACTTCCTTCTAGAACTTTCCTAAGTGGAGCTGGTAGGGGATAGTTCCTTTCCTTCTTACAGACCTGGGCTCCACTACATGGAACAGCCTAAGAAAAAAGAACCATTAAAAAAAAAAAAAGAAAAGAAAAGAAAAGAAAAAAGAACCATAAAGACATCCACAACTCAGGTCCAATCTTTAAGTTTCTCAGAGCTGCCCCAGTTCAAGCAGCTTACCCTTTACTTCTATGAGCTACCCCCACATTCTTCCAATAAATCCTCTTTTTTTTTCTGTTGCCTCTAATCACAGAACTTTAACTGATATAAAAATGGCAATCATAATTCTGTGCTGAGTGCTTACCTGGCATAGAATACTAAATCAGTTATTCAGTTACAGTTATCAATATTATGTGATACCTGAAGTTTTTGATTTGCATTATTTTAATTCTGAGACTAAAGAATAACTAAATGATGTATTAAGAATGATTCAACTTCTATTCTGTAATAAAAACTATTCATAGCTCATTATATATATTCTAAAATTTACAGGGAAACACAAAAGATCTAGAATGGGAAAATAATTTGGAAAAAGATGAGCTAAGCTGAAGGACTTAACACACTATCTGACTTCAAGTCTTACAAAGCTGCAGTAATTAAGACAGTGTGGTATCGGTATAAAGATAGACAAACAGAGCAATGAAACAGAAAAAAAGTGGGATCAGAAATAGATCCACATAGGTGTCTGGGTGGCTCAGTCAGCTGAGCACCTGACTCTTGATCTCAGCTCAGGTATTTTATTTTTAAATATTTTATTTATTTATTCATGAGAGACACACAGAAAGAGGCAGAGATGCAGACAGAGGGAGAAGTGGACTCCCTACAGGGAGCCTGATGCAGGACTTGATCTGAGGACCCAAGGATCAGGACCTCAGCCAAAGGCAGATGCTCAACCACTGAGCCACCCAGATACGACTTAGCTCAGGTCTTGAGCTCAGGTTTGTGAGTTCAAGACGCATGTTGGACTCCACACTCAGTGTGGAGCCTACTTAAACAAAAGAAAAGAAGAGAAAAAATAAATTAAAAAAAGAAACAGATCCATGTATACACTGTCAATTGATTTTTGACAAACATGCAAAAGCAAGTAAATAGAGAAAAGACAGTCCTTTCACCAAATGGTGCTAGAACAACCGCATCGACTACAAAAATAATGAACTTCAATCCATATTTGACTCCATATACAAAATTTAAGTCAAAATGATCAGACTTAAAACATAAAATAGGGGCAGCCCGGGTGGCTCAGCGGTTTAGCACCACCTTCAACCTGGGGCCTGACCCTGGAGACCTGGGATCGAGTCCCACATCAGGCTCCCTGCATGGAGCCTGCTTCTCCCTCTGCCTGTGTCTCTGCCTCTCTCTGTGTGTCTCTCATGAATAAATAAATAAAATCTTTTTTTTTAATTTTTTTTTAAATTTATTTATTTATGATAGTCACAGAGAGAGAGAGAGAGAGAGAGAGAGAGGCAGAGACACAGGCAGAGGGAGAAGCTGGCTCCATGCACTGGGAGCCCGATGTGAGATTCGATCCCGGGTCTCCAGGATCGCGCCCTGGGCCAAAGGCAGGCGCCAAACCACTGCGCCACCCAGGGATCCCAATAAATAAAATCTTAAAAAAAAAATGAAAATAAAATATACATAAAACTACAAAAGTTCTGGAAGAAAACAGTATTTTTGTGTCCTTGGGTTATGCAAAGAGTTCTTAGAAGCAACATCAAAAAGGTCGATCTGTTTTGTAAAAACTGATAAATTGAACTTCATCAAAATTAAGAACTACTGTTCTTTGAAAGACAATGTTAAAAGAATGAAAAGATAAGCCACAGACTGGTAAAAAATATTTGCATATCTCATATTTGATCAAGGATTTATATTCAGAACAAAGAATTCTTAAAAAAGAGAAATAAAACTAATACAAAAATGGGCAAAAGGTCTGAAAAGATACTTTACAAAGAGGATATACGGGTGATCAATAAGCACTTGAAATATGCTCAACATCATTAATCATTAGGGAAATGCACATTAAAACCACAATGAGATACAAGACATACCTATTAGAATGCCTAAAATTAAAGACTTTTCTCAAATGTACAAAAGATGTGGAGCAACCAGAACTCTCATACATTACTGGTGGAAATGTAAAATGATAAACCACTTTTCAGTTTCTCATAAAGTTAAATATACTTCTATCATAGATTCAGTCATTCTACTTCTAGGAATTTACCTGAGTAAATGTGAGCTTACATCTACACGAAGACTTGTACATGATTGTTAATAGCAACTTTACCTACATTAGCTTTGATCCGGAAACAACTCAACTGGATAAACAAAATGTAGAATAAAAAGAAACAAAAAAGTGATACTTAAAAAAAAATTGACGAACCTCAAAATAATGGTGAAATAAGGCAAACCAAAAAGAAAAGAGAGTACATAGTCAACACCCATGGAACTATACAACACAAAGAATGAACCCTAATGTAAACTGTGGACTTCAATATACCAATGTTGGTTTATTAATTGTGACAGGTGTACCACACTAATGCAAAATATTAGTAAAAGGGATGAATGTGTGTAGAGGAAGAAGTAACATATGGGAATACTCTGTACTATCTGCTCAATTTTTCTGTAAACCTAAAACTGCTATAAAAAAGAAAAGTCTTAATTTTTAAAAAGTAAATTAATGAAGCAAGCATGAGAAATGTTATAATTGTTCAGTATAGGTAATGGATATACTATTGTTCATTATACTATCTTCTAGTTTCCTACGTGTTTGAAATTTTCATTTATAAATGTTTTTAAAAGAATATTTAACATGATTCCATTTATATAAAATTCTAAAAAATGGAAACCAATTTAAGTGACAGAGAGCAGACTGGGATAGGAGAGGCCAGAGGGATTAAAAAAGGAGCATAAGGAAACTGCCAGAACAGATGTGTTCATTATCTTGATTGTGGTGATAGTTTCATGGTTTATAGTTTCATATATACATCAAAATGTATCAAAATATACATTTTAAATATGTACAGTTTATTATGTGTCAGTTATGCCCCAACAAAGATGTTAAAAAGTTAGGAAAATATACTATATTGTCAATAACAACAGCAGGCTTTCATGCAAAAGGAGCACTCTAAAAAACAAGAGGATATGGAGATGAAAAGCCTGATTGCCCAAATAAAAGCTCAACAGGAACCACGCACAGTAAAATGAATGCTTCAAAACACAGTAAGAACGTTTTCCAAAAGCTACATGGGGAAAAAAAAAATGAGAGTTGGAACACTGAAAGAAAAAAAAAAAGATAAATTCCCTTAGAGTTTCCAAATCCTGTCCCCCACCAAAAAAGAGTTATCTGCAAAAGGAGAATGTAATTTATATCAATAATAAATGCCAAAATATTGTGAAGTAACATTTACAAAGCTCTGAGAGAAAAAGGATCATGACCGTAGGATTCTACATGAACTCTATTATGGCACCTCTGTAACAATCATGAATTTCAATAGTTTTGCCTTAGAAATTATAAAGAAATTATAATAGCGAGGTGCCAAGGTGGTTCAGTCAGTTAAGCATCTGCCTTCAGCTCAGATAATGATCACAGGGTCCTGGGCATCTGGCTCCCTGCTCAGCCAGGAGTCTGCTTCTCTCTCTCCTCTGCCCCTCCCCCTGCTCATGCTCTCTTTCAAATAAATAAGTAAAATCTTTAAAAAACCTCTCTTTTTTTTGGGGGGGGGGTCCCTGGGTGGCTCAGCAGTTGAGTGTCTGCCTTTGGCTCAGGGCGTGATCCTGGGATTCAGGATCGAGTCCTGCATCGGGCTCCCTGCGAGGAGCCTACTTCTCCCTCTGCCTGTGTCTCTGCCTCTCTTTGTCTCTCATGAATAAAAAAGACTTTTTTAAAAAAGATTTTATTTATTTATTCATGAGAGACACAGAGAGAGAGAGGCAGAGGGAGAGGCAGTTTCCTGAGGGGAACCCAATGGAGGACTAAATCCCAGGACCCGGGGATCACAACCTGAGCCAAAGGCAGATTCTCAACCACTGAGCCACCCAGGTGCCCCTCAAAAAATCTTTAAGAGAAAAAAAGAATTTATAACAGCTATGTATGATTTCTGGGGGAAAAAGAATGGAAGAATAGGACTTCTAAATCTCTAGGGAGAGAGAAGAGTAATAAAGAAACCTTGATCAGAACAGCAAAACAGAAAATGGGGAAAAAAAATAGAGAACTTTACTGTCACTCTGACCCCCTAAAGAGTAAAAGAGACCAATCATCAAACACAAATACCACAATAAATGTGGATGTATCAAATTTATCTATAAAGAAATAGATTGGGACAAAAGGAAACATCCAAATTATTGTTCATAAGAAAATATTTCAAACAGTTTCAGCAATATATAAAATAAAGAAATAAGAAAATATACAAGCCAAAAAAAGCAGCTATGGTAATACTAATATCAAATATAGATTCATGGCAAAGGACTCAGTGGGGCTAAAAAGGATAAAATATTCAAGTCATAGTAAAGTTATATGAGAAAATGCTTACAGGGCACCGGGTGGCTCAGCTGGTTAAGCGTCCGACTCTTGATTTCAGCTCAGGTCATGATCTCAGGGTCGTAGGATCGAGCCCAAAGTCAGGCTCCATACTCAGAGTAGAGTCTGCTTGCAAATCTTTCTCCTCTCCCTCAGTGCCTTCCCACCCCCCATTCTCTCTCTCTCTCTCGCACTCCTGTGCTCTCTAAAAATAAATAAAATCTTAAAAAAAAAGAAGATGCATACGTGACAAACAGCAAAACAGTAAGATATGCAAATTAAATCAAGTAGCCAAAAATAGGTGTAGATAATCTGAATAATATAATTTGATTTCATACGCAGGTCTAAAATTACGTATTTTACATGGAAAACACATTCTTTCTAAATGTCCATGAAACATTTACAAAAGTTAACTACCCATTTGCTCATCCATAAGAAAAATGTCCACAAAATCTAAAAACTGGAAATGTTCAGGCCGAATTCTCTGACCACATTGCAATACAATTCATTTCTAAATTGTTAAAAAAAAAAAAAAAAAAGAGTGGCCTAGTTAGCTCAAAGAAACTAAGCTTAAATGGTGGTGCAAGTAATACCTTTAGAGCCAGGAGACTTGTTTTGAAGTATCTACGCTCTGTGCACATTTCAGGAAGGAAAACAAAAGTTCAGAGAGCAAGGACTCTACTTTGTTTATTATTATACCTTTCACACATACTAAGTGCTCAATAAGTGTTGAATGAAGTCATGAAAAATCTTCATTCACTGTATCTGTTATCCAGCAGGTATTGCAAATTAAATACTTCAATGGCATTTAGTAAAATGTAACATCCATTCCTGGGATCTGCATTTTTAGCAAGTATGAATACCAGGTAATTCTTATATTCACTAAACATTGTGAGAAACACTAGTTTATCAGAAACAAAAATGATGAAAACCAAGAAACATTACCTTAAAAGTTAGAAACAGTATAGCTATTAGAATATTGTTCTGGCAGTTTCACTCTAAGTAATGAGGGAAGGGAGGGGGAGGGAGGGAATGGGGAAAGAAAATGTATCATTACTTCACCAGGAAGAAAAAGGTAATTGCATCAGTTTGCAAGTAAACCCACAGCCTATTAAAGAGAATCCACTGAAAACCATTAGAATTTAAATTGCACAGGGTGCCTGAGTGACTCAGATCTTTCAGCTCCAGTCGTGATCTCAGGGCCCTTGGGATTCAGCCCGGAGTCAGGCTCCCTGCCCAGTGGGAGTCTGCTTCTCCCTCTCTCAGCCTCTCCCGCTGTTCATGAGATCGCTCTCTCTCACTGTCTCAAATGAATAAATAAAACCTTTTAAAAAAGAATTTAAGTTGCAAATGGTGGCTAATTCAAGATAAATACTAATCTTTATAATATACAAGCAATCATCATAAGAAAAAAATGGGAAAAAGAATGTTCACAACAGCAATAAAAACCCAAACATCAAGGAATAATCTAAACAGGAAATATTTATGAAGAAAACAACAAAGTTGTATTAAAGAACACAAAAGATCAATCAGTTCTTTAGAGCTCTGGTGGCTTCATACTATATTGATTCAGCTTAGCTGGAAGCACATTTTTCAGAATTCCCTTCCTTGTGAAGTTCTTATATAGTTCTTCCTTGCATCGTAGTGATGACTGTAGGAGGCACCGTGCGTGAGACCAGGGAAGCAGAAGTGAAGCAGCAGCCACATTTGGCAGCAAGCCACACTTGCAAGTCCAGTGCCAGACACACTGTAGAGCTTGCACATGATCTGTTAGCTCTCCTTGTTGGCATGGGCAAACGGGCTGGCCTGCAGCTCCTTCGGCTTCTCCAAATGCCAGGTCTGCATGTGCAACCCCAGCGTCAAGAGTGCTAGCCTCTCCTGCCGATCACCCACAGCATAAAACTGGAGTTGATGAGAAGCCAGTGCAGATTCCATTCTGTCCTTGCTCTCCTCCACATCCGCCTTTCCTTCTTCAATGTCTGTCTAGTTGATCTGTAACCACTTCAGGCTTAACAACAGACTCAGAGGCAGGAGTCTGACCAGACTGCTTTGGCAGCCCCCACAATTACAGGTCTAACCCCTGCATAAATCTTGCATTTTTTAGGAGGCAAAGTAGTTCTGCTTCTTTGATGGAGCTTAACTAATACAAGAGCCAGAGCATTTTATTGAGTAAGAAGAAAACACTGATGGTATTATTCTTCTCAAATGGAACCTATAAATTTAGTATCATTCTAATTAAAATCATGAAGGGATTTTCTTGTAGGCACCTCACAAAACATTTCTAAATTTCGCTTAAAAGAGTAAATGCCAGTAAACTTGAAAAAGCAGAGTAATGGGTGCCTGAGTGGCTCACTTTTTTGGGTGTATGCCCCCTGGCTCAGGTCATGATTTCAGGGTCCTAGGATCAAGCCCCACATCGGGCTCCCTCCTTGGCAGAGTCTGCTTCTCCCTCTTCCTCTGTGCTCTCTCTCACACTCTCTCAAATAAAATCTTTAAAAAAAGAGAAAGAAAAGCAGAGTAATATGAGTACTGAAAAGTGAATGCAAAGTCCAGAAATCGATTAAGTGTGTGAATGGGGAATACGTATATAACTCTAAATTGGTAGAGGAACAATTATTATTAAACTCAGATCCTGTATCAGTCAGGGTTCTTAAGTGCATGGAAAAGAAAACACTTTGGCAGTAAATGCAAAAAAATGAATTTATTAAAAAGGTATTGGGAAATCACAGATTTGCCAGGTTGCAAAAATGAGGCCTCAAAGTTATGCCTCAAGCACCTCAGTGAAAATGACACCAGACAAACTGGTCTGGTGAAGACCTCCCTACTACTGAGCCCACCTTACACTGCCTAACACTTGTCACTAGATATTACCACTGGCTTTGTGCCACAGCTGCACTGTCTGCTCCCACCATGGAAGACTCTTGGCAGTACATTTATTTGATCCCAATACAAATTTTGGAGTGGGGCAGGGTATGTGTCTGATTGGCTGGGCCTGTATCACATGACTAGCTGCAAGGGAGGTTGGAAAAGATAGAATTTGGCCTTTTCAGCCTATATTGTAGAAAGTGGGCTGTTTCTTCCACTTGCATTAGAACAGCATGCTCACAAATATACTATGCTGGATAGGAAGTGAGGAGTCCACACTAGCAGTCAGTTAGGTTTTAACTGCCAAGTAATACTGGAGAGGGTCAATCATCAGATGAAACCTGAAATTGGGTCATCTGCTTTCAATCTGTGCAATGCATAGTTTAATATGGTAAAGCTGTTTAATCAAACAACTCTAGGTTTTAAAATGTCACATTCACATAGACTAGAGTTTTACAATATAATAGAATGTTTCCCTGGTTAAATTAAGAAAGGGAATCAGTTTCATTGACTAGCTGCCTGGAAAACTTCTTTGATTAAACAGCTTTTGTAATCAGTTTGGTTACCAAATTTGGGATATTTACATGAATTTGTAAACTAACTTCTACATAGTTCAGCTAGCTTGACTTTTAGAGAAGAGCTCAAAATTATTTTTTAAATGTTGAAACAGGGCAGCTTGAGCGGGGGGGGTGTGCTCAGCGGTTTAGCGACACCTTCAGCCCAGGGCCTGATCCTGGAGACCTGGGGTCGAGTCCCATGTTGGGCTCCCTGCATGGAGCCTGCTTCTCCCTCTGCCTGTGTCTCTGCCTCTCTCATGAATAAATAAATAAAATCTTTAAAACAAACATACAAACATACAAATAAATAAAATGTTGAAACACATGACCACCTAAGAATGTAAAACTTATACATGGCAAAGTTAAATACAAATGGAGGAAATTTAGAACCTTTATGATGGGGAAAGATTCAAATTTTACTTTATTAAGGGCTCTTAAAATTAAGAAGGAAAAGTAAGTATCCCAATAATAAAGTGGGCAATGTCTATGAAAAGGCAATCTGGAAAGGGAAGAAATACAAATGATAAAAAAAATTACAGAAGGTTTCAATTTTATTAGCAATCAATTGAATTTAAATTAAAACAATGAGATTTCAATGTAAATTGATAAAAGATTGCTAATGCTGTTAGTAGTGGTAGGGAAATGACCCTTCACGCTGTGTATTAGCAGGATTATAAACTGGTATAGTTTTCTAGTGGATAATTTGATAATATGAATCAAAAATCCTTTAAAAATGAACAAATATTTTTAAAAAGGTTTTATTTATTTTAGAGAGAGCACACAAGCAGGGAGAGGGATAAAGGGAGATGGAGAAGCAGATTCCCCATTGAGCAGGGAGGCCTACGTGGGGCTCAACTCTAGGACCCTGAGATCATGATGTGAGCCGAATGCAGACGCTTAACTGAGTCACTCAGGTGCCCCAAAAATGAGCAAATATTTTTGACTCTGCATTTTCAATTATAGAAATTTATCCAAAGAAAATAAGTAGATTTAAATACAAAGAATTACATATCGATATTCAGCATTAGCATAGTTTATAAGGAAAAATTAGAAACTCTATGTCCCAAATATAAGACCAGTGAAATAAATGCCACACAACTATGGAGCCATTAAAACAAAACAAAACAAAACTATTCTCATCTTTATTGACATGAAAAGATGCTCAACATATTAAAATTTAAAATGTAGCCTATAAAATATGTAAAATTTTAATTTTGGTTAAAAATACATACATATGCTGCATATTTAAAAATATAGGAAACTGTTCACTTGGCTTGTATTTCACTCATGGGCTTAAATATGATCAGTACTTTCTTCCCCTTTCTTTGATTCCCTAAACATTTTCTTTTCTTTCTTTCTTTTTTTTTTTTAGAGAGTGAGAAAGAGAGAGAGAGCGAGCATGCAGGCAGGGGTGAGGGCAGATGGAGAGGGAGAAAGAAAATCTTAAGCAGACTCCATCCATGCTCAATGTGGAGCCCGACATGGGGCTACACACAGGGCTGATCTCATAACCCTGACATTATGACCTGAGCCAAAATCAAGAGTTAGACGCTTAATCGACTTATCATCCAGCCACCCATAATTCCCTAAACATTTTCAATGTCTTACTATTATGGCCACGAGACAAATAAAGCTACTCTGAAGTTAGTCAGAAGCATTAAACAGCTCAGACCATGATGCTACAGTCAGTCTTTTAAAAGCATAATTTTTGAAAAGTAGAAACATACTTAAAACTTTATAAATATGTACTAATAAAAATATTAGAATTTACATCAATAAACATTAATAAAACTTTGTAAGTAAAATTAATAACATAAAAATAATTTATTCACATTTATGTATTAGTTTACCCAAAGCCTGTACAAAAGATTTCTATATTTCCAGGTGAAATAAAGTTATATAGATTCCTTTAATTCTTTCAAATTGTGAGGAAGACTTGCTTTGCACAGAACTGTTTTGTTAATGATAATGGGATCTACAACAATCCTCAAATTCTCGGTCATTTGCAATAATGAAATTGTTCTGAAAATCACTAAGATTGGGTTAAAGTCTACGGACTCTTCTAGGATCCCACACACTTTCAAGCAGGAGTTATGATCAAAATGTAAAAAAATGCAAAAGATATCCCCAGGGTCATGAATCCTTTCTATAAACCTCAGGATTTTCAATCATTTGTTTCTACTTTACAAAATAAACTCTTGACACTGGCATGGATAAAGAAGTTAACATGTTTAAAGGTTCCGTGCATATAATTTTAAAGTATATGAAATATCCCTTTGAACCAAGGACAGATGCCAGTATTCACTTAGCTGGAGGGGAACTGGGACACATAAATTTCAATTAATGAGAAGCCAGAGAGGTGCTACACTAAGCAGCAATATCTCCCTCCTTCAGTAAGCTGTGGCGTGCAATTCTGCCTAAAGAAGAAAGGCCACTTAGGTTGAAGAGTGTAAGAATGTAGGCTGGATACACATAGAAGCTCAACAGAAAAGCTCTGCTGCCACTCAAACTATGCTCATATATTTATTACAAACTCATTTTCAGATCTTATCCCAGAAAGGGAACAAAAATAAAAGGTCATTATTCACTTACTGCGAACTGCATGATGCCACTATAAAGCCACTGCATTACATCCATCCTCTTTTACTCTTGAAACAATTTTTATCACCCCAAAATATATTTAAATGTTACTAACCTTGTGTTTTACATAAATTCAGATTCTAAAAAGATGGGGTGGCTAATGACGTGTTACAAGCAAAGTGAAACATCAAAAGATCACTTCAAGTACTTAAATGATGATCCAAATTTAGTGACCTGAAAAAGAAAACCTTATTGTTCAACTATATTATGGTTTATGAATAGGAACAAATACACATAATGGGATAGCACAAAATGCACTTTATAAGTGAGAGGTATAAAACAGCTTGCTGGATAAGAGGGGGGCAAAAAGCTAATGAGTGAATGTGGAAGTGGATCCCTCAGCCCCCATCAAGTTTTTAGACGCCCGCAGCCCTGCAAACATCTGGACTACAAAGGCATGGGCCTCTGAGCCAGAATCACTTAGCTAAGCCTCTTCCAAAGTCCTAGGCCCACAGACATAGTAAGATAATACTTGTTAAGTGTTTTAAGCCTCTAAGTTTTGGGGTAATTTGTCATACAGTAATACATATCTAACACAACACTATTTCCATTTTTTACAATGGTGTAATTATGGTCCCAGAAACACAATTCTGACATCTATTCCACTCCAACTGTATTAGTGCAGATATTTAACATCGCTGGCTTAGAATCTGAGTATGGGGATAAGAAAAAAAAAAAAACACTTTTTGAGAAAGAACTTTACTAAGTATACTGTCTCTTATTTATTGTCTCTGATGAGGACGTCCAAGTGTACCCATTTTTCTTCATACCTTTTTCTTCCTTTTTCCACTTCCTACCCCTCCCCTACAAATAGAATGGACTCTGGAACCTCAACAACTATAAAATAACTTTATTCTACATGCTTACTTTTGTTGGGCAGTTTCCTTAATAGTAATTACAATTTTCTTTTAAGCTTGCCACGCATAAAATCTAATGTGAAGGCATTTAATAATAAAGGTTTCATTATACGAGTACAAAGGGTAAGCAGGTAAGCATCTCTCAGCCTACGAACTAAAAATATCTGGAGGATGACTTCTCATCTCCTAACGCCCATAACATGTCCTTATGACTCGCAGCCACTTTCTACGATGGCCAAATTGTCACACCCCATCTCATTACAGTAAGATGCCATCAACTATGGGATCTTTACACATAGCAGTAATCTTTGCTTTCCTTAATTCCACAAACATAATTAGCCAGTTACTTTAATTACACACTACTGTGCAGTGTGTTACTAATCTTAGACAAATCTTTCTGCCAAAACAAGGAACAAATTCTCAACGTAAATAGCATCTGCTTCACTCTCCCTTCACACAAATATTTACAAAGACCTGAGGTAAAAGCAGCCCATAATCTGGTAACTACCTTCAGTACTGCTTTACAAACAAGTCTTCTTCAATGTCAGTGCTGTGAAAGTTAATATGTTTAATTTTTTAAATCAAAAAAAATTCTTTTTTTTTTTTTTTTTTTTACTGTTTCAAATACATTTAATCTCCAAAGAGGCGGTTTCTCAAGCAGGTAGGAAGCTTGATTTTAATTTTTAAAAGTAATCTCAACACCGAAGATGGGGCTGAGGCTGGAACAGACCCCACCGCCTGAGCCAGCCAGGTGCCCCTAACCTATTTAATCTTTTTTTTAAATTTTTTAATTATTTTATTTTTTTTTATTTTTTCTATTTAATTTTTTAATGCTAGAATACCTAAAGCAGATGCTAGATCTTTTTTTTTTTTTTTTTTAGATGCTAGATCTTAATGCGGCTAATGTGCCAAGGAGAGAAGCACAAACCCTGCTCACTTTCACAGAAACTTTATATAGTCTGAATAGGAGATGTTTAGTTCCTACACCACCAGGAATAAAACCTGCAGTTCCGAATTTAAACATCTATCGGGGGCTCAGCAAATTCCCCGAATCATCCCTTCCTAAGGCTGGTGTGATGCAACGATCTTAAGATGCCGATGAAACACGCCGGGCGGGCGGGCGGGCGGGCGGGCGGGCGGGCCTCGCGTTACGAACCAAGCCCTCGCCAGCAGCGCAGGGACCCGGCGCACCTGCGCGCACTCCCGCCCGCGGGGTCCGGGGCGCCGGGGCAAGGCGGCAAGGGGCCAGGGGCGCGACCCCCGCCGCCCGGGGCCGGGCCGGGCCGGGCCGGGCCGAAGCCGCGGGCGCCGAGCCGAGGAGCCCACCGGCGGCCCGGGGAATCTCCGGGGCTCCGCGCACGTCCCGGGACCGCCCCCCGAGCACACCCCGCTGGCTCTCGGGGCCCGCGCGCTCGCCGCCCCTGCACGCCCTCCCCACTGGGACCTGGAGCCCGGCTTCCCACCTCGGGGCGCAGCTCCGGGGCGTCCACTCGACCCCCGCCGCCCGGCCGCTCGCCGAGCTCAGCCGCGCCCACGTCCGGCTTTCCCGGCTGAAGCCCGCGGCGCGCTCGGCGGCCCCGCCCCTCCGCCCCTCCTCCCCCCCCCCCCCCGCGGCAGGCACCATAGAGACGCAGGCCGCCGGCCAGAGGGGCTCCAGCCCGGAAGGTCGGCGCGGAGGACGCCGGGATAGTGGCCCCCGCCTAGCCGACGAGAGCGGGTAGCTCGGTGTTTGGTGGCGCCGGGGGCTCTCCTGAGCCTTCCCCGCCGTGCCCCGTTAGGAGACCTTTAGGAAGCGGGGTGGGAAGGCAAGTGCCTTGTCGGCCTCCTCCGTCGAACCTGACGTTGGCGGCGCCGTGTCCCAGACTTAGCCGCCGACAGACTCGCGACGCACCGCTGCTGGCGGCCGGGAAGCTGGGGACGCCGCAGGGGCGTCCGGCGTGCGGGGGCGGGGTGCGGGGTGCACGGGCCTGCGCGCGGACGCCGAGAGCCGCGGGCCGTCCGGGCCTCGGCGGGGCGGGCCGATACCCGGCTTCTGCGCTCGGTCTTTGGGTGGGCTCCGGAGGCGTTCAGGCTGCAGGGGCCGCGGTCGGCACGGCCGCCTCCCCTCCGCGGCGCTCCGGCGCCCCCTTCGGGACTTGTTGGTAATTACTCTTCGCGGCTTAGTGGGCGGTGGTGGGGCCACACTTCCTCGTGGCCGCAGGGACAGGGAGGGATCATCTAATCACGACTACTAGACGCACGGGAGCTGGGGGCGGGGGGGGGGGACGGGACCTGCATACGTTACCCGGGCTTGACCCTAATCAACCGGACTCAAGATGCAGCTTTTTTTTTTTTTTTTTAAAGATTTTATTTATTTATTCAGAGACAAGAGAGGCAGAGGCACAGGCGGAGGGAGGAGGAGCAGGCTCCACGCAGGGAGCCCGACGCGGGACTCGATCCCAGGTCTCCAGGATCACACCCCGGGCTGAAGACGCACGCTCCACCGTTGAGCCACCAGGGCGACCTAAGATGCAGCTGTTTAATGAGACAATGGCCAGGTCCCAGGCTGCCTTCCTGCCTGAGTGAGCACCACGATGTCTAGCTTGGCATTGGCTCTAGGAAGCCCGGGTGCAAAAGAATGGGCTCACAAGGGGGCATTGCCTCCTTTTTCCCTACTTACAGTTTCTCAAAACAAGGGTCAGGTGGGAAGCAAAGGCAGTAGTGGCACGATATTAATTTTGTAGTTGTAAGTTTCTGTAGTAAAAAGTGAGGTCTTCAATCTCAAGGGCTAATCTTGGTGGCGCTCGGTCTCTCCCTCTCGCAGAACTCTAAAGTGTGGCTCCGTGTCTCAGCGATGGGACCGTTCGTTGCTTGTCACACTCTTGATTCTTAGCCAGTGACAAAGACTCAACTGGAAGGGAAAATGATACACATTTTAACCCACACAGCGTAAGAGCTAATTAAAAAGAATACATTAACCACAACACGGGGTGCTTTTAAGCATATTAAGGACTGTTTGAATGCAGTAACAATTTCACATTGCCCTTATAGCAGCCCTGGCTATATAGCGCTGTAGGCTTTCTAGAGCTGTTGAAGAACAACATGGATGGCTTCCTGCAACCAAAACAACAAAATTGTTACAATTGTTTTCTCTGTAGTCATCCTACAGTCCCACGGCACTGATTCATCTGTACAACACATACTGAATGATCTGTGTGCCAAGCTTAGTGCTTGGTAACAGGTTACAGGATGACATTATGGAACTCATGTGCTAGTGGAGGATCTAGACCACAAAGAAAAGTTGGATGGCTGTAGTATGTGCTGTAAAGGAAATAAACAGGGTGATGTCATAGAGACTAAGTGGGGGAGGCCCTTCTGAAGAAGTGATAGTTTGTGCTGAAACCTGAAGGTAGCAAGGAGCCAAGTGAGAAGAGCTATCAAGAGAACACTGTGCCCATTCAAATCATTGATGTTCTCACTCCTGATCTATGCTCTGCTTGCTTCATTATTTTTCTCGTTTCCTGTTTTTTGTTTTTTTTTTTATGTCAAGAAGCTAGTCTTTTCTAGAAATCAGAAGTTAATTAGAACATTTCTGCTATATTGGTCTAATCTTTAAGTCCCTTTAGATGTATGGTTTTGTGCTTTCTCAATAAACAGCACTAGTAAACCACTTCGGATGAGCTATTTTAGTTTCACATACTTGTGTAGTCTAACTTCATTTTCAGATCTTCAAAAGAAATGAAAGTAATTAATGAAACAATTCAGGTGAAATTTGGTGTTTGCTGAAGCACTCAATTCTTAGCTTGAAACAATATTGCCTATCTCTCTCTGTCTCTAAAGATCTAATTCTCAGGGCACTTGGGTGGTTCAGTTAGGTGACGTTGGCTCAGGAAATGATCCCAGGGTTCTGGGATTGAGCCCCATGTCCGGCTCCCTGCTGCTTCTCCTTCCCCTCCGTGCTCTCTGTTGCTGTCTGTCTCTCTCTCTCAAATAAATCTTTAAAAAAAATAAAGATCTAATTCTCTTTTGGTAGTTCTGTTGAAAAATACTTGGAGAGACCAAATAGCAAATGACCAAACGCACACAATTCTGCGTATTTAAAAAGGAAAAAAAAAAAAAAAAACACCTTGAGGTTTAACAGTGAATGCTTCACAAGATAAAACAGCAACAACTATAATTTTATATTTTCTCATGAATCTGAAATAAGAATTTTAAAATTCTAAAATAGTTCTTTATTAAGAATGCACATTATAAATATGTATTTTAAGGTTTACAAGATAGGTACCCTCCAAAGTTAAGTGTCATTTTTCATACAATCATTGCACAGAAGTAATATATATAATTTCTTGGCTTACTAGTAATTTTATACTAGTCACTTGAAATATCCTTAAGGTTTATAATTCCATTTTTCACTTTTTAGAATTTGATAGAAGATAGTCAATATCCTGAAGGATTTCAGAGGTTTTTTTCAATGCCACTGATACTCTATTTTCATTAACTTCTTCCAGCAAGGTCTCTGAAGATTTTGGTTCACAATGGTCAGATGACTGTTCATTTTTTTTGTTAGAAATCTGGTTTAGGATACCACTATTTTCCAATAACACTAAGTTGCTTAGTTAAGGAGTTTTTCTCCAAATTTTTCATTATATAGGTACATTTAATTTCAGAAAGCCTGGTCTTCATATTAAAATATTTCTGTTAGGACCATCTCTTGGATTTATAATAGATTTAGTACTTCCTAGACACACAACGTATCAAGACCGAATCTTAGAACAGAAAATCTGAATAGACCAATCACTAAGAAGGAGATTGCATCAGTAATCCAAAATCTCCCAACAAACAAGAGCCTAGGACCAGTTGGTTTCACTAGTGAATTCCACCAAACATTTAAAAAGAATTCTCAAAGTCTTCTAAAAAACAGAAGAGGAGAAAATATGTCCAAACTCATTTTATAAGTCCAGGATTACCCTGAAGACAAAAACCTGACAAAAACACTACAAGAAAAAAATTACAGCAGTACCTGGCTGGCTCAGTTGGAGGAGTGTATATTCTTGATCCCGGGGTCATGGATTCAAGCCCCATGTTGGGTGTAGAGATTACTTTAAAAAATATATATTTTTTTAAAGAAAGAAAAAATGACAGGCCAATATCTCTGATGAATATATATGCAAAAATCTTCAACAAACTATTAGCATATGGAATGCAACAATACTTTAAAATGATTGTATGCCATGATCAAATGAGATTTATTCCAGGAATGCAAGGATGGTTTAACATGAAATTCAGTCAATGTGATACATCACATTAACAAAATGGATAAAAATTATCTGATCATCTCAGTAGATGTAGAAAAATTCTCATAACGGGGTATACAGGGAATTTACTTCATGATAATAAAGGCCATGTATGACTGACTAGCCCACAGCTAACATCATACTTTGTAGATGCCATTAAATTATATATAGAAGATCCTAACAGCTTCCCCCAAAATTGTTAGAACTAATAAATTCAGGGGGGTTTGGATAGCTCAGTCAGTTAAGCGTCCAACTCTTGATCTTAGCTCAGGTCATGATCTCAGGGTTGTAAGACAGCCCTGTGATGGGCTCCAAGCTAGGTATGGAGCTTGCTTAAGATCCTCTCTCTTCCTCTGCCCCTCCCCCTCCTCTCTCTAAAACAAAATTAAAAAAGAATAAATTTAGTAAAGTTTCAGGATATAAAATCAATATACAAAAATCAATTATATTTCTATACACTATAAACTATCAGAAATTAAGAGAACAATCCCACTTACATCAAAAAGAATAAAATGTCTAGGAATACATTTAAGGAGATGAAACATTCATGATGGAAACTGAAGAAGACACAAACGAAGATATTTTGTACTCATGAATTGGAAGAATTAATATTGTTAAAATATCCATGCCACCCAAAGCAACCTACAAACTCAATGCAGTCTCTATCCAATTCCAGTAGCATTTTACAAAGAAATAGAACAAGCAATCCTTTTTTTGGGAAAGATTTTATTTGAGAGAGAGCATGAGTAGGGATAGAAGCAGAGGGAGAGGGACAAGTAGACTCCCTGATGAGCAGGGAGCCCAATGGAGGGTTTAATCCCAGGACCCAAAGATCATGACCTGAGCTGATGGTAGATGCTTAACTGACTGAGCCACCCAGGTGTCCTTAGAAAAACAATCCTAAAATTTGTATGGAACCACTAAAGAACCGAAACAGCCAGAACAATCTTAAGAAAAACAAAGCTGGAGGCATCATGCTTCCTGATATCAAACTATCTTACAAAGTTACAATAATCAAAATAGTATGGCATGGGCATAAAAACAGACACATAGATCAATGGAACAGAATAGAAAGCCTAGAAATAAACCCATGCAGGGCACCTGGGTGGCTCAGTCAGTTGAGCATCTGATTCTTGATTTTAGCTTGGGTCATGATCTCTGGGTCATGAGATTGAGCCCGGCATCGGCCTCTGTGCTCAACATGGAGTCTGCTTATCCCTCTCCCTCTGCTCCTCCCCATTCCCATGTGTGTGCACTCTGTCTCTCAATAAATAAAAAATCTCAAAAAGAAAAAAAAAAAGAAAGGAACCCATACAATGCATACATGGCCAATCAATTTCCAACAAAGGAGCCAAGAATATACAATGGGAAAAGATGGTCTCTTCAATAAATGGTGTTGGGAAAATGGACACCTCTCTTATACCATACACAAAAATCAACTCAAAATGAATTGAAGACTTGAGCATAAGACCTAAAACCATAAAACACCTAGAAGAAAACGGGGTAAACTCCATCAGTCTTGGCAGTGATTGTTTAGATCTGATACCTGAAGCAAAGGCAACAAAAGCAAATGGAACTACATCAAACTAAAAAGCTTCTGCATAACAAAGGACACAAACAACAAAATGGAAAGACAACTTATGGAATCAGAATATATTAGAAATCATATATCTGGTAAGAGGTTAATATCCAAAATACATAAAGAGCTCATACAACTAGATAGCAAAACAAAAATCTGATTAGAAATGGGCAGAGGAACGAAATAGACATTTTTCCAAAGACCTACAAACGGACACCAGGTATACAGAAGGGTGCTCAATAATTACTAATCATTAGGGAAATGCAAATCAAAACCACAATGAGGTATTCCCTCATACCTATTAGAATGGCTATCATCCAAAAGACAATAGTTAATAAGTGTTGATGAGGATGTGGAGAAAAGAAAACCCTTGTGTACTTTAATATAAATGTAAACTGGTGTAGCCACTGTGGTAAACAGTATGGAAGCTCCACAAAAATTTAAAGAAGAACTACCGTACCATCCAGCAATCCCAATTCTGGATATATAATCAAAGGAAACCACATCAGGATCTCAAAGGAATCTGCACTCCCATGTTCACTGCAGCATTATTCACAACAGCCAAGACATGGAAACAACTAAAATGTCCATTAATAACTGAATGGATAAAAAAGATATGGTACAAATATACAATGGAATACTATTCAGTAATGAGAAATAAGGAAATCCTGCCATTTACAACAACACAGCTGGATCCTGAGGGCATTACGATAAATGAAATATGCCAGACAGAGAAAGACAAATACTGCACACTACCACTTATGTGTGGAATGGAACTTTTTTAAAAAAGTCAAACTGACAAACAGTGTAAATATGATGGTTTCCAGGGGTTGGGAGGTGGATAAAATAGAGACTGGTAAAAGGATATAAACTTTAAGCTCTAAAATGTATAAAGTCTGAGGATCTAATATATAACATGGTGACTACAGTAGATAACATTGTATCGTACAGTTGAGGTTTGCTGGGAGGATGGAACTCAGATGTTCTTACCAAAAAAAAGAGCAGGGAGGAAGGGATGGATATGTGAGGTGACGTAGGTGTTAATTAACAAGACAGAGCAATCCTTTCACAATATATATGTGTGTCAAGTCACCATGATGTACACTTTAAATAGCTTACAATTTTGTTAATATCTTTATTTTATTTTTTTAAAAAAGATTTTATTTATTTATTCATGAGAGACACACAGAGAGAGAAAGGCAGAGACACAGGCAAACGGAGAAGCAGGCCCCAGGCAGGGAGCCCAACGTGGGACTCGATCGCAGGTCCCCAGGATCACGCCCTGGGCCAAAGGCGGCGCTAAACTGCTAAGCCACCCGGGCTGCCCAATATCTTTAAATACCTTACAATTTTTGTCAACTATACCTCAATAAAGCTGAAATTAAAAATGAAAAATTTAATAATAAATATCCTAAAAAAAGAAATAAAAAGTCAGACCTAGGTCTAATTTAGAATATAGTTATTAAAGAGAAACTGTCTCCATAGGAGACCTTATCCCTAGTTCACTGTCCTTTGCCCTATTTAAACCCACTCAAAAGTATAAATATTGACATGATGTACCTTCTATAGATAAGATATATCTTAAATTACAATCTTAAATTTTATTCAGTAAAGCTCCATAATATTTAAGTATGGATTAATATAAGGTACAGAGTCATGCATTAAGCCTAGAATGAAAAGGGAATAATTATGCAGGACAATACATTAATTTTAAAGGATACAGTTAAACTTCTTTATCTTTTCAAGTTCAGAGGCCACAGACCTGTGTAAAAAGAAAAAGAAAGTTCATGATAGCTGTCTGATTGTTTTATAACCAAAATATTTCAAGTAAGTGTGCTTGATATTTTTTCATAAAGTTTAGAATTTTTTTTACATTTTTAAAATTTAAATTCAATTCAATTGCCAACATATAACACCCAGTGCTCATCCCATCAAGTGCCCTCCTTAGTGCCCCTCATCCAGTTACCCCATCCCCCCACTCACCTCCCCTTCCGTAACCCTTTGTTTGCTTTCCAGAGTTAGGAGTCTCTCATGGTTTGTCTCCCTAAAGTTTAGAATTTAGAAAGAAGAGCCCAGAAGTTAAGAAATCTCTTTAGAGGGGTGCCTGGCTGGCTCAGTCAGGGGAGCATGTGACTCTTGATCTCGGGGTTGTAAGTTAACCTGAGATTACTTAAAAATAAAATCTTAAAAAAAAGAACTTTCTTTATGTTAGCAACACATCAACTTGACTCAACTGATACTTCTTACTGAGCACTTTTAATGAATAAGATACATGAATAAAAGTTTCTACCTCAAGGACTTTTGAATCAAGTACTGATGTTTGAAGGTAATGGGCATTTTTTTTTTTAATTTTTTTTTTTTTTTTTTTTTTTACGATAGTCATACAGAGAGAGAGAGAGAGGCAGAGACACAGGCAGAGGGAGAAGCAGGCTCCATGCACCGGGAGCCTGACGTGGGATTCGATCCCGGGTCTCCAGGATCGCGCCCTGGGCCAAAGGCAGGCGCCAAACCGCTGTGCCACCCAGGGATCCCATGGGCATTTTTTTTTAATAAGCATTTTTCTCTATTTGTTTGAAGCACGGTAAAAAAAAAAATTGGTACACTTTGGAAATTTGGTGGCATAAGGTACACTGCCATAACTTGAGGGACATTATACAGCTGAAAAAAATTCCCCTGTGTGAAACACTTTATTACCTAATTTTACCTGCCCAAACAGACCACTCGCAAATATTAGGTCAATAAACTGCTAGCATTCATAAAAAGGTAGCTTTCTTCCTAAAATGCAAGAATTTAAAAGACTGGTATCTAAACAAAGACAAGACAAAAACAAACTGCAATGAAAACCTAGATATCACATCTAAACTAAGGGTTTTCTGTTTGGGTGGTCATACTCCTCTCCCTCCCACTCCTCTAGGACCCTGTCCAGGACCCGCCTGCTACAACTTTTTTTTAAAATTTTTTTATTTTATATATTTATTTGCCAGAGAGAGAGAGAGAGAGAGAGGGGTCAAGCAAGGGGAGCGGCAGAGAGGGAGAAGCAGGGAGCCCAATGTGGCACTCGATCCCAGGACCCTGGGATCATGACCTGAGCTGAAGGCAGATGCTTAAATGACTAAGCCACCCAGATGTCCCTGCTATAATTTTTTAATACTAACCTGGCACACCCTCTGCTTTCCTCCTTAACATTTAGTTAAGACTTTAAAAACCTACTAAAATCCTATCACTTTTATGAAAGGAGTGCTCTCTCCTTCCTTGAATTCCTATAGCATTATGTTAATTAATCATATGCTTATCTGTAATATCTTCTCTTGAACTCTTTAATTTTCTGATCTTCATACCTAGATTGTCTTTTTCAAGAGAAAGGATATTTTACTTTTTCTTCTGTACTTTGCACATATAATAAGACCTCATTTATATTGAACTCTTAGGCAACAGTTTTAGAGAGCCAAGTTTTTACACAATTGAATTAGATGTCAAAACATAGTATTTCCTTCCTTCCTTCCTTCCTTCCTTCCTTCCTTCCTTCCTTCCTTCCTTCCTTCCTTCCTTCCTTCCTTCCTTCCTTCCTATAGAGAGGGAGAGGGCCAAGGGCAGAGAGAGAGAAAGAATCTTAAGCAGGCTCCATGCTTAGCATGGAGTCCCATGTGGGGCTTGATCTCACAGCTTTCAGGTTATAACCTGAGCCAAAATCAAGAGTCGGACGCTTAAGTGACTGAGCCACCCAGGTACCCCAAACATAATAAGTATTTTCTGTTAAATTTACTTAACTTATCTATTGTTTTCGTAAACACTGTATACTAAACATTCTCTTCTCCTTGATTGGAAGGGTTAACATTATGAACATTAGCTCTTACCATGTTCCACAGAAACAGACATTGGAGCAATTGGTATGGGGTAGAGGGCTAAATGTGTACAATTCCAGCAGAATCTCTTACATGTGTTCCCTCTTTTTCCTCATCAAGCTAGAATGAAATATGAGCAGTGGCACACAGCTAGAAAATAGTGTAACTCAACTAGCTCTCTGCAAAATTAATGAGGACTTTAATATCTAAAGTATCTCTCTATTCCAGTGACTAAAGAAGTCTTCATAGTTCACAAAGCGGTACAGAACTTGTCTGCTTTACTACAGTGAAACACATGCACCCCCTTGTCAACTTGCACTCTTTCCTTGTACGCTAGCCTATGGATGGAGAATGAAAGAGATCTTTCAACATTTTAGTCCAAAGCCTGCTGATTCTTCATACTTTTCTGGTCATAAGCAAACAATACAAACTACCTTTAATGTTGTTGCTCAAATGATGAACCAACTTCTTGTGAACTATCTACTGTACTATTTTTTTTACTAGCATCCCTATTAAAAAGTTGAATCAGTAAGTTAATAATAGAAGGTGAGGGGGATCCCTGGGTGGCTCAGCGGTTTGGCGCCTGCCTTTGGCCCAGGGCGCGATCCTGGAGTCCCGGGATGGAGTCCCACGTGGGGCTCCCTGCATGGAGCCGGCTTTTCCCTCTGCCTGTGTCTCTGCCTCTCTCTCTCTCGCTCTCTCTCTCTCTCTCATGAATAAATATAAATAAATCTTTTAAAAAAATAATAGAAGGTGAACTGGAAAAAAATACTGAAATAAATTCAGGTAGCTGTTCACTGTGCAATCACTTCTCTTCCTTCAACACACCTTCTTTGACAAGAAAACAAATCACAGTGGATATCTTAGGCTTTGCAAGGGAAATGGAGCTATTGTCAGGGACTGGCTTTCTCTCCCTACTTTTCCTCAATTGCTTTGTCTCTGCCACTCCTTGTTGTCCACCACCACCCCACCACCCCCACCCCACCCCCAGCTGCTATCGCCAATATGCATCTCTCTCACACCCTCACATTGTAGTGACAGTTACCCTCTTCAAAGCCTTCATATGAAAAGGCTAGCATCTTACAAGCCTTGCCAGCTGAGCGATGATGGAGTGACCAATCTTATAGTTATGTACAATTGCCCTTTTATCCCAACTACCTTTTTTGCGAGCTACTTGGGCAACTTTTCTGCTCCCAAACAGGCGGTAGCTGAAGAATGGAGGATCTGGAAAGCTGAATTCCTTAGGACACCTAAGATATTCAAATAACATCTACTGATTTGATTTGTACCTCTTTCTCTCACTAATTTAGGAAAAGGTGGTAAGAATCCAAATTAATGTCTATATTTTTTTCACCATGCTATGCTAAGATACCTTACAAACCAGCTTAAAGCTTCCTACATTATTCCTGGCATTCCACTTTTCCCATATAGGTTTCCTCCACTATCCAAAAGTAGAGCATTCCTATGAAAAATTTCATAAACTGAAATGGCATAAAGCTAAAAAACAACTACCATTAATTTTTATGGAAATTTTTTTGATCATTCCCACACCCTAAAAATAACTTCTCTTAAGCTTTTTCTGTCACCTGAGGATACATCTTGCTAATGGACACACAAAATAAATTGAGATAAAGTACAGAGGTTTACAGACACGTTCAAAACTATGGTGGCTTAAAGCTAAGATGCTGAGTGTAGTTTCCAGGCAAGGAGGTCGGAAGGCCCACTCTGCCTCATTGGGGTGCAAGCTGCCTCTTTAAGAGCTCATTGCAAAACAAAAGCTGAATGCTATTTTCACTTTTTGCCTTTTCTCTTAAAAGTGAAAATCCTTTTTGGATTTCTTTTGGTTGGCAAAAACAGGTATATACTCCCATCCAAGTACTAACCAGGCCTGACCCTGCTTAGCTTCTGAGATCAAAGAAGATCAGGCATGTTGAGGGTGGTATGGCTGTAGAAAAATGGGTACATACTAATGTAGATCTTTCGTAAAAGCGAAGTCATGTAATGTAAACTTTCAAAAAGTGGGGGATACCTGCATATTCAGATTCTGCTCAGTGATCCTATAACGTTCCTGATGACTCTCCTTTCTGCTATTTTTTCTACTTAGGAACTTGTAATTCCATCAAGTCTGAGCTCCTTTACTGATCACAAGATCCATTCCTATCGAAACTCACACTACAGCCTAACAGATAGCATCTGCTCCACAAAACTATTTTCTCACTTTCTCCACAAGACAAAATATACTTTTTACCTCTGTCCTTACTCCTTCCATAACATGTTTTAATTTTTCTCAATATTCCTTTGAGGCCCAGTTTCAGTCCCCTGCATTCTAAAAGGCACACAGGAAGGACCAAAATACTTTATTCGTTGATTTGTCAGTTAATTTGGGAGAGGTAATTACTATGATAGAAATGATTTCAAAATCAACTTTTTCTGAAAGTTTATTATGTTAGTCAACATTTTATTTCTTTTAATATTACTAAAATTAAAAAAAAAATCTCCTTTAAGTTTTTCCGTAAAGTTTTCAGGGTGAATTTATCACATTAAAAGAGTTACCCATTTTGATATAAAGTTTTCAGTGCAGTTTTTGACCTTCAGATAAAATAAAATGATGAAATGTAATAAATTAGATATTTGATTAAAGGTAAATTATTTTCAACCTTAAGCTATCAGAAAAAGTCTTAGAGTTTACCATTTGACATTTTAAATTTTTGTGTCTCTTCTACACAGATGAAGTTTGCAAGAAATATAAATACCAATTTTCTTCAAGAACAGAAGATGAAGGATGTGTGGACATCTCTCTCTGACTAGTCTGGGTCAGTCTTCTGCACCATGATATAACTGCTGTCACATATCTAGATTGAAAATATTAAAAGAAATATCTGAAAAATGAACTTGTATATTTAGAAAAGCATTTTTTAAAAAGGAAAAATTATTAAGGCAACTTGGGGAAAAAGGATAAAGAAATTCCCAAGTGAGGCATTTATTGGGCAATTTTTTGAATCTTTTTTAAAAGGGAATGGAAAAGGCAAATTTTTCTCATTATTTATCAAGAATAGAATGTTCATGGCCATGATAATAAAGATGAGATTTCAGAATCGAACAAAATATTTGGATTTCATTCAAAATTCAAATTCAAATATCTAGTCTTTTAGTTTTACAAAGTTAAATGAGTTTAATTATGTTGTATAATGAAAATATCTTTACACATTAAGACTAAGTGAGCATTTACTTTCTAAAATTAAAAAAAAACACAAAAAACCCACCAAAAATTAAAAAATAAAATTAAACCAAAACACACTAATTCTCCCCTACACATATACATAAATGTGTAATTATATATAACTCATTCAATATACAAAACAAGTATCAAGTTCAATAAAATGAATGATCTGAAGTGATGGGCTAAAACAAATAGTAATGTTCGCCAAAGAACGTATTTTTTTTAAAAATTATTTTTTTTTTAGAGAGAGAGAGCGCACATGTCTATGTGTGTGCGTGCGTGCAGAGGGAGGGGTTGAGAGAGAGGGACAGAATCTCAGGTAGATTCAGGCTTATTCCCATAACCTTGAAATCACGACCTGAGCGAAAATCAAGTGTCTGACACTTCACTGAACCACCCAAGGCCCCACGACGCTGTATTTTAGATGCAAATTATTCAAACTAGCAATGAATGTTGAAGCATTTAGACCAAAATGCAATAAATTCTAAAAGAAAAATAAATTCATGAAGTAAAAAAGCAATTCTTCTGTGAACATTCTCAAGTAAAAATCACTAATATGTTGAGAACATTGCAAGTTGACTGATTATAACAAATTACATTAATCAAAAACAGAAAAGGCATATTCATAAAAGCTGATTTCAAGAATCTTCTCCATTTTAAGCATCAGTGAATTAATTTTATTCCATTTTACAGAAGTATACATAAGTTTGGCGGCAATTTTTGCAAACTTTATTTCAAACTGGTTAAGGAATTAGTTAATTAAGAAACATAGCTGTCCACATTCGAACTTCCACAGCAAGCCAGTTATACTGAAAACATTTATTTTGACTAACCACTTGAATACAAATGGAAATGATTAAAGCTAACTTGATTTATTTAGTTATGCTAGATGCCAATATTACTGTAAATTCTGAAACCTATTGAAATGATATCATGTACATTATCTACCTGGAAAACCTAAAAATATATATAACATTTATTATTATTTTTTATATGTAACATTTAAATAATGTTTGGGGCAACCCACTTGGATACCTGCCCTCTTTGGGGAGCTTTGTACTATCACTCAATAAATTTTGTTTTACTAACATTCAAAAAAGAAAAAAAAATTATACACTTCCCCTCTAAAAGTTACTTAACTATTATGAAAATAATTTTTTAAAAATATTTTATTTATTCATGAGAGAAAAAGACAGAGAGGCAGAGACATAGGCAGAGGGAGAAGTGGGCTCTCTGCGGGGAGCCTGAAGCAGGACTTGATCCCAGGACCCCGGATCATGACCTGAGCCAAAAGCAGATGTTCAACCACTAAGCCACCCAGGTGCCCCTGAAAATAATTTCTAAAAAAAATTTTTTTTTTTTAATTTTTATTTTATTTATGATAGTCACACAGAGAAAGAGAGAGGCAGAGACACAGGCAGAGGGAGAAGCAGGCTCCATGCACTGGGAGCCCGATGTGGGATTCGATCCTGGGTCTCCAGGATCGCGCCCTGGGCCAAAGGCAGGCGCCAAACCGCTGCGCCACCCAGGGATCCCCCCCTGAAAATAATTTTTAAAACTGCTTTTCAGTACCTTTCATATGGTCCAGGGTGTTCAATCTGAATTAACTGATCTTGTCCATCAGGAAAAGTTAATTTACACCAACCTAAATTGAGGCCTTGATTGACCTTAAGAAGCAAGGAGGAAAGGTAAGTTTTATCATTATGAAACTGAAACAAAACATAAAACACAACAAAAGCCTCTTCTATATTATCAGTTTAAAAAATAAGTAGGTGAATCATTAAAACTTTATTTTGACTAATTTAAAAGTTATCTTTTACAGGAATTATGGGCATTATTGAACCACCACTCTATCAGTCTTTCTCTATATAGCTATCTTTATAAAAATGATTTTTTTTGTCATCCTTTCTGATTTTTGATAGGAAATCCAATGAGATTAATAAAGCTTCTTGACAGATTTTATATTTCAAAAAATAAATTGAGATAGTGTGGTATTTTATTTTCTTTGTTCTATTTCCACAGATAAAAAACAATAAGAAATAAATTTCAGTCTGAAATATAATCACCTGTCTCTTTTCAATCAAAGAGCTGAAATTCCAATTTAAGGTTAGAGTGATGCCATCTAGAAAGAGAGTGTGTACTTTGTCATCAGAGTATGCAAGAAATCTTCCCACGCTGGGTATGACCGATTCTCTCAAAAGCACAGGCAATATATTGCTATCATTTATCCCAGGCACCTAAAACCAAGTTAATAAAAATAGCAGGAAAGAGAGTTATCCATTATTGACTTAAATGATCAATAAACTCTGAGGCAACTTTATTCAGAAGTTGAATATTGTAGAATCCTTACATGTTTTAGTTTTTCCAGAAGTAGATACCCATATTAGTCTATTATGAGCAGATTAAGTTCTAATATATTTGGAAAGTTACTGTTCTTTTTGGAAAGTTACTGTTTTCCATAGAACATAGAAAAACATTAGGAACTACAGCAACATATAGGTTTCTAACTAAATTAGTACAGATATAGAAATGAAAGTCTGAAAATTACTTCCTCTAAGTCAATGTTAAAGAATTTACTTTTACAGTTATGGAAATAGAATACTATAATATCATAGTTTAAAATAACTACATTTCCACTTCAAATCCAATCAATTCCTCCGCCCTGCCCCCTCCGCTAAGAAAAAAGAAACAAAAACAAATTATAGACAAAGTATAACATAAAAGCTGGATTTTGCAGTGTTTATCTAGTAAGTGGATATTTTTCTGAATAAACCACTATTAATGTTACAGATAATTTTTCACATGACTTCGATGAAAGTAATTTGAACCTGGAGGTATGTATGCAAACAATAAAATAATTTTTAAAATCTTGCTTTAAAATAATTTTAAGGGGCCCCTGGCTGGCTCAGTCAGTGGTGCATGTGACTCTTGATCTCAGAGTTGTGAGTTCAAGCCCAAAGTTGGGTACAGAGTTTACTTAAAAATAGAAATCTTGAAAATAATAATAATTTTAAGATACCATCTTCCAGCAGCATATACGATAGTTATGGCTTAAGGAAAGCCTTGTCTTGGCACAGTGTTGAAGAATTCTGTGAACATGAAAAACAGTACTTAAACAGTTGCATATAATGGCATTTTCCTATTCTAGCAATGCATTCTCACTGCTATACACCATGTTGGGCAAGTAACTCATTTCCACTAAAATATGTTCAGAATACCTTTCTGTCTTTCTTAAATCCTTTATCCCCTGGAAGGGGGTTGCTTTCCTTTATGTTAATTTCACATAGTTAAGGTTATTCCTCTAATTTTTTAGCAATGAAATGACTCAAAATGGAGAGAATTTTCAGTTGCTCTTTTGTAAGAGGTGATGGACTCACAGCACCTGAAAGGTTCTATATGGTTTAAGAGTGCTGGGGAAGGTTAATCAACTGTCTGTGGGAAATCAAATTAACAATTCTGCTCCTTCAAACCTACTTTGGAAGTTGCTTAGACATAAGTTTGTAAAAATAAATAATTTAATCCAACAATACACTTTCATGGTTCTGACTGCTAACAGATTACTTAGGAGAATTTAAAAACCATATGAGCCAAAGTACCAAACTACACTTCGTTTCCTATATACTCTCAGAATCTCTATTATTCTGAAGATAATAAAGGATGAAAATTTTAAATGTATCATCAAATCCTCAGTTTGATTCCAAGGCACAATAATGATGCACTAACCCAGAGAAAAGGCACTAATTTCCTACCAGTGTTTGCTTGCCATACATGGATGTTTCGCCATATTTAGCTTTAAACTTCAAAGCCAGAAGTACTCTCATAAGGATGTGATTACCTTATTTTATAAATGAAGAGACAAGAAAAATTGATAGATTTTACCCAAAACAGATATTTCCACTGTACTTATTCTTACCCTAACCACCAGAAAATGTATCAGGATTCTCAGACACGCGAATGTGAAGTCAGCGTGTCAAGAACTTGAATTGAGTCAGCGAATGTGAAGAACTTACCCGGTTGCCTGTTTAATTAGGGAATACACAGAGAACAGACTTCCTGGTCTATCAGGAGGAAGGTTATTTACTGAATAAGTTTTCTCTTCTCTCTGAAAATTAATTTAGAATGAAATATCTCAATAATAAATCTTGGCCATTATTACTTAACTATTTTTGATTTTATATTTACATTGTGACAAGGCAAACAGTTATTTTAACTTAAAAGCCCATAAAAGGTATATTTTTAAAGGTATTTTATGCTTTTCCTTTTTCCCAATTTTTTTTTTAAGTCTAGCTTTCCTCCTGGATAGTTATAAAACTTGCATGCTAATACCCTATAACTTACTGCCCACTTTAAATTTTGGCTATACTTAATATGGCAACCAAATTAATTTTCCTACACATTAGCAGAAAACTTATCATATAAGCCGCCTTTCCCCTTTAGACCAAAAAAAAAGCTATTTTAATTGAACAAATATATAATTTTATTATATTTATTAACGGAAGAACTATTGCTATAGTTTGTGGAAGACAACATTATTTATAAGCTCAGCTTCTTGAATTAAAAAAAAATTGTCATCCCTTCTGAATTCCCTCTTTCTCAGACTCTTTAATACTTGTGTTTCCCCGAACTTTGTCTTCAGCCTTATTTTTTGATTTCCTGATTTCTTCCCTGGTAATGCTAGCAGGGTTCAAAGTTGTGTTCATAATAAATATAATATCAATAGCTAACGTGTATTGAACAGATACTATATGCTGGGTGCAATGCTGTGTAATTTACATGGTTTATTTTATTTACTCCTCAAAACAATTCTTTTTTTTTAATCTTTTTTTTTTTTAAGATTTTATTTATTTATTCATGAGAGACACAGAGAGAGAGGCAGAGACACAGGCAGAAGTAGGCTCCCTGCGGGGAGCTTGATGTGGGACTCCATCCCAGGGCCCTGGGATTACGACCTGAGCCAAGGCAGATGCTCAACCACTGAGCCACTTAGATGCTCTCCTCAAAACAACTTTGAGATAAGAACTATAAATGCCTATTTTTTTTAGGATGAGGAAACCGAAGCTTGAGGGCTAAGAAGTAGCACAAATCTAATTTGAACCACAAGAGAATACAGCCCATATGTACTTTACTGTCAATCAGAGAAGATGGGCTTTGAAGTTAAGACAACGCGGATTCAAATCACAGGTGTGCCTCTTACTAACTTAATGATGGGCAGGTTTATGCAACCTTTTGGGTTTTTTTTTAAAGATTTATTTATTTATTTTAGAAAGAGAGAGTATGCGAGCACGCAGCAGGGACTGGCAGGGGTGGGCAGTGGGGGAAGGAGAGGAGGAAAGAATCTGAGGCAGACTCTGCAGTAAGCAAGAGCCCCAGGCCAGCTCAATCTCACAACCAGGAGAGGAGACCACGGCCCCAGCCCAAACCAATTTTAACAAGAAGCCAGACATGCAAAGAGTTGAGCAAGTAGTAATGATCCCTCAACTCTATACTCCTCCAACCTCTATCCTTCTTTTGTATAATTCCTTCTTTAAAATTATAGGTCTAGGAACACCTGCCTGGCTCAGTCGCCAGAGCATCTAACTCTTGGCCTTGGGGTTGTGAGTCTGAGCCCCATGTTGGGTGTAGAGATTACTTACTAATAAAATAAAATATAATTATAGATCCTAGCTCAGCCATGTTATCCTTCAGAAGACTTTCCCACCAAACTGGGTCAGGTGCCCCTCCTTATGTGGTTCCAAAGCACCAAGTTCTACAGAAGCACGCACATCTTGAGTCCTTGTCAATCTTTCCTATTTAAAATTTTAAGTATATAAGTAGCAATACATCACTACATTTTTTTTGGGGGGAAAAAAAGGTTAAAAAAACAAGGTTAAAATCCTTCCCTACTTTTCCTCCTCCATAAAATCCCACACTCCTCCCCAGAAGTAACCACTTCAGTTCAATTTTTTATTTTGTTTTTTTCTTATAGATTTATTTATTTATTTATTAGAGAGAGAGAATGAGTGGGAGAGGCAGAAGGAGAGGGAGAATCTTAAGCAGACTCCCCGCTGAGAGTGGTGCCCAACCCCTGGCTCAATCTCACAACCCTGAGATCATGGCCTGAACCAATATCAAGAGTCAGACACTTAAGCTGATTGAGCCCCTTAAGTTCGGTTTTTATTTGCCCAGATATTCCCCTGTGCATTTGTATGTTTATTATATACAGTAATATATCTGGGTTTGGGGTTTGTTTTTGTTCTTTACACAAAGGATACCACTGTACGTGTTCTTCTGCAACTTTCCTTTTTCATGGTGTTTGAAGATCTTTTAATCTATGTATCAATATCTTCCTCATTCCTTTAAACTGCTGCACAATGTCCCTATAATCTGACAACACATCTCATTTCACCATTTCTCTACTGATGAGCATTTAGATGGCCTCCAGTTTTTTGCTACTACAAACAATGCCACAATCCACACCCTTGGACATATTTCTTTGTATATATGTGCTAACATTCTGCTAGGATAGATACCTAGAGGCAGAAGTTCTAGCCAATTTAACTTGATATTATCAAATTGTCCTTCATGAACGCTGAATCAATTTATACTCCAGCCAGCACTGTAAAGGCATCCTTTCCACCACACCCTTGCCCATGGCAGACACTATCGACCTTTCAATAACTTAATGAATGAAAAATGTTATTTTAATCAATTTCTTTGATGCAAGCAGTAAGGTTAGACATGTTTCCAAATATTAGGAGTTATTTATATTTATATAATATAAATATTATATATTTATAAATACATAAATATATTTATATTTTCTATGGCTTGACCACTGTTATTTTTTACTCATTTTTCTATGAGAGGTTTTTGGGTGGGTTTTTTGTTTTTGTTTTTTTGTTTTTTTTTTGTCTTTCTATTCTAATTTATAGTGTAGAATATTTTCTTGCAGGCTTTTGCTTGTCTTTTTGGCTTTATCTAATTTAAGAGAAGTTAAATATTTAAAATTTAACATGTTTGAAAACTTACAATAAGAAAGTTTGGTTTCAAAATTTAAAAAAAAAAAAAAAAAAAAGGATCCCTGGGTGGCGCAGCAGTTTGGCGCCTGCCTTTGGCCCAGGCTGCGATCCTGGAGACCCGGGATCAAATCCCACGTCGGGCTCCCGGTGCATGGAGCCTGCTTCTCCCTCTGCCTGTGTCTCTGCCTCTCTCTCTCTCTCTCTGTGTGACTATCATAAATAAATAAAAATTAAAAAAAAAAGAAAGTTTGGTTTCTTGAACACCAATAAAAAATAAATTTATTATTAAAAAAAAAAAAGAAAGAAAGTTTGGTTTCTTACACTTAGTCCTTTCATCCATCTGGAATTTATTTTTAAAGTATGGGCTAAAGTAAGAACAATTTTATCCTGAAAAGACAGCCACTTTTTTCTAAATCTCTTCACTCAAGTGGACAGAGGTGGAGTGTTGCTCACAGAGGTCTGAGTGAAGACCAAAGCAGTCGACCACAAAGGCACAATTTGTCTGGACATTTTGTTTTACTCCCAAAGCTCATGTTTTCCCTCCATGATATGTTTGCTTCGATATAAAAATTATCATTCCGGGGGCATCCGAGTGGCTCAGTTGGTTATGCATCTACCTTTGGCTTAGGTCATGATCTTAGGGTCTTGGGATTGAGCTCCACTTTGGGTTCCCTGCTCAGGGGGGAGTCTATTCTTTCTCTTCCTTTCCCCTCCCTCCCACTTGTGCTTTCTTTCTCTCTCCCTCAGATAAATAAAATAAATCTTTATGAAAAAAATTATCATTCTTCTTCCTGACACTTTTGAGTAAAACTGAAGCTCCAGGAAGATGTCTTGTATTTATCTTGTACATTTTCAAACTCCCAATACATAGCAGTCAGCAGCAGAAGTATGCATACTCGCTCTATTTGTTTACTTAACTGTCTCATACACTACACACACACATACACACACACACACACAATGTAGGTCACACTTATTTCATTTGCTCCTTTGCCTATCTGACTACTAGGCTATGAACCCTTGAAGGCAGGCACCCTTCAACCTTACCTAGTGTTTGACAGAGTATCTGATACTCTGCCTAGGAGTGTTCAATTAATATGTATTGAATAAATGAATACTTTTCTACAAATAGACCCAGTGGGGAATCTGTTTATATATATATATATATATATATATATATATATATATATATAGGCACTAAAACAGTAATGAATGGAAACATATTTGAGATTTACTTAAAATATAAATAAGGAGTAGAGAGGGCACTGGGAAATATAGATAGAACAAGTGATAAACAATTTATCACTCAAAGTTCCACTCTGTAATATGGAATGTGTCAGCCTGCAAAGCAAAGCCAGATCACTATGGTGATCCTTACTTAAGGGTGGATGTCAAATGTCAGACTGGGAACAAGCAAATTTAGATCATTAACAATATAGCCATACTATTACATTTTGGTCTGAAATGTTAAATATATCATGTTATATTTCACTGTTTTCAAAACAGAGAACAATCTTGTTCAATTTTTTCTTTTTTTAAAAAAATATATTTGGGATCCCTGGGTGGCACAGCGGTTTAGCGCCTGCCTTTGGCCCAGGGCGTGATCCTGGAGACCCAGGATCGAATCCCACGTCAGGCTCCCAGTGCATGGAGCCTGCTTCTCCCTCTGCCTATGTCTCTGCCTCTCTCTCTCTCTCTCTCTGTGACTATCATAAATAAATAATAAAAAAATAAAAAAAAAAATAAAAAATATATTTATTTATTTCAGAGGGTGGGGAGGGGCATGGGGAGAGGGAATCCCAAGCAGACTCCATGCTCAGGGTGGAGCCCAACACGGGGCTCAATTGCATGACCCTGAGATCACAGCCCAAGCCAAAACCAAGAGTCAGACGCCTAACCATTGTACCAGCCAGGTGCACCTTGTTCAACTTTCTAGTTATATATAAAGATTTAGGAGTTAAGAGGTATTTTAAATATGCAAACAGTTACGTGGTGGGGGAAAAAAAAGAAATGTGCTTTTAATGTGCATATATTAATTCAAATAGGTATACTGATTCAAAGTAATGCTGCTGGTTTTAGTGTTTCCTTATTGATCAATTCTTTGACATAAGAAGTTTAAATTTAACTTCTGATTTAAACACAAATTGGGAGGGGGGGAAATAAACACAAATTGGGGTGCCTGGCTGGCTCAGTCAGTAGAGTGTGTGACTCTAGATCTCAGGGTTGTAAGTTTGAGCTCCACCTTGGGTGTGGAGCTCACTTAAAAATAAAATCTTAAAACTTATTAATTTGTGATTAAAATCACAGATTACGTAGGCAAATAACTGGCAGAAGAGTGGAGGAGGATGCAGTAAGAATAAGGTGGTTACTATCACTGGGACAATGCTGGCAAAGGGTTATATTAATTCTCCAGACTGCATAGTAGTAAGCAAGCAATATTAGGTAAAAATAGAATTTCCTATATATATTGAGAATTATTTCGAAACAGCTATATACAGGGGTGCCTGGGTGGCCCAGTCAGTTAATTGTCTGCCTTCAGCTCAGGTCAAGATTCTGAGGGTCCTGGGATCGAGTCCAGAGTTGGGTTCCCTGCTCGTGCAGAGTCTGCTTCTCCATCTCCCTCTGCCTCTCCCCCCTGCTCATCCTCTCTCTCTCACTCTCTCAAATAAAATCTTTAAAAAAGAAAAAGAAACAGCTGTATACAAAAATCTACTTGAGCCGAGATATCATTGTCAGCTTACCTCTTCTGATCCTTCTTGAATGGAATAATATGTAAAATACTTCCCAAGATAAGTTCCCTCTGATTTGAAAAGAGATCCATCTCCAGGATAAATCTCTATTGAGTTCACATTTTTATGGGTTAGTCTAAGGAAGAAAAATAATCATTAAAAAACGTTTTTTTCTAATTGAGACTAAAACATAAATGAGAGCAATCAAAAAAAAAAAAAAAAAAAGCAAAAGCAAAGTAGTATGGGATTTTGCCCATCCAGCAAAAATGGATAATTTCCACCCAATCAGCTAAATTAAATTAAAAAAAAAAAAAAGAACACATAGAATTGACTAATGTAGCTATTTTGACAACTAAGCCTAGTTTCTGGAAGTCAGGCATCTTGTCATCCTGGTATACCCACTGCCAATCATGGTAGCTGGCACATACTAGTCACCAACCAAAGAAATGCCCATTGCAAAGGAGTTAAATAAACTCCAGAACCTGAAAATAAGTTTATTCTTTAATAATGAAACTAGTAGAATCAATAGCTGATGAATGAGATTAGCCATGTGTAAAAGAAGCCATCCTGGAGAAAAGGTGACTTGATCATACCTGAAGCAGCCAAGAAAATCAAGGTATTAGGTATATAATGCATAAAAACTCCAGCCATGTCAGTTTTTTTTTTTTTTTTTTTTTTAAATATATGAAGAGAGACGTTTGAGTGGCTTAGGAGTTTAGCGCCTGCCTTTGGCTCAGGGCATGATCCAGGTCCGGGGATCGAGTCCCACATCGGGCTCCCTGCGAGGAGTCCGCTTCTCCGTCTATGTCTCTGCGTCTCTCATGAATATAAATAAAATCTTTAAAATATATATATATATAATATTGTCATATATAATATTGTCAGGAGGGTATGTGCTTTCATGTAAGGAGAGCCTAAAGAACAAAATGTTGCAGTGCTCTTCCAGCATTATTTATAATAGTGAAACCCTGAATCTAGCCAATATTAGTATTCTAGTCACCAGGGAAGTATACTTTGTGGTGGTGTAGGGATAATTCAATGGAATAGTGCAGACACAGATGAGCCTCTAATCTTCTCTAAGTCCATGCTCAACAGGCAACATTTTGATGTGACTAATTCAGACAACTAGATCCCTTGATGCTTGTAAGGGGTATCCTATAAATAACTGACATGAGTATTTCATTCACTAGCAAAACTAATCCTTATTGGCTCTGGAGTTGTCACAAAAATCTTGTGAATGTGGTTATTGTGAATTAATCACAAGACCCCTATGTGTACTAATAAAAGTAAGTTTTGAAACCTACAAAATTTAGAACTATATAGAAGAACAAGGGCCCTGGCCAAACTGTGTCCTTTTGTGGGAGTCTGTCTGCAAGGCTAGTCCCCTCCCCTCTGACATCACTAAAGAGCTCCAACTCCAACACAAGTGCCTTACCGATAAGTTACGCCTTTGTACCAGACCACTTTTACTAGTTCAGGATAGGAATATTCTTCATCAAAAGGTCTTTGTGAAAGTGAATCGCAAAAATCCCATCTGTGGAGGACAAAATACAAGCTATTATTTCTGGTTGTTTGACATAATTATTACCTTGAGAAGTCCATAAAATACTGGCTACTGGAAAAATATTTATTTCTTACTTGTTAGATCAAAGAAAAGTAAAAATATAAATGTGTAAGAAGGAAATTAACACTTATCTTATTTTTCCATGGAATTTTAAAAAAGTGCAAATGAAAAGTAAAAATTAATATAAATGTATAAGAAGGAAATTGAACACTAATCTTATTTTTCCATGGAATTTTCTCAGTATGTTTAACAATCTCACCATTTCATCTCAGCACAATCATACAAATTAACAGTTTTACTAATCTTTATTTATTTATTCATTCATTTTAGTTTTACTAATCTTCAAAATTTAGGATTCAAATGACAAATATTCACTGCAATATTTATGCCACACACACTGGGGATATAACACCGAAAAAAGAAGACAAGGTCACTGCTGTCAGTGAAAATTCCTATCAAGCAGGGATGTGAAATAGAAGACACTGAACACAGAGAGGAGAGTTACTGGATGCTGTGGGATTGTACAACCTAATCCTGTCTGGGGACCTGAGGATAACCACTCCAAGCAGGAAAAGCTTAAGCCAAGACCTGGAAATGGGCACACGTTAGTGAACTGAGATACAGCAGTGCTCCTGGCAGAGGAAAGAGCAGGTGCGGTGGTGAAACAGAGCTTGGACATTCTAGAGACTGTAAAAAGTCCAGTTGAGCAAAAGTAGAAAAAGCAAGGGCAAGAGTGCTGAGGACTACCAATGTAAGAAGAGATCAGAAAATGGAAGGCCTGCTTAGCCATGTTTAAAGATAAGGGATTTTAATCTACAGTTAGTGGCAAATTATTGAAAACTGTTCATTTAGAAGCTTAAATCTCTTTCAATGTGTACTTACTATTACTGGAACTTCCGATTTTAACTAGATAATCATGACAAGCCTGAAAATCACTCCCTGGTTTTGCTTTAAATAATAAATATATTCTCAGAGACTACCTGGGATCAAAGCCCAATTCTACAAGCACTCGTTATGTGACTCTGCTCAGGTTATTTAACCTTCTTCTACCAAGTGGGGCAATAACAGTTACTTACCTCATGGAATTTCTATGATAATCTAGTAGGTGAAGTACTGAGGTGCCTGGCACATAAACACTCTGTGGCAGCTCTTACCGTTACTATCGTACTACTTATAGAAGTTCATTGAACCATTAAGGTGAATGGAACCATTCACCTCTTATTAGAGGGAAAAGGCTTCTAGCTGGCCTCCAGAAACCTCTCCATGTTTACCGCTTTTTTCAAAAATTTTCAGTGATTAGGAATAGTGTAGGGGAGGCCTGCACTGACATGAAGCGCGAGTACGACCAGTGCTTCAATCGCTGGTTTGCCGAGAAGTGTCTTAAGGGGGATGGCTCCAGAGACCCGTGCACCGACCTCTTCAAGCGCTATCAGCAGCGTGTTCAGAAAGCAATAAAGGAGAAGGAGATTCCCATTGAAGGACTGGAATTCATGGGCCATGGCAAAGAAAAGCCTGAAATCTTCTTGAACTTGACAGTCACCTTGAAAATAGACTCCTCCAATCAGGAAATTGAGGACACTGGATTTCATCAATTAAGGCCATGAAAATAGCCATCAATTGATGAGTTTAGGAGGGAGTTTTCTTTTCTCCTTGATTTCCTCTCACTTGTAAAAGATGATGAACCATCACTCTTTGCTCTGAGATGAGTTTTCACTTGTGCTATGGCATCTTGCAGGAACCTCACCTACTAAAACTGAATGATTTCTTGGGATTATGGGTACAATACTTGGTCTAGGATCAGCTTTAAATATCCCTTGTGTGTAAATACTGATAAACTTGTCAGGATGATCAGGGTTGCCTGACCTCTTGAGTTTGCTTCAAAGGACATTAAGTACATTGTACTAGGGTTATTATTATTCATGGAAGCAACTGGTTAGGATCTCTCTTCTCTCAGGGAGCTAAGGCTCTGAAAAGGGATTCCAGCACAACGGTTTTAATCAATGCTTGGGGGACGGTTTTATTTTTATATAACAACTTTTAAGATTGCTGGTGGACTGGGTTAGCCAAGAGGAAGACAGTCTTAAGAGTTCCTAGCCTTAAGAAAAGGTGTCAGATTTCTGATTAAGGTATGAAAGCTTGAAGAATGTTGCAGTACACACCATTTCAGAGCTCATAGTATAGTTTAGGAATTAAGATCCTTGGAGTAACAATGGAAGATCCTAAACTGCAGAGATTTGCTGTTCCCAGCTTTCAGCCCAAGTCAATTAATTAGGTCTACCTATATTATCATAAAACTGCCAAAATGCTGCATCTGGTTAAATGGGACAAGAGTTTGTTTTATTTGCCTTGTGTACCCACCCTGCCCTGCAATGTCTGTAATCATGTAGACAGAATAAATTGTAACATTTAGTTTCCAAAAAAAGAAAAAAAAATCCAGTGATTAGATTTAGAGTTAGCAAACCAGTCAGGCTAGGTATGAAAGAAAAGAACCCATGATCATAAACTAGTCAGATCCATGCTCCAGCAACCAATGTAACGGACTCCACGGAGTGGCAGCTGATGCTCCTCTGTGCTCACCACCAGCGCCCTGTGCCATCACTTACCAAACTTCAATAATCTATTCAGTGACAGTGCCCTTTGAGGAGTCTAAGCGCCTAGAAAGCAGGGACTGTGTCTCTGTCATCCCTAGAGCCTCTGTGTTTTACAAAGTATGTAGTGTCCAGTCAGCCTCCCATCAACACTCAACGCTTGGGCACAGAGTAAGAAACATAAGTGACACATTGGCTAGGGAAATTATTTACTATCGGTTATTAGCAGAGTTTTGGATCACTGAATGAACTTTTCTTATGAATGATAGCAGATGGGTAGCCCAGGTGGCTCAGCGGTTTAGTGCCGCCTTCAGTCCAGGGCCTGATCCTGGAACCCCGGAATCGAGTCCCACGTCAGGCTTCCTGCATGGAGCCTGCTTTCTCCCTCTGCCTGTGTCTCTGCCCCATCTCTTTCTCTGTCTTTCATGAATAAATAAATAAAATCTTAAAAAAAAACCTGAATGGTAGCAGATGACTGAGAAACAAGAGCTTTATGACAAAAAAAAAAAAAAAAAAAAAAAGCCATTCTTCCATTACCTGTGTAGGTGGGGGACAGGACAGCTGAGTAACAGGGCCCTGGGAAGAACAGAAACCTCTTTTCCTCTTTCCTCTGAAATATCAGAAGTTAAAGTTCTACTCTGGGTGATATCTGCATCAATTCCAGACATGCTGCTGATTTTATTACGAAAACGAAGTGCTAGAGACAAAGGATATCTCCATTCCTCTGGACAGGAGGCCACAGGCCAGCACTGCTTCACCCACGTGTATACACATGTGTGTTGTGTACTAGGAAGAGGTGCATCCTCCTTCCCTTCGGCTCCATTTACACAGCTCTTCTTCTCTAAAGGTTCCTTGGATTTCGTGATCTGACAATAGAGCTCATTTTCTTTATTCTTCAGTCTCTGTCTTGATAAACTTCCATATGTACAAATTTTGCCTGCTTTTTCAACTAGTTTATCCTTTCTGGCTTGATTCTTCTTTTCTGACAATACTACAGACGAGTCTGGCTTCTGGCTTACTTTACACAAAAAATGTACTATAAATTCATGCTGCAATTTGGGCAGGCAAAGGTATGCGTGCCCATCTAATGATGATATCTTCACGGTGCCACTCTGCATACATATCATGCCATCATCAGTGTCGCCACTGGGCCATCTCACTTCTGAGAAGTCAATGAAAATACGCTGAGTTGAGGGGAGAAAGAAATGGGGAGTATTTTGTTAGTAGTCCAATGTTTCTGTACATTTGATGCTTACAAATTGTGTAAGAAAACTCCTTAAGTTTTGTGTTTTACTACCTAAAGAGAATGAAAAATAGAGAGCAAGGTGTTGGCCTATATATATTTTTCCACAGAAGATTTGATACTGTTAAGATTATCTCACTTAGAGAGAGAGAGAGATATAAAATACACACACACACACACACATACACGCGCGCACATACAGATAAAGAAGGAGAGAGAAGGGACGCCTAGGTGGCTCAGCAGCTGAGCATCTGCCTTCAGCTCAGGATGTGATCCTGGAGTCCTGGGATTGAGTCCCACATTGGGCTCCCTGCATGAAGCCTGCTTTTCCCTCTGCCCATGTCTCTGCTTCTCTCTCTCTGTGTGACTCTCATGAATAAATAAATAAAATCTTAAAAAAATAAAGAATGAGAAAGAAGAAAAAAAATGATCCTGACTATATTTAGTGTTAGATATATTTTTGTTTCAAATGTACAATGACCGGGACGTCTGGGTGGCTCAGCAATTTAGCCCCTGCCTTCAGCCCAGAGTGTGATCCTGGAGTCCCAGGATGGGTCCCACATCGAGCTCCCTGCATGGGACTTGCTCCTCCCTCTGACTATGTTTCTGCCTCTTTCTCTCTCTCTGTTCTCTCATGAGTAAATAACTAGTCTTTTTAAAATCCAAAAACCAAAAACACAAAAAACAAATGTATAATGACCAATAAACTTTGCTTTATTGCCCCCACCCAAAAAAAGTACTATGAATCAGAGATAGATTTTTTAGCCCTGCCCAAAAGATTACCTTGAAAAAGAAAAAATGAGGGAAAACCAGCACTACAGTGTACAAACAACACTACAAACAACCACAATGTATTCTATTAAAAGCAATCATAACCTCAATTGTATGGAACTAACATAAAAATCATTGACAGAGCATTTCAGATAATAAGGAAACAGAATCAACCGTATCTTAAGACATTACATGTGATAACATAAGTTTTTCAAAACAAGGAGGGGGGAACCCTGGGTGGCGCAGCGGTTTGGTGCCTGCCTTTGGCCTGGGGCACGATCCTGGAGACCCAGGATCGAATCCCACGTCAGGCTCCCAGTGCATGGAGCCTGCTTCTCCCTCTGCCTGTGTCTCTGCCTCTCTCTCTCTCTCTCTCCCTGTGTGACTATCATAAATAAATTAAAAACAAAAAACAAAAAAACAAAAAACAAGGAGGGAATGGGAGAATGACAAGAAATGGTACTGGAATTACTGAATAGCATGTGGGAAACGCTATCTCAAAGGGCTATCAAATAGACTAACATAAGACAACATGTATAAAGTACCTATCCTAGGCAATATTTTAAAAAACTGAATTACTAGGGGTGCCTGGGTGGCTCAGTCAGTTGAGCAACAGACTCTTGGTGTCTGCTCAGGTCATGATCTCAGGGTGGTGAGCCCTGTGTTGGGCTCTGCGCTTAGTGGGGAGTCTGCTTGAGACTCTCTCCCTCTGCCCCTCCCTCACTTGTGCAGCATGCTCTCTCACTCACTCACTCACTCACTCACTCACTCATAAATAAACCTAAAAAACAAACCAAACTGAATTACTCAAAGGTAAACTGATCTCGACCAATTGCAAATAGACTTGTAACAGGTGCCAGTGCTTGTTGCATCTCTTCATGGAAGATAAAAACAGTAGGTATCATGTAATAGTCTTTTTTTTTTTTAACAGTCTTTTAATCAATTGATCTTGCCAATAGGTAAACATTTCTGCTTACATTTATATAAAATCTTAAATTTACAAAAACTAGTGTCAAGAAAGCCTCTTAAACTTACAATGCCATTTATGTATACAGATGTTAGTAGAGTGTTCACTGATGGCAAATCTGGCTTGTAAGGATGGTCAGTTAAGAAAGTTCTCCATTCCACAGCTGGATTATCTAATAATCATTCGACAGCATCAGCAGCAAACTATGCAGTTTCAATGAATAAAGTTTCTCGAAAGATAGTGATAAACTATCCCTATAGACTAAGTTACAGCTTACAATTTTTCTTGGCTTCTTTCCCATCATGATGGTAGTGGAAAGTGGTTAAAAGACATAGTCTTCAGAGTCAGCTAGACTGGGTTCAAATCCTGACTAACATTTAGAAAACATCCATGAAGAAAGTTAAGTAAACTCTCTGAGATTTAGTTCTCTTATCTGTAAAAAGGGCCTGATATCTGACCAATATACCTGTTCTGACTGGCTGGACAGACATTCTGACTGGTGTTATTAAATATTTTTAATATCATTCCTAGTTATTGGCACATAATAAATCCTCAATAAATGATAGCTATCACTATTATTATTCATAAAAGTTCAAAATAGAACATAAGCAAAAAAATAAAAAAGTATATACCTGTAAGGAATTACGCATCTCTACTGCACATGAACTGCACATCAATTACTGAAAATGGCCACATAATTTCTTGATTCTGATACCCCTGAGAATCAAGTCACCAATCTGAAAAATTCTGAGTAGGTGCTTTGGCTACAAAGAAAATGGTAGAAAGATGAACTATGTAGCTCCTGAGTCTCAATCAATATATACTGGACCAGAACACCCTAGTCTGGTGAAAAAATATATAAGCCTATGCATTCTACAGCAACATGTGTATTCCCAAGTGTCATGAAGAAAAAGATTACATATGAAACTACCTGTTTCTAATTACTTGTCCTCAAAATATTACTTATAAAAAAAGCTTTTAAAAAATTACCTTTTTCCTTTCAGAAGGTATGATGCTTTCAGATAAAAAAGGGCAAACAGCAAAAGAATTTCGAAAATCTAGGGCTCGCTGTAGTTGCTCCTACAAAAAGAAATACAAAACACAACCTCAAAATATGTAAAATAATGTAAGAAATCAATTTAAATTGACAGTAATCTGGAATATTAATTACTTTCCATAATCAGACTACCTCAACAATATTCTGGTATCAGAAAGAATTGTTTTTGTGTCACCTTTACTTACTCGGTAAGTGCTAATAACAAAGTGTGTCCTTTGACGAATTCTTTCTGGTTGTTCCAAAGGATGTGCTGAAACAGGAGGTGCCTTTTCAAATAAAAATTCAGAGCCACATGGAGAAAGCTGCAGTCTGGAACCATCAACATATTGCACTTGCACTGAATCATCTTCATAAAGTACCATTCGTACTTCAGCTGCCATGACTGGGACTACGGTAAGACGTCCTTCACAAGGTAAAGACTGAAGGAAATAGGAAATAGCATAGCACAAATAGTTCTTGTGTACAAAAGTTCTATCATAAAAAATGGATGCATTTTCTAAGAACATAAGCAAGACATATTCCCCTTGCACTTATTTTTGTTTGAGGAAAAGTGATTATTGGGGTACCTGGGTGGCTCAGTTGGTTAAGCATCTGACTCTTGGTTTTGGCTCAGGTTGTGATCTCAGGGTCAAAATCGAGCCCCACATTGGGCTCCTCGCTCAGCTCAGAGCCTACTTGAGATTCTACCCCCCTCCCTTTTCCTCCTCCTCTGCTCCTCCCATGTTCTAAAATTAAAAAAAAAAAAAAAATTGGGATCCCTGGGTGGCGCAGCGGTTTGGCGCCTGCCTTTGGCCCGGGGCGTGATCCTGGAGACCCGGGATCGAATCCCACGTCGGGCTCCCGGTGCATGGAGCCTGCTTCTCCCTCTGCCTGTGTCTCTGCCTCTCTGTCTCTCTCTGTGTGACTATCATGAATAAATAAATAAAATCTTTAAAAAAAAAATAAAAATAAAAAAAAATTAGTGATTATTTTACTACATACTTTTAAATGATCTGAAATTAACAACCTTAACAGAATACCTTGATTAACCCCCAGGGCTTTACTCCAATGTGGGAAGATAACCTAGAGGAAGAAGAAAGCCCACCAAATTGTAACTGCCTTTATAATTTAATAGCTGTAATTCTCCTGAAGTTTAATTTTGTAAATTATATGCTCAGTTAAATCATTTCATACAACAAGCAAATTCCGTCTTTTGTGATAAGAATACAGAATTGTTTGTAATACATGCAAAAGGCAGGCCAAAAGTAACTATTAAGACTGAGAAAAAAGAACACTGAAAATGAAATCCCAATACCTGGATTTTTGTCCCTAGTCTGACATTAAGGAAGTAGTTCTATATCATGACTGAGCAAGTTAATTAATCTTCTAGTCTAGTGTCTTAGATTCACTCGTATTTCAATGATTTCAGTTTCTTCTTCCCCACCTCTAAACTGTTATCACCTATACTTTCCATTCAGGGATGACTGAAGGGAATCAGAGGGTTGAGTTCCATTCATACTCCCACTACTTATTAGCTAAATGCCTCAGGTTGTTTGTTTCTTTATTTGTAAAATGGGGCATAGTAACAGAATTGTTGCAAAGATTGAACCAGACAACACACATGCCAGTACCAGTATTGCAATGTTGCTTTGTAGGCGCTCAATAAATCTTAGGATTCCTTTTTTTTTTTAAGATTTTATTTATTCATGATAGATATATATATATAGAGAGAGGCAGAGACACAAGCAGAGGGAGAGGTAGGCTCCATGCCGGGAGCCCGACGTGGGACTCGATCCCGGGACCCCAGGATCGCGGCCTGGGCCAAAGGCAGGCGCTAAACCGCTGAGCCACCCAGGGATCCCCTTATGATTCCTTTCTTTCTTTTTTTTTTTTTTTTATAAATTAATTTTTATTGGTGTTCAATTTACCAACATACAGAATAACACCCAGTGCTCATCCCGTCAAGTGTCCCCCTCCGTGCCCGTCACCCATTCACCCCCACCCCCCCGCCCTCCTCCCCTTCCACCACCCCTAGTTCATTTCCCAGAGTTAGAAGTCTTTATGTTCTGTGTCCCTTTCTGATATCTCCCCTTATGATTCCTTTCTAAAATCAACACCATCCTCTGACACTTATCCATCTCCAACTAGAACATCATCCTTTAAAAAAAAAAAAGATTATTAGAGAGAAAGAAAGAGGGTGAGTGGAGGGGCAGAGGGAGAAAATCTTCAAGCAGACTCCCCACTGAGTGTGGAGCCCAATGTCAGGCTCCATCTCACAACCTGAGATCATAACATTAGCTGAAACCAAGAGTTGGATGCTCAACCAATTGAGCCACTCAGGTGCTCCTAGGGACGTCATCCTTTCTAAGACTTTCCTTTCTAAACACTAACCCATCCCCTTCTAGGACATTATCTCCTACTACTCAGGTGATAACTTTCACTTGACAGAAAAAAAGTAACTTCTCCAGTTTACTCTTCTTGCCTACCAAAAACTTTCTCAGATATAGTTTCCACTCATTGTCTACTTTCTCTCCCATCTGTCTTCAACCCATTGCAATCCAGGCTTTCCTCTACATTTCCTTTTTTTTTTTTATTTTTAAGATTTTATTTATTTATTCATGGGAGACAGAGACACAGAGAGAAGCAGAGACATAGGCAGAGGGAGAAGCAGGCTCCTCGCGCCGATGGTAGACTCAATCCCAGGACTCCAGGATCACGCCCAGAGCCAAAGGCAGATGCTAAACCACTGAGCCACCCAGGTGTCCCCTTCCTCTACATTTCTACTGAAATTGTTTCACCACAGTCACCAATGTCTTCCTACACCCAGTAGCTTCAGTCTTCATCCTACTAAACTACTCACTCTGTGATAGTGTTGTATACCTTCCTCTGCACTAAACTCTCTTTTCCTCCGCCTTTTATTAAGACTCCACACCCAATGTGGGGCTTGAACTCATGATCCTGAGATCAGGAATCACATGCTTTACTGACTGAGCCAGCTAGGTGCTCCCACCTCTGTGTTTAGCGTGATCATTCTTTTTCACCATTCTCTTAAATCAAAGATTTAAGACCTGAACTTAAAGATTTATTTATTTATTTATTTATTTATTTATTTATTCATTCATTCATTCATTCATTCATTCATTCATTCATTCATGAGAGACAGAGAGAGAGGGGCAGAGACACAGGTAGAGGGAGAAGCAGGCTCCTCACAGGGAGCTCGATGTCAGACTCGATCCCGAGACTCCAGGATTGTGCCCTGAGCTGAAGGAAGACGCTCAACTGCTGAGCCAGCCAGGTGTCCCCTTACCCCCTTTTCAATGTACGTAATCAACTACATATGACTGGCCTATACAATATATCAGAATATAAGTAAACATTAAACCATATGGTTTCTCCTAAGGAGATTCACACAATTTTATTTATTTCCCCTCTCTAGAAAGCTTCCAAATCCACCTGACCTCTCCCCAGAACTTTAAGAAGCCTGCTAGACCTCTCTTTATGTCCTTGTCCCACAGATAAATCAAACTCAATCAACATGACTAAAATGGAATATCATCACTCTCACCAAAGCAGACTTCTGTAACATCTCCTAATTTCACTTTCACTCTTGTTTCCCTCAAGTCCAGTCTACACAACAGTAGCCAGAGGGATCTTTTAAAATAAAATGAGATAGGAGCACCTGGGTGCCTCAGTGGTTGAGCATCTGCCTTCGGCTCAGGTCATGATCCTGGGGTCCTGGGATCGAGTCCTACATCAGACTCCCTGCAGAGAGCCTGCTTCTCCCTCTGCCTGTGTCTCTGATGAATAAATAAATAAAATCTTTAAGAAAAAAATAGATCTATTGCATCCTGGTTCACAATCTATCATTTTGCACTTAAATAAAATTCCTAACCATGACCTATAACAGCCACACAATCTGGTCTCATCTTCCTATCCAAATGCCATCACTCTTTTCCTTGTTCAGGACACTTTAGCTACACTTGCCTTTTTAATGTCTTTAAAACAAGCTGTTTCCTGTCTCAGAACCTTTGTGCTGTTCTTTCTGCCTAGCATGTTCTTTCTCTTGTTTATCACAAGGCTGAGTGTTTTAAGCTTAAGTATCATTTCCTCAAAGGCCCGACTTGATCATCTCAATTAAAGTTCTTCCCCGCCACTTCCCAATCACTTTTCATCCATTTCATCTTTTTTACTCACGGCATCCATCACTATCAAAACTAATTCTATTTATTTCCTCGCTTGTCTTTTTCCAGTAAGACATACACTCAATCGCACCAGAGACCTCATCTGTCTTATTTACAGTAGTATCCCTGGCATTTAAAAACAATACTTAGCAAATAATAAGAGTGCAATAAATATTTAATGATGAAAGAATAAGTAAGTGGATTTCAAAATTCCTGCTTCTCCTCAATTTGCAATTTGAGTTAATGGCATTTCAGTTAGTAATACTTGACTTTTCACTCTGTTTTCCTCCACACTCCTGTAAGGTGTCTTGTTGATTTCTTTTTTTTTTTTTAATTTTTTTTAATTTTTATTTATTTATGATAGTCACAGAGAGAGAGAGAGGGAGAGAGGCAGAGACATAGGCAGAGGGAGAAGCAGGCTCCATGCACCAGGAGCCTGACATGGGACTCGATCCTGGATCTCCAGGATCACGCCCTGGGCCAAAGGCAGGCGCTAAACCACTGCGCCACCCAGGGATCCCTGATTTCATAGGTTTCTCTTATGAACCTGGCTCCTTTTCCATTTCAGTCCATCAACTCTCCCCTCCATTTCTGCAACTATCTGGGACCTTCCAGTTTCTTCCCTCTCCATTTCCATTGCTGTTACAGGAGGGGGCTCCTGGGTGGCTCAGTTGTTTGCCTTTCTCTCAGGTCCTGATCCCAGCATCCAGGGATCAGGTTCCCTGCTCAGCAGGGAGAACGCAGCTTCCCTCTCTCTCTCTCTCTGTTCCTCTTCCTCTCAAATAAAATCTTCAAACAAATAGTATTGCTGCTATAGGCAACCTTCCACTTTACATCACTTGTTTATGTGTTTTGTTCATTTCACAAGCAATAAGTATAGCATTAAATGTTTTTATATTGCATACACACATACATATATAAATCTCAGCTGTCTACTTGCTATTTCAGGAAAAGCAGGTTGGAAAACTTGTATTTTCTGATTGCCAACTGGGAAAAGGTCTCTATGTTTGGTCAAGTTTTTAATAAAAAAAAAAGTTAATGAGATATAATTGTTATTTACTTAAATAACAGGCAGACACGAGAAACAGTGGAATAGCTAGAGTTCCTGGCATATCATAAAAAAAAAAAACATAACCTGATTCTATGCCACACTTCAGCTTCATGTTTTATTCCTGTCTGTTTCGCCACCCCGTCCATTACGTCGGTGTTTAACGATCGAAAGCCACAAGTCTGTACTTGACATCAGTGGGAATTCATTTTTCAAAAGGGCAGTATCTAGTTACAGAAAAAGCCTCACCAAAACAACCAGCAACGTCCTGGGCTCACACGGCAGTCCGGAGAGGAAAGTCGTGGAGACGAGGCCAATCAACGGCCCCTTTAGTTTGCCAAAATGCTTGAAGCCTGCCCACGACTGCTTCTCCAGGGATGTTTCTAGAATTTGACAAATTACCAAAAAGTGATGTCTCTTGACGGGAGAAAACAATCACCACCGCAGAGGAATAAGGCCACAGAGAGAGCGTCTTGGCCGAGACGTCCGTCGTGTCAGGGCAGCGGGAGAGAGCGGCGGCGCCGGCTACGAGCCCGCAGAGAAAGCGCAGGAAACCGACCGCGGTTCAAATCTTCCCGCGCCCCGGGGAAGCGTCTTCCCTCCCCGGAGAAAGACCGGAAGTCCCGCCCAGCCCGCGGGCTCCGCTCCGGGAGCCAATCTCCGTCGCGCTCCCAGCGAGGGGCGGGGCCGGAAGTACGGGAGGAGGGCGTTCCCAGTCCTGAATGTGGTTGCTTCCCATTTGGCAAATTTTACTTCCGATGCTCGAGTTGGGACCTGTCCGACCTGGTTGTGATTCGTCCGGTCAGCACCGGCATCCCGCAGCTCCGCCGAGAGCTAACCGCATGAGTGGGTTTTAGGAGAGTAATGCTTATTTGAATAATCTAGACAATTACACCTTCATAGAGCTGTAGAAAAACCCCAACCAAACAAAAACTTGGCCACAGATAAAGCAGTCTTCCTAATTTGGTATCAACTATGTATCTGCCCCCCCCTTTTTTTTCTAAAATAGCAACTAGCGTGTCTGCTAGATTTATTGTTATTAAGTATTTATGGGGAACTTACTATGTGCTGGGCACCCTGGGGATAAAGCGGGAGTGAGACCCAGGGTCGGGGATGGGGGCTGGAGCTTAACCGGAAGGGAAGCGGACAATACTTTGATTACAGTAGTGTTTTTTTTTAATATTTTTAATTTATTTATTCATGAGAGACACCCACAGAGAGGCAGAGACAGGAGAAGCAGGCTCCCTGCAGGGAGCCCGACGTGGGACTCGATCCCAGGACCCGGCATCACGCCCTGAGCCGAAAGCAGAGGTTCAACCACCGCGCCACCCAGGCTCCCACACAGTAGTGATGGAGTGTTCCTAAACTGAAATAGAGGCCTGTGAGAGCATGGAGCCGACACACCCGAAGCTGAGGAAGTATCTCCGCCGAAATCCAAAGGGTAAAGAAGTATTAGCCACGTACAATGTGAGAAAAGTGTTTCAAGCAGAGGTAATAGCCTGTGTTAAGACCTTGAGCCCCAAAGGTCCTTAAAAAGGCCAGTTTGGTGCAGCCCGGGTGGCTCAGTGGTTTAGCGCCGCCTTCAGCCCAGGGCCTGATCCTGGAGACCCGGGATCCAGTCCCATATCGGGCTCCCTGCATGGAGCCTGCTTCTCCCTCTGCCTGTGTCTCTGCCTCTCTCTCTACGTCTCTCATGAATAAATAAATAAAATCTTAAAATAAAAGCAATGGTAAACTATTACAAGGGCTTAAATTTTTTTTTTTTTTTAGTTAACATACAGTGCAAGTTCTGGAGTAGAATTCAGTGGTTCATCACTTATATACAAGACCCAGCGCTCATCACAAGTGCCCTCCTGAATACCTGTCACCCATCTAGTCCATTCCCCGCCCACCACCCTCCATTACCCCTCAGTTTGTTCTCTATCCTTAAGAGTCTCTTAGGGCTTGTTTCCCTCTCTCTTCCTCCCCTTTTTTCCTATTCCCACTTCCCCGATGTTCATGTTTTCTGTTTTAAATTCCACAAGTGATATCATATGGTAATTTCTTTCTCTGACTTATTTCACTTAGCATAATACACTCTAGCTCCATCCACATCATAGCAAATAGCAAGATTTAATTTTTTTTATTTCATTATTTTTGATGGTTGAGTAACATTCCATTGTATATACACACATTTCTTTATCCATTCATCAGTCAATGGACATTTGGGCTCTCTCCATAGTTTGGCTATTGTTGATAATCAGGGGCTTTAAGATATTATTTATTCATGAGAGACACACAGAGAGAGGCAGAGGGAAAAGCAGCCTCTAAGCAGGAAGCTCGATCCCAGGACCCAGGGATCACACCCTGAGCCAAAGGCAGACACTCAACCACTGAGCCACCCAGGTGTCCCGATAATCAGGGGCTTTTTAAGCAACGGTGGCAGCATCAAGGAATGGGAAGAAACCTAACTCATTAAATTCATCTCCATTTTTGAAAGTCTAATAACAACTTACCTCATCTTATGTAAAATGTAATAAAGGCACCCTCAGATGCCATTTTCGTTGATCAGTAACATCAATTTGTATTACACAGTGCTAACTTAGATCCTATCCTGTTCTCACCTTTTTCCTAATGACTAAGAACCTATCTGTAAACTGTCTACTACAAAGGGGTTTTGTGATGTTATTTGTACTTTAGAAAGATCCCTCAAACGGATGAGTGAAGAATGGATTGTAGGATGCAAGAACAGATGAGGGGAGCCCAGAAGTCTTGAAAAAGCAACGAGATGGGATTTCAGACTCAAGATTAGACAACGAGGATGGACGGCACAGCTCCAAGAAATATTTAGATCAATTCAATAGTCTTGGAGATGACTGAACAGGAGTTGAAAACAGTTCCATGAGTTCTGGTTGGAGCAAGTGGACAGGTGGCAATGCTATAACACAGACCCAAGAAAATTTGAGTAACAGCATGACTTCAATTTTATGAGTCATCCTAACAGAAACAAGTTAGCAAAGGGAAACAGATTAGAAACATATCTGGAGGTCAGTGTCCACAGGTGCTAACTGAAGCTTTAGGAGAGGATTAAGTAGCCCAAGGATATAGTGACATGAAAAGAAAATACTGACTGAGCTTTGAGGAACACCAATACTTACAGATTAGCTAAGGGAATCCTACAAACTATAAGGAATAGGGTAAAGCTAGAAAGGCTATTCTATTCCAGATGCCTAGAAGTTTTCAATTTTGGTATCCCTTGATAGTATCAGATACTGTCTGACAAGCTAAAGAATCAAGTCTATTGGATTTAGTGGCATAAATGTCATTGGTGGCTCTACAACAAGGGCTGTTGTATATAGTGGCAGCAGAAGCTATAGATCTGAAGAGCAAATAGGAAGGAAATGGAAAACAAAAAATGGGATATTAGAAAAATCTGGCTAGGAAGCATAGCTAGAACTGTATTGTAGTTGGAGAGAAATGGGAGACCCAGATTTCTCCTGATGAGAGGAATGACATGTTCAACAGCTCATGCAAAGGGCCAATGGAGAGATTAAAAAAAAAAAAATACAGACCAAGTTAACAGAGCTCATGAGAAAGAGAGACGGCATGGGATTCAAGCACATGGAATGATTGGCTTTTAACAGGAGGGATACTTCCTGTACGGGGGGGGGGGGGGGGCGAAATGAATGCAGATGCATTTGCGCACGTTTGCCTGATTTCTTCTGTGAAACAAGTCATTAGGGGATGACGAACAAATAGAGTGGAGAGTCTGAAATAAACAAGGAAATAAACAGGAAGATTACTGACAGTGCTGATAGCTTAGGTGGCAATTATGAATTTACACTGGTACAAACTCACCAAAAACATGACCTCCAGCTGCCTGGATGAAGCACCAGTGTTGGGTCCATCCAGGGTTGGTGTTTTGCCAGGCTGACACAATACATGACTAGTATACATGACCCAAAATTATTTATACCTACTAAAGTCTAGTCAGCCACACACCACCAGGCTAAAGCTTGCAGTCTGACAAAATCAAATTTATTGACTTGTAAGCAATGGAGCAAACTCCAGAGGAAACATTAGTAGCATGCTACACAAGGGGGAGGTGGGCATCAACCTTGGTAAAATTTGGATTTCTGAAGGATTCTGAAGCGATTCTAAGGAAAGGGATACAGATACCTGTTCTGAGTTGGATGCTGCTTCTGAAGCAGGAATGAACTAGGAACGGGGGACTAGGTGCTGTTAGGAGGTGGGGGCAGTTTAGGAATTGGGTACCTCCAGCAATAGATGGATGTGTTAGTAAAGCAGGTCTGAAGACAACGAAGCTGTGAACATACAAAGGGGTCATGATGGCAGTTTCTAAATTGCATGACTTTGGGGAAAAATGGGATCTGTTAACTTTGCAATTAGCTTTACCTGTGTGTGTCCTCCCAAACAGATTAACAGCAAGGGTACTTTTTTTTTTCCATTGAGAGCTGATTTTCAGTCCTGAACAGTTTTTACTTTCATACCAAGTCTTGTCTTCTCTTGCTAAACATTGACAAATTTCTTAAATGAGAACTTCCTCCAGATCCATCTGTTCTATAGATAAGATTTAATGAAATACCTAATCATAGGATTGTCATTCCAATCTAGAGTGAGCCTCCATTTTCTTAGACCCTCTAATTATCAAAAACCCAAATCCTATAATAGGTTCTAATACCATCTTACTGACACAGTCCACAGTTCCCCATATGTGTATTCTACTTTAGTGCAAAAGTACTAAGTCCAGCCTGTTTAGGTACACATGGTATAGTCTTTGGCTAGAAGGACACTGATAACGTAAAGACAGGTCAGAGTTGATGACCTGTGCCAGATTTTATACAAACCAATATTTGTACTTTGTTACCAGAACACAAGCCCATGACCTGCACTAGCACCTTTAGTTCTTGCTCACTGGAGACTTGTACTATTTATTAATCCTTACAAGAGACTTAGGACCCATGTTTCTGTTGAATATACGGCCAATTGTTGTAGCACAGGGTCAGCTCTTCCTTTCAGTTTTAAAACCTAACCACACATTTCTTGATGGCTTCCTATTTGATATGGCTTTAGTGACTCACTAAGAACCAAGACTGTAACAGAAGTTAATGCTGTATGCAGCTTCTTCCTGAGTCTTCTACAATGCTCCCTCTCAAAGTCCAGGCCACAAGGACAGGCCATGTGTATGTGGGTCTGGCCAAGTGATAGCTTCAAGTCATCTGGGCCCAGTCAGAAGCCATTGAGTAAAGACTCCAGATGATTACAGCTAGCAGCCATTTGAACTACCTCCAGTTCTTAGTTTTCCCAGCTGAGGCCAATACTGCAGAATGGAAAAAACCTGTGCCTGGCTCAAATCCCTAAACCACAGAACCCAGGAGAATAAAATGCTTATTGTTTGAAGACACTAAATCTGGGTGGTTATTTAAGCAGTACTAGTAAGTGAAACACATAATGATCCTGTTGGTAGCTGGCAAGTATAGCAGTGGTTGGTGACAATGAGCTAGTGGACAAAGCTGGAAGGTTATTCACAAAGCAACCACTAGAAGCTTAAAGCATATTCAGTTATTATGTACTTGGCCCCTGGTCTAATGTACTGCCTCTTCCCTACACCCCTTCCCCGCATCATTCCCAAGATTACAATGAGCAGTCTTTGGAGAACTGCAGATTAAGATAATTATCCACATTACAGGAGCTGTTATGGGAGGGGAAAAAAAAATCCTACTACAAGTTTTCAAAACCCCAATTATATATGTTGTTCTCCTTTTACAATAAGGAATCTAAAGGTTAATGTTTTATATGTTAATTTTTCCAAGTAGACTTGTTACTGAATTCTTCCTCAACATATTGAATAGGATCTCTATCCTAGCAGTTTGATTTCAAACACTTTATGACATTGCATATAAGTTCCACAGAAATTCTTTAAAATATCAGGATACCACTCCAAAAACTTAAAGGAATCAAAACTATTTAAATTTTATTTTCAAAGTCTAATTTTAATCCAGACTGAACAAACAAGCAGAAAAGTGAGAAAGCTAACTGTATTAGCAGACACAGATGTACCAAATGTAAAACAGTGGGTTATTAACAGAACTATTTACATGCATATTTACAAGCAATCCTTTTGTACATAAGTTTTACTTTTAGTTAGTTGGAAAAAGGCTTTTGACATTAGGTACAAATATTTTTAAATAGGGCTGAGGTGGTACTACATTATAGTAAAAGTATTAGAAAAGTGATCCTCGGGATGTATCAATTATAAAGCAGGTGAAAACTTGAGTGACAAAGATCTAGTAAAATTCTCTAGTAAAAAAGTCAATGTAACTCATGCTACAAAATAAAAATGAAAGCCATATAAATAAAGCAGAATAATGTTCTAGGCTTTAGGGTAATGAAGTTGAGGGGAGGAGGGAAGAACAATACTAGAATTGCAATAAATCCTAAGTGAAAAATCTGGTTTAGTTGGGAGTTTTAGGTCTTTTTTTTTTTTTAATGACATTTTAAAAGCCCTTGGTATCAAATAGCATCTGGATATGTAAATCAGTTAATATATTCTAAGACTTTAGTGCTAAAGATTTTCATGATTGTGATCCATATGTGAAACCCAATTTATTAAGACAATGTAAAACTAAATGAAAGCTATATACTCATCTAAAAAAGGATGCTACATTTTGCAATAAGATGTATTTCCAGGCTAAGACTTTTTCCTTCAAGAAAAGTAGAATTTAAAGGTTAAGCTTCTAACCAACTAGCAAAATTTACTTTCAACATTTCATTTATTTCAAAATCGATTTTATTGCAGCCAAAACAGTGGAATTAACTGTACATAATAAACTATTATATATATATACACATTTTAAGTTATAGGGAATAAAGTTTATTTTGGCAGATAGTGTTAAACAAAATTAAAGTTGCATACATTAGTAACATAACTCAACATCCTTAATTTGGTATAAGTGTGACATTTTCCTGTTTTCCTGTGTTCTGCTAAATCACCATAACCTAAACTGCTTTATAAAACTGATATGTTGAAATTTAGCTTTACTGTTTTCGCTTACGCTCTGATTCCAAACAAAACTTTTCATAAGCTTCTTCTATCTCTGGGTCCATCTCATCATCAATATCATCCAAGTATCTATGAAAGAAATGAATAGTCACAATTTTAATGTTTTTCAATTCAGAAATATCTAAGATGCTAAGCCACACACAAAAAAATATGGTGATATAACTTTCTTAGGGTGTTACAGAATACAAGCACTTTTCGGAATTACATACGTGTCAGTACTCAGACAACCAACCAATCTGAGGAGTCACATTTTACACTGGATTCTAAGTCTGAAGTTCGAAGTTAAGCTTCTGTTATACTTTTAGGCATGTTAAATTTTAAGTTTTATTTAAGTTATCTCTTTTAAGTTCATTTAAGTTATTATGTGAGGCTCACCCACAACCCCAAGATCAAGAGTCACAAGCTCTTCTGGACTGAGCAGTCAGGTGCCCCGACATATGTTAAAATTCTTAACCTACCCTAAAAGTTAATTCAAATTCCTGACATAAATTTGGGAGCTCAAGGTATTATTTTCATCAATTTACCTTAATCACTCTATAACTAGAACATAATTTCAGATATGGCATTTACCTCTACTAATGCAATATTTTATGTTTACTTAAGATCAGAAATGGCATTCCTGAAATGACCATTTAGTCACATTCCCATTTATTTGGAATAGCTTTCGTAACAGGCAGCTACCTTCAAAATCCTCTCTCAGAATTTTTCAACTATTGGATAGTGTAAAATGATGACAAAGCCTTCCACAGTTAAGTATGGGTGTAAAAATTTAAAGCATTCATTAAGGATTTAACATCTTCTTACTGACTACTCATAGCCATCTTAAAAAGGGGTACTTTTTAAGGGGTACTTAAAAAGTAGGGGTACTACTATCATGTCCATTCTTTTCAAGTAATCTCTATGCCCAAAATGGGGCTCAACTCACAACCCTGAGATCAAAAGTCACATGCTTTACTTACTGTGCCAGCCAGGTACTCCTATCATCTTCATTTTAGAGATAAAAGATTCTGGGAGGATGCTAAATACTGTAAGATTTGGGTTAAGTATGTGGCATAGCCAGAATCTGATTCCAAATCTTTTCCCTTTTTTTTTTTTAAATTTTTATTTTTTATTTATGATAGTCAGAGAGAGAGAGAGAGAGAGAGAGAGAGAGAGAGAGAGAGAGAGAGGCAGAGACATAGGCAGAGGGAGAAGCAGGCTCCATGCACAGGGAGCCTGATGTGGGATTCGATCCCGGGTCTCCAGGATCACGCCCTGGGCCAAAGGCAGGCGCCAAACTGCTGCGCCACCCAGGGATCCCCTCTTTTCCCTTTTCTACACTTTTCCTCTACAACATGCTGTGTATGTCTCTTTACCCCACAACAATCCTTTCCACCTACATGTGTGACTAAACAAATCTTGCCAATCCTATCAACTGCTGATGGTCTTTTTGTTGTTCTCTCTCCATTTCCCGTACAAGGCCATATGTTGAAATGGCCACAAGTCTATCAGGGCAAGAGCATGTAATGTTTACCAAGCAAAACTTTAGAGGACAACCTGAAATTCAAGGTCAAAAACAGTCTGAACTTCCAGTGGTATACCCAGCAGGGTTGAACCTTTTTCTTAATTGTGTTTGAGTTCTTACATCCCTGTATTTTTTTTTAATTAAACTACTATGTAAAAATATGGTAACATCAGAGGATCGCAAACAGACTTATAAATATCACTAGATGGAGGAGATAATAAAAGTGGTTCACTTTTTTAACTTACAACATACAGGAGATGAGACATAAAAATTAAGTCAGATTTAATTTATTCCCTCCTCCACTAAAGAAGAGGAGAACCTGAGTAACTGGCCCAAATTCATATAAACTACTAAGAGCTGGAACTAAACCTCATGGGTTCTTGGTTCTTCTGTAAGCCAAAGTAATCTGATAAGGGAGTAACAAAGATTTTATTACAAAGAATGGCAGGTAGGGATTGAGCTATGTGAAGAGGACTATAACTTACACATTCCCATCAGTCCAAACACTTATCGAGTTACCTACGTTCTCTTTAATCTTAATTCATCCTTTAAATAGCTAAGATCTGAGTCTTACTCTGTGCCAGGAGATGGTTCTAAGTATATATGTATTCTCATTTAGTTTTTTTTTTTTTCCTTTAGTTCTTAAAAAGAACTCAAGGAAGGGTCTACTATTTCTAATTTTCCAGATGAAAAAACAGGCATAGAATTTGCCTTAGATCTTCCAATATTAGAGCTGAATTGAATCTATTTTACAAAACTATGCTTGACTATAGTTTATCCCCAAGTAGTATGACTTGACTACTTTAGTTTTTCCCCTTCAAACATGTACATTTTCAGAATCATAGTTTGTGTTTTCTAATATAATTTCCTGAAAATATTTGGGAAGTATTACATATGTAATATGTAATATGTGTTACATATGTAACGTTGTAACACCCTCAAATAAAAATATGCATTCTTCATCTACCCTTTTCTAATATTAAACTCCATCTACAAACTATGGCCACAGAAATATCACAAAGTTAATAGCTAAAAATAACTTACGGATCACCAGCCCCTGATAAATCTGTCCCATTTTCTTCATAATCTGGAAAAAAGTCTTCTCTTTCAAGTAACTCTTGATATTTCTCTTGGTAATCTATAAAAAAGTTTTAATAATTAAATGCCGACAAAAGTCATAAAATGGACATTAAAGTCATAAAAATTCTTTGATATTAGTTTTCATTTAAGTAGATCCATTGTTTAAATAGCACTAAGCTTCCAGTTGCATATTTAATAACATTTACAAAACTTATATTCCAACGGGCTTGCTTTTGCCACCTGCATGCTCATAAATCTTCACTGTAATATTCTTCTGATTATATGTTGTAAATAAAGCCACTGTTAATATGCCAGAGTACATGTCACAGCCAATGTATATGCTGCTTATTCTCTCTGCTGCTTCTTTCCGTAAGACAAAATATTGGTTATATAACTTATTGGCAAAGAACATGTTCTTCCATATTCCTGTTCTTCCTTCCACAAGGAAGGATTTTAATCAAATAGCCTGGCCTCTAGCTCCCCTTACTCTTTCCTGAGGAAGTAAAGTGAGCTAGCAGCTAAGAGCCACTGGCCCATGCTTCTCAATTATATTAGCTAACCCAGCAAAGGTTCTGAACACAGGGGATTTTTTCTTTCCTCAGAGACAGCTGGAAAGTAGCTACCTGATAAATGTTTTAGCTATACGAACTTTCCCTTGGTTGGGTTCTTCCAAGGCGATACAGGTAATATTATAGCTCTCCATCTGCCAGCTGTCTTAGGCAGAGTTACTGAGTATCTTTTAAGATTCGCATGTCTGTACAGAGTACTTATCTCTGAATAATAAAACAGATCATGTGCATTAAAAAGTAGTTACCTTAAAATAGGATTCTTGTGAACAACAGCTACCTCAGATTTCAGTAAGATAATGTAATTACATTAAACCATATTTTCCCCAGGATTGCCAGTCTCTATAAAACTAATTCCAGGTTAAGGGGTTGGTGATATTCTGACATCCAATTTTGGCAATTTGGAGACAGTATTAATCATAGAACCTTCCTGCAACAAATACATGAGGTAACAGACAAAAGAAACATTCTTTTAAATGCACAGATGAGTTCACAAAGAAAGCCAAGTTACCTCATGACTAATAAGGGCACTAAAAACCATATGTACCTACTACAGCCAGGAGGCTGGCAGAACACACGACTTAGTAACCAAGGGACTTGGATTTAAAAACCCACAGAAGGGATCCCTGGGTGGCGCAGCGGTTTGGCGCCTGCCTTTGGCCCAGGGCGTGATCCTGGAGACCCGGGATCGAATCCCACGTCGGGCTCCTGGTGCATGGGGCCTGCTTCTCCCTCTGCCTGTGTCTCTGCCTCTCTCTCTCTCTCTCTCTCTCTCTCTCTGTGACTATCATAAATAAATAAATTAATTAATTAATTAAAAAAAAAACCCCACAGATCAGAAAGCAAGGTCTTGACCCCATGTGAAATGGAGATGGAATTCAGGCCCAAGCCCATTTCTCCCTACAAACCCAGGACCTTCAAAGGGTGGATATCTCAAGCAAAAGATGGACCAGGAAAAAAAAAAAATGGAAAATACTCTGGTGGCAAAGAGACAGCAAAGAAGCCTGTTGGTCTCTTCTGGATTTGGAGTGGAAACAGAAGTACTCTGAAGAAACTGGATCCTCAGAGAAATTTGTAACAATGGGCCTGCTCCTCAGATTTCTACTCCCCACATATAAAAACTTGTTCCAAAATCAGCTTTACCCCTGTGACTCCTTGGAGGTACAGATGTTACTACAAACCAAGGCATAAGGACTCTTCATGGAAAAAAACAAAAACAGCAGTTAAAACAGGAGAACAGTCATAAAGGGCCATAATATAATTTCAAATGGTTTAGAAAAGAGTATGGACAGAACAAGTGATCAAATAGAATAAACATTAATAGGTACATCTGAATAATGAGTGTTCTTTGTACAATTTTTACTTTTGCAACTTTTCTGTAAGTTTGAAATCTTTCCCCCCAAAAAACGTTTTAAGAGCATTAAATATCAGATTGCAGTAAATTTTATGTGATAATCAAAAGTAAAAGCAGGGTTAGGATTAAAGGATAGGACAAAAATGTGAAACAAAAATAAGCATGTTTAGAATGAGGGGGAAAAAAGGACTTAAAATTTTAAAGATCAAGATACTTTGAACAAAACGCAGGAACGAAATTTAAAAATTAAATTTCTATAAACAAAATTATCACCAGAAAGACCAATAGGTCAAACAAGTAAGACACAGATGCAGAACAAAGAACCAAAATGATATAGGGTAACTTTGAAAAATAAGAAAATCTGTCTTACCAGACATGGCAAGATTTAAAGTAAAGCAGTAATTAAGACCTGAGTTGGTATTCAGACAGACAAAAGATCCACATGCACAGACACAGGGATAAGATACAAGTTTATAGAGAGGGACACCATACACATCAGAGGGACATTTTACTTAGGAGAGAGAATGGATAACACCTGTTGCTGAGAAAAGAGGACATGGAAGAAACACTTAATTCCTACTACATCCCTCATAAAAATTAGCCAGATGGATAAAGACCTAAATATAAAAAGCAAAGAAGACCTTTAGAAGTAAATGGAATTTGACAGTAATAAGAAAACTTTCTTAGCCACAGAGAGCTCCAGGAACAAAACAGATAGACTGACAGGAAAACTCAAAGCTTCTATAGGACAAGACAAACAGAATGGAAAGAGAGCATATACTGGGAGAAGCACAGAGTCACTTTTCAGGTTATGTAAGGAATTACAAATCCATTAAGAGACAAATGATCCAAGAGAAGTATGGGCAGAGAACACAAACAGGCAATTCTTCAAAGGAAGAAAACAAATGTCAATGGAAACAGGAGAAGAAATTCATTGTGACTAGCAAGGAAATGAAAGTTTGCAATTTTGTACAAGCTAACTGACAACAATTAAGTCTGGTAGTAAGTGTTGCCAAGGATGAATAACAGGAACCCTCACATTCTGCTGGGGGCAGATTATATCTATATAATCATATCGGAAAGCAGGTAGGCAACACCTCGTGAAATAGAAGATGCACATAACACATCATGTAGCAACTGTATTTCTTCACCCTGAAGAAACTCCTACACGTGCACAAGGATGACTTAGGGACTGTATAGCACTGTCTACAGTACCGAGTGTGAACCACCCAAATACCCTGAAATCGGGGACCTAGAACCTGTGGTTTACTCTGAGTACAGTGTTACTCGGAATTTAAAATGAACCAAAGCGGGATGCCTGGGTGGCTCAGGCCTGATCCCAGATTTCTGGGATCGAGTCCCGCATCAGGCTCCTTGCAAAGAGCCTGCTTCTCCTCCCTCTGCCTGTGTGTCTCTGCCTCTCTATGTCTGTCATGAATAAATAAATCTTAATAAAATAAAATGAACCAAAGCTATATATACTCACATCAATATAGATAAATAGCAAAAACATTGAATAAAAAATAAGTTGCAAAAGATGTGCACAATAAGGTACCATTTAGGTTAATACTATGTATGATAATACACTGTATACAGACATATAGAAAGTAAAAAGACATCACACTGACCCCAACTTCTGGATGAATTACCATTACCTCTGGAAGGGAAGCAATGGAAGGACTGGCATTGGGGCTGAGCAATGGGTCCCAGGACAGAGTAGTTTACTAGTTATCTGTAGAGTCCTATTTAAGAACACCTGAAGTGTATATTAATATAGCAAAATGACATTGGTTTAACCTTGACAGTGAATCAAAAGATCAGTTTTCTGTGGTATATATATATTTTTAAGATTTTTGAAGATCTCCCTCCAAGGGAGCCAGGGCTCAATCCCACAAGAGATCACGAGCTGAGCCAAAACCAAGAGTCAAAAGGAAGACTAAGCCACCCAAGTACCCCATGTGTTTTTTATATTTTTTGAGTGTTTCATAATTTTAGGTTGTAAGATAAGCAGTCCTTTCCACCTCACAGGATAGTCAATACCTGCGATCCAGAGGAAACAAGTGGGAAGATCCCAACAATAAGCTGGTTTTAATTGTTATCAAATGGGAAAATTTCCTCTTGTTCATCCCGCAGTCTCATTTATCATAATTAAAGCAATCTTTCTACAAATGGCCCTTTTCTGGAAGGGGAAGTGTGTGGAGATTTAGATTTTAATTAACTCTGACCTACTGACATTTAATGAAACCCATTAATTCTCAGTATCTGCAAGGATCTACAGGAACAAATGTTGTACACTATGCAGTGAACTAGAACCATCTTTCCCTTCTATTTTAAGCTTACAGTATAAAAGTGGAATACTAGAATAAACATAAAAATGATTGCATTTAATTGCGGGATTCTTCCAACGCACTGTCAGGGTGACAAGATAATATACATGGAGTCGGACTTTCCATTTGAAGTGGTTCAAAGTGGTGGTCCCTGTGAAGAATATTCTATATGAAATAAACATTTAGCCTGTACCTTAGAACAACGTGCCCACCTCAAAAAGCTACAACCTCATACTGGCGAGCATATGGTTCTCTATAATTTACTAGCTGACCAAGAAACAGGGTAAAGCACCGTGAAACCAACCTACCTGGATCAGCCGCGGTGAAAGGAACACCATCAGAGGTATAAAATGTTGGTTCATTCTAAGATGAATCAAAGTGATACAAATATGTAATCATTTTAGAATTGTTTTAAAAGCATATTAATTAATGAAGCATGGCTGAGGTCACTCATCTGCATCTGATTATGCAAGAACAAGCAAAAAAACTAGTCTTCTAATAGCTATTTTCATTTCACTGGGAAAGTCTATGGTTTTCAGATTTCTATTCTATTCTCTCAAGTTCCCATGGCTATAACCCTGCTGTCTATTCTCGGTCACACTCGTGATGAATTGTTTTGTTGTGCACCGTGATTTAGCATTGTGTCAGCTGATTTTCACTTGTGTTCTCCTCTCCCCATCATTTTTAAAAGAATTTCCATGGCTGGAGTTATAGGAGCATTTCTCCACTGTTGTGCTGTGTTTGGTCATGTCAGGAGCTTCAGGCATCATTGGCCTGGTGATCACTTTTCTTAATTTACTACAACATGCAAAGTAAAAGTTTGAGATATAGGCCTCTGGTTATAAATTCTCTGCAAGGGCAGCCCAGGTGGCGCAGAGGTTTAGCGCCGCCTTCAGCCCAGGGCCTGATCCTGGAAACCCGGGGTCGAGTCCCATGTCGGGCTCCTTGCATGGAGCCTGCTTCTCCCTCTGCCTGTGTCTTTGCCTCTCTCTCTCTGTGTCTCTCATGAGTAAATAAAATATTTAAAAAAATAAAAAAATTCTCTGTAAGAACTTCTTCCCATAATCCCTACACTCAACTGAGTCCAAGCCTTATCAATTTCCCCCACCACCAGATGGATCTTTCTCTAGTCCACCCTTTCCTTAGAGGATTCCATATTTCTTCTCCTATTTACTTGGCCTGCTGGCTACCATGTAACCCTAAGCCAGTTGAAAGAGTTATTAGCATTAAACTCTGAGAATACTTTTTTTTTTTTTTTTTTTGGAGAATATCTTTACGTACCTCCTCTAGAAATTTCCAAAACTGGATCCAAGCAATAAACAAAACTTAAAATGTAAATGCTGGCATACCATAAAATAGTTAGGATCATTTTCCGGTGTTGCTTCTCTGTATGTTGAAGTTGCATGGACTCTACCCCAGTTACTTGACCGGAGTTCTACGAGCTTCAAGAGCATCTGTTTCACATCTCTGCAGACAGAAGTTGAAAAGGAGTTAAGTATATCTACCAAAGTGTTGTTAGATTCTAGAATACCAGACTCCTAAAACTTTGTTTCATAAATGTAATATGTACATCTAAGTGCTTTGATTTTTTAGACATTTCCTATACTGTTTTTTTTTAAAGCAGTCTTAAAATTTGTTCCATCTAACTGTGACTATATGGTTCATAAAGGCAGTACCTATCCAGCATTTTTAGACCTCCTACTGGAATTACAGTAGTATTTTACCCAAGAATTTATTGAACAATTTAAAGCTGGAATCATTTTACTTTCCAATAGACTCCCTCCCTATCTTAACACAGGAAAATCTTAACTTTTTCAATTTATAAACACAACTGAACAAAAAAGGCCAGGTGTGCAGAAGGATATGTAAAATAATATACCTTTAAAGAAAATACTTCTGTCAATTTGGAAGATTTCAATTCTTCTGATGGTAGCATATATAACACATTAAAAAACAACCCCCAGAGAAAAAGAAAGTGAGATCCACTGGTTAGCTACCCACCTGCTGCAATTTGCATCTAGGACAACATTTTCAATTCTCTGAATAATTTCTTCCATATCATTCTTTCCTTTCTCCTTCCAGGCATCTTCCAAAACTGACCCTGTCAACTAAAAAAGCAGGTATCAGTAAAATAAGGAATTCAATAAAGTACAGAAATTCTAAAAAGTATTGGTAGCAGTTCCAACATTCTTTGAACAAAATGAATTAAGTTAAATATTCCCAATTATTCTCCACCCTCTCATGAGATTTTCTCAGGAAATTTCTACACCCTCTGTTCTTTTTGACTGAGAGAACTAAAGCAGAACCTGAATCATGGGTTTTGTGTGTCAATGACTATAAGGTATATTCCCTGTGTGACTAAGTTTGGCTATAAAATTTTAATCAACATTTCACTTCTTGGGGATCCCTAGGTGGCTCAGCGGTATAGTGCCTGCCTTCAGCCCAGGGCGTGATCCTAGAGACCTGGGATCGAGTCCCACATCGGGCTCCCTGCATGGAGCCTGCTTCTCCCTCTGCCCGTGTCTCTGCCTCTCTCTCCCTCTGTGTATCTCATGAATAAATAAAATCTTAAAAAAAAATTCACTTCTTGAAATATGCATTATAGAAGCTCTGAATTAGAAAGAGATACAAACCTCAGGAAAAAGCGTTAAGGACATAACCAGTAATTCATAGAAACAAAGACTAAGAAACATGAAGAAATGCTTAAATTCACAAATGATCAGGAAAATGCAAAATGAGATTATCGTTTTTACTCATCATCCATGACAAAACAAACCAGGACTGATTATATCCATCACTGATAAGAATATGTGGGGAAAGTGGTGTACTCATTCACTGTTGGTAGGAATACACTTTGGTTTGGCATCTAGAAGGGAAAATTTGACATTACTTCTCAAAGTATACTATGCTCATTGACCTACCAAATCTATGTGTAGGAATTAAACTTACATAAACTGCACATATAGAAACAAAATTACTGAATAAACAGGTAAATCTTTTGTGTCATGCAAAAATCGAGGATCTTCATTAGATTAAAAAAAAAAGTCACAAAGAATGAGATTTTATGAGGGCACACATACGGACATGGGAAAGAAAGGAAATTTAGGAGATGGAGGTGAAAGATTTCCATTTTTTGCTTCTAAATTTGGATTCTCACATGAAAAAAACTAACCAACCAGTACAGGCATGCGTAGCTCAGTTGGTTAAGCATCGGAATCTTGGATTTTTGGCTCAGGTCATGATCTCAGCGTTGTGAGACTGAGCCCACGTTGGGCTCTGTGCTCATCCTGGAGTCTATTTTTCCCTCTCCCTCTGCCCCCACCCAACCCTCCATCCTGCTCTCGCATTCTCAAAAAAATAAGATACATACTGTTTTTCCAATATTTAAATTCAAGAGCAAAGCAAAATGTCAATATTTAACTTAAACAATCTTGAATTCACTGCATACTATATATACTTTCCTTCCTCTAAATCATATATGAATGGGTAGAAAAGTTAATTTTAAGTAAAACCTACCTTCAGTAATTTTACCGCACAAATTAAGTTGTCATCCATAGGATTAGAAAAGAGGGCATTCAGCAACTCCCGAAGACCAACCTGAAGAATATCTGCTCTTGTAACCTGTCCATTTGTTCCCTTGATCTTTTGGGGAAAAAAATGAAAAATAATTATGGCGAAATATTGCAACAGATAAATAAATGGTCTAACATGTTGGCAAAAATAAGTGTTCTAAGTTAAAACAAAAATCAGAAATGCTTTATCTTCAAGTGTAAAATAAGTTGGACTTATTTTACACATTTATAAGACCTCTACTACAATTACTAAGCCACAGGTAAAATTTTCCATTTATTACAAATAACATCTAGTCAGGATAATCTAAGCATCTTTTATAAATTACTGCTTCATAAAGCATTCTCTGGTCTATTAAGCTATCACCTTTTTGGGAATGTGCAGCACTATTACTCCTTTTATACATTTAAAAATACTGTTTTGCATCAGAATGGTCTAATACTATAGCTTAGACTGATTGGAGAAGAAGAGCTGTAGGCTTAGGAGCCATAACCTCATCTTTATACTCCCCACAGACATGGCATCATTAGGTCCAAATAAACACTCAACTGCATTTTTAACGTGATTCTTAATTTTCAGCATATTTTAGATGAATGCTTTTATTTTGGCTTATATAAAAGTTAAACTGGAAAAGATTAATGGAGAAATGTTTTTTTTAAAAATGAAGTCCATCCAGGGGCACCTGGCTGGCTCAGCTGGCAAAGCATGTAACTCCATCTCAGGATTGTGAGTTCAAGCTTCATGTTGGGCATGGTGCCTACTTCAAAGAAAAATTCAATGCCAAAAAAAAAAAAATTAAGTCCATCTGTGGGTAAAGAGGGATAGTAACTTAGGCACTAGATTGGACAGAGACCTTGTAGATGCACTGACAGCAAGATGCACATTTGATGGTGGATTCGTGGGTATTTTCAGTGGTGCTTACAATTAAATCTTCAAAGTTAAAGGAGGTATAACCTGTCTCTGGGATTAACTAGTCAAAGAAAAAAAAATCAGGCAAATCCATTACAAAGTAATATTTAGCACTTAGTTGCCTAAGTTGACATTACTTAGTATATTACCAATTTACAAACCTGTTTAGCTATAGACTTCAAACAAATGTATTTTATGTGGATGATTACTACATGAAATGGGACCAAGAAGAACAGTCCTGGGTGAATTAGGGTGGAAAGAACTCTAGTATTCTAGTGTCCCTCCCCCCAGCCTTTTAGCTCAAAGCTTTGTGTTTCTGCAGAGTAAGTTGCTTTTGAGCCACCATCTGAAAGTCAACATACAAAATGTGTGAATTCAAAAGGTATGATTAACTGTATTTCAAGAGCTTAAACTTGCACGGAAACCATAGCTTTCCAAAAATACAGAGTTTAAAATTCTCAGTAACTACTTCCAAACAGCCTCTGTACAAACAGGAGAAACAAACATTACAGATGGTTCCATTAGAATGCAGGCAGGCATTAGAGTGAGCAGCCACTGGTGTGTTATTTCTCTCTTTCACCCACCTTTTGTTTCACTTTACTGTTGTCCAAGGATAATGTAAATACAAATTCCGTATTAAAAAAATCAGTTTATGTTCCCAGGCTGTTAGTGCTTAAGAGAATTTCTCCTCACCTCCAGGTTAAGGTAAAGTTCTCCCAGGAAGAGGACAAACGCGTGGAATCGTTTCCGAGTCACTTCGTCCCCTTTTGCAGCTTGATCTTTAACTTCATATTCAGTTCGACATCTAATGAAGATATACCTTTTATAATCCCACAGTGATTTGTTTTTTGAACAAACAAGACCAGCTGTCGGGTTCGCTGTCCGCAAGCAATACAGAGACAAGTATGATGCACTAGTGCCCTGACTCTCCGGAGTAAAGGATGTTCCTGTCTTTTGTAGAGACCAGAACATGCATCATCTTTTCATACTAAGATTCCTAGTTTTAAGAAACTAATGGGTTTATTTTCAACTATTCTTATCAGATCAAGTTTGTAACCTGTTGAAGCAACAGAAGTTTCATTGCATACTGGCACCAAAAAGAAAATGCTTTGCTTTTGTCCTACAGGTTTTTCAAGGAAGCACTGTTTTACTCAAATTATCACTATAAATGTTCCACTCTGAATATATGAACTTTGAAACACATTTTTAGGAAATATAGAAATGGTCTCCAACTAAGCTGAAAATAAAATGTATTCTTATTAAAGTACATTATCCTTGTAATTTCCATTTTACAAATCAGAGAAAGGAAAAGTCTCCAACTCAGACTCACATAGAAACAAAGCTATTAGTTTGGTCTCAATATCCCAGAGACCAAAGGGGTCAAATAACTTAGTTTCCCCTGATTTATTATCCTGACTTGCTTGGCCCATCTGCCATTTCACAAAGTATCTAAAACAATCACCATAAACCTGTCATTGCCCATGTCAGTGAATTTTATTATCAGCTGTTATTAAAAATGATTTTTTTAGGGCAGCCTGGGTGGCTCAGGGGTTTAGTCCCGCCTTCAGCCCAGGGCGTGATCCCGGAGACCCGAGCTCGAGTCCCACATCGGGCTCCCTGTATGGAGCCTGCTTCTCCCTCTGCCTGTGTGTGTCTCTGCTTCTCTCTCCTCTGTGTTATAAATAAATAAATAAATAAATAAATAAATAAATAAATAAATAAATAAATAAATAAATAAATAAATAAATAAATAGTTTAAAAAATAATAAAAATGATTTTTTTAGATGTACTTTAAATGTTTATCAATTTGTCAATATTTTTTATCTTTATTAAGGTGGTAAAAAACTCTTGGAAAGTCATGTGTTTTGTAAAGCTGATTTTTGACAATTCTGTGAAAGATAAAGGGGGGTGGGGGGTCATGGAGATGTCTGGCTTCCATGTAGGAGGGACCAGTTTAGCTTGGCTTTGCAAAATAAATAAATACATATAATTAATTAATTAATGGAAAAAAGTAGTCACTGCTTACCAAGAATTTAACTTGGGTTAATCTGTGACTCAACCATAAATCCAAGATAATTTATACTATGTGGCCTATAGCTTATAACAAGCTATACTAAATCAACATTTTATTTGAGTCAGATATAGTAAGATATTTGTTACTGTCTAAACAATTTTTCATCAAAAATGTTGAGATATCTGTAAATGAAACACTCTGGCTAATACTGAAAAGGTTGAGTTAATTAATGCCAGTTTAGTTATCCAAGCACCTTATTGGCTACTCTCCTTTTATAACTTTGTAGGTAGGTAGTTTTGATGAAATGCCTGTTTTATAAGTGCAATGACTATTATACATTAAGATACATTAACACAAGTGCAAATGTAAATCCCTACCCCTCTATATCACTGATTATCTAGATGAAAAGAACTTACACCTCTAAACCTTTTTTAAGTGATAAATAGAATGGAATTAGATCATTCTAAAAAGTGGCATGGGAAAAACTAGTTCAACATGTGGCAATAAATTAGAACCTACTCAAACCAAAAGTACAAATGAACAAGTGATCTATGAACTATATAAGTGATCATTTTTAAGATCTTGGGAAATGAAAGGCCTTCTAAGCACAAAACCAAAGGCAGAGATCATTATAGAAAAAAAAAAGACTGCTATGTGGGACTGTAACTTTTTAATAGTATGTACAATGTACAATACCAGAATAGAAATAAGAATGGTCCACCCCACCTTCCCCTGCAACCTTCTATAACGTACAGTCTTTAGAAAAGAGGAAGGATCAAATTCTAGTATGTCAAGAAGTAGTTTTCCTTTAATTTCTTATATTCACACTGACCTTTGAAGCAGCAACTGGCGAAAGTTGCCACTCTGTGGGCTAATTGTCAGATGATGGGACAGGTAATTACAGAGGCGAGCTCCCATGTAAGAGAAATTTGGGATAGATGTGGCCTTTCAAAAAGAAAAAAAAAATTAGGACACAAATACATTGTTATTAATACAAATACTTAACAACAACATTCCAAAGAAAACCTTTCCACCTCTAGAACTGAACATGCTACACAAATGAACAAGTCTCACTTAGTTGTTAGGCATAAGGAAATTAAGTCTCCTCCCAACTTTATACCAAGAACAAAGGAAAAGGTTTAAGGCAAATTCTCCCCATCATTTACCTGAGATCACCAGAAAGCAAACAAACAGGACCGCTTTATACTAACCAATTTTTGTACAAGACGCGCATGTACCCAATTGGATAGTGCTAATTATGAATAGGAGTATTTGCCAAATAATTGTTCTGTGGTGTTTTTCAGGGATAGGTTGGCACAGACTTTGGCATCAAAGAGTCCAGAACAAGATTCTCAGGCCTGCATTGAGACCTTGGACATCATTCAACCTCCCTGGGTTTTCCGTTGGATTCCTAAAAGAGGTGATAAATAGTACCTGGTACAAGAGATTAATACTTAAAAGAATACTCCAAACACACCTGGGGTGAAGAAGAAATAAAGATAAGCTATTGCAAAATCTAAGACTGAATATATACTACATGAACTTTAATTGCAGTTTTTAAAGAACAGAGAACACAGTTCACTACCTAATATTGGGTAGCACGTTAAAAGGTTAAGAGACCCGACCAAGGTTACAAAGGTAGTAGCTAACCATAGAGTCTAGATATTACAAATGGTCAGTTGCCTCTCTGACCCTATGTTGCGTCTACTTACTAGCTGTGGTAACCTTAGACATGTCACTTAACCCGTTAAGATTATGTATAAAATAAAGGATAAGAGTAATACCTTCAACCATGGAGGATTAAACTAATTACATGTCAAGTGTTTAGCATTACCTATTATGAAGTACTTTGTAATTATTAGTCTTTTTATTTCTAATTATTTCCTTGCTTGGAAAAACAGATTGGTTTCTCCTGAGATCATTCATGGACATATATCTGTTACCACAGAAGACTTGAAATTCAAAAATCATCTTTTTCCCTGTTATAGGCATTGCTCGTTTTCCTTTAGTTTACTCTTAAAATAAATCACACAGATTAAAGACAGGAAGTTCTATAAGGCTTGTTATTAAAATTTCATATTTCCCCACTACACCTCAACTTCACTTCCATAGACAACCATTTTTAATTCTTTCAGCTGAAAAGTTTCCATTCTCTGTATTCCCATGCTCTGTGATTTCAGTTTAGACATTATTTCTTACTAGTTTCCCACCACAGACAAGGAATATCCAGCTTTCACCTTGGTTACACCCCCATTCCTCTCCACTATTTCCTAACCTTTCTGCCTACCAATATGGCCATAACCTGATTTGATTAGTTTTGTGTTTCCATTTACAGCTGGACCATGTAATATACAGGTTGCGCCTTGTTTGCACTGGAAACTTTGTTTTCCCCAGACTTAATTTTCTCTTTACTTACATCTCATTGACCCTTAAACTTAAAAGTTCCCCAATTTTCTTAATACAGTCAACCCAGCAACTATGCTCACCTATTCCAGTGAAGCCTGGCTATTGTCTTGGGATCTCCTCCCACCAACATCTAAACATTTAGCCATTCCTATAAAAGTCTGTTTTCTAGTTTCTAATCTTCATCTGTAGCTCAATTTCTCTTTTCAGTGAAGTACCTCCCTTCAGTAACCTCTCAAAAAGGGTTACAAACTGGCTACTCAGTGCAAAAAGATGTACAGAGTCTAGTTTGTTTTTGAGGTTTTTCAGGTGATCTTTTTTAGTCTCATTCCATTCTTGTAGAATCTCTGAAAGGCTCTAGGACAAAGTAAATCAGGGTGATTTTCAGCTTTCCCCACTGGCTTGGAATTCAATTTTAAGATCTGCCCACCTGCTTTCTAATCTCCAAAAACGGTACTTTTATCTTCTTTTCTCATCTTGGACCCTATAGGCTTCTGGCTTCTTAAAATCCCATCATTGTAGCAGTATTTGGGAAGGAATCAAAGTTGAACGTGTGTATTTAATTTTAGATCTTTTGTTTGTTCCCATTAATAAATTCCATCAATGAAATTTAAAAACTATTGGTGAATCTGTATTACAGACACAGAATACTGAAAGCCAAATAGGGATACATATATGAAGAACTGGCTTTGAGATAATCACAGAAATTGTAGTTTGTCATGTTACAGCCCTGAGGAACTAGAACCAGGCACAGCCTGTAAGAGCTGAAACTGAACAGAAATCAGAAAAGCATGAACAAGCAGAATTTCTCCACTTTCTTCTCCTATTCCTTTGCAATCCATTTAGAGGCCAAAAGTAGGTATCAGGACAAATGGAACAATTCTCGCCTCCTAAAATCTCAAGCATGTCCAGAAACCCAAGAACTGGCCAGGTAACATTGAGGGGTCCAGTAACTACCCAGAACAAGCTGTCAAAGTAGTCAAATGAAACACGTGGTAGGATGAAAATTAATGCCATCATAAATACCCTTCCACATATTCTAAGTTTGAGCTGCTCTTTCAGCAATACCTTCAAGAACACTTTATATTTCTAGTTATTTCCTACTGTTTTTGGTCAAACAGTGCCCTTAAACTTGTCTTCAAAATCCAGTGTTGTTTATTTCCCCCCGTGAAAATAGCATTAAAGTGTCATAGACCAATAAGCTGGAATCAAACCTAAACTTTTTGTGAACAATCTAGACAGACATTAGACTTAACAGAATTAAGATGTAAAACCTTGGAAATTTAAAATAAACAGAAGCATAAATAAGACTCCAGACAGTGTTTTGTAGTCTGGCTTTTTTTTTTTCCCCCTGACTCCTTTATGAGGGAAGAGAGTTCTCCCAGGACTTTTTTCTATCATATTCCAAAAGTGCTATATAACTTGATACCTAGGAGAAAAGAATTACACTCTTTTTCTATATTTTGTTAACTTTAGATCCTGTAAAAACAGAGGGGGATGGAAAAAAGGTATGATACTTACCTAGCCTTCCTCATAAATGCCCAACACCCCTTCCAACTGCCTGTGAAGAGCTTTGAATCTCCAATCTGGCTCGAGTCCTGGCTCTCCATACAACAGAGATGTGAAAGCTCCCATGAACCATGAAGAGTTAAGGAGCATGGAGGCCAATGAATGTGAATCTGGCCTCCCTGAAGGAGCCACCACCACCCTTGGGCTTCAAGGGAGCTACTGGATGATCACTTGTCCCATCAGCCAACCTACCTGTTGATAGATGAGTTCTACAAGTTCTTGCAAAGCATCATCTGTTGTAACCCAGCCATTCAGGGTCTCTGCAAACTGTTCAATTTCGGTTTCAAAACTGCCAGGCTGCTCTGTAAGATGATTCAAAAAATCCTGAACATACTCTGGTAGAGTGGGATAATCCTCACAACCATCTTCATAGGAATCCTATATAGATCAAAAGTTTAAAAAGAAAAAAAAAAGTTTAAGAAGTGTTTTAATCCATGCAACTGGCTAAATAAACCTTATTAAGGCAGTTTTTTTAAGTTTTTATATTTTTAAAGATTTTATTTGACAGAGCAAGAGAGCACAAGCAGGGCAAGCAGCAGAATAAGGAGGAGAAGCAGGCTCCCCAATGAGCAGGGAGCCCATGCGGGGCTCAATCCAGGACTCTGGGATCACTAAGCTGAAGGCAGACCTTCACTGACTGAGCCACCCAGGTGCCCTAAGGCAGCTTTAAGTTGAGAAGTCTCTAGCACAAATGATCCTTTACATGAGAAAATTTGTTCTTTTTCCTCAAAAAAAATTAAGCCCAATGAATCATTCTTTGTTAGCCAACAGCCATAGTGTTACATTATTATTCTATTATAGCAGGACTCCATCTAACTGGGTAGGATATTATCTTCTCATCCTGGCAGATATACCAGACAACTGAGAAAATTTACACTGATATTTCACTGTAATACTAACATCAAAATTAAGATTTTGATTTATGGATACATTTATGGAATATGTGGTAAGGAAGAAGGAGCTAGGGATAACAGAAAAAAGAATGGCCATAGGTAGCAACTGTTGAGGCCATGAGGATTCATTATACCCTTCTTCATACTCTTAGTTTTTTGATAATTTAAAAATTTATTGGAGGGGTGAAGCTAGTAAGGTTTATCATCTGTTAATCCCCAAGGACAGGAAAATATATATATAGTTAAATGACCAGAAAACTTCATGATAATATGCTGTGGCACACTTTGGCTGCCATATCCATGGCAATCTAGCCAGCCTTGATTGTAGTAAGTTTCCAACTCATGTTCTACCACTATTACCTTTGGTAGTTCCCAATCTTTTAATTATTGGCTAGAGGCTGAACAGAGGGAGTACTGCAAAAGATATCAGATCAGATTATCAATTCCTAGACTTGCAATGCCTGGAATACTAACCAAAGCATTCTGAAATTTACTTAACAGCTATGACCTATAGGATTCCCCCCCCCAATATAATTATTATAATTATATTGCTGATTAAATTTACCCTTTTCCAAAAGGAGTCAAATGAGAAACTACATGAAAGAATTATGACAATATATATAGTTATAACATATGACCATTTTATGAAGGGGCTAATAAGTTCTAAAGCCAGTGACTACATAAAGAAAAAATAATCACACCCAGTCCAAACTCTCTTTTGGAAAGCTCCATGTTGAAGGTGAACATATAGTCTTAGTAAAGACTAATAAAGCCAGTTGGTTCTCTACCGTTGGTACTGACCACCATTTTTTTCAGCTGACCACAACTTAGAGACCATGTTACATATTTTTAAATGTATTTCCAGATATTAAAGTGATACTACTTAACACGACTGGCAGCATGTGCTATCAGAGGTGCTAAGGCAATAAGACTAACTTTAGGAATAGCAGATTCACGGGCCCATATTATGCTCACAGTATTTGTGGAGCAGAACAGGTAAACAGATGAAATGCTGGAGCTCAAAACTAAATCCAAATTAAATGACTTCACTCTACGGGTGCCTGGCTGGCTCAGTTGGTAGAGCAAGTGACTCAATCTCAGGGTCATGGGTTTAAGCCCCAACTAACTACAGAAATTACTTGAAAATAATTCAAAAATGACTCTAAAATAAATTGATGAAATTCAAACTTATTCATTATGAACATTACAGCTGTATGATGAGAATTAAATAAGTTAATAAGTAAATGTCTCTGGCCCTGCGACCAGCACATAGTAAGGCATTAAGTAAGCAAATTTTTACATTTCTGGGAAAATACTAAAACGTATTCCAAGTGCCATGGCCACGTTCTCTCTCTCTCTCAAGATTTTATTTATTTATTCATGAGAGATACAGAGAGAAAGAGAGGCAGAGACACAGGCAGAGGGAGAAGCAGGCTCCATGTGGGAGCCTGACACGGGACTCGATCCTGGGTCTCCAGGATCATGCCCTGGGTTGAAGGCGACGCTAAACTGCTGAGCCACCCAGGCTGCCCACGGCCATGTTCTTATACCTAAAGGATTATACCTAAAAGTATCTAAAGAACAGAATGATTAAAAAACCATACTTCTTGGTATGTAGGAGGATAACCCTACATGGCTAATAGCCATCAGTTGCACATAAAATAGGTGAAAGACACTTAAGAGCTCTGCAAGGCTGTCTCAACTCCAAAAAACTTTGAGGTAAACATTGCTATTCCCCTTGCAAACTAAGAAATGAGCATAGAGAAGTCACTTTGGTTACTCATTCAAAACTGTCTGTTGAGTGCCTATTAAGTACCAAATACTGTTCTAGGTACTGGGGATACAGTTTTGGCATGAATAAAGGAGACAAAGTCCTCCTCCAGTGGAGCTTATCATCCATCACAGAAGACATCATTTAGAAGTTAGGATATACTATGAAAAAAAAAAGGGGGGGGCGGTGCTAAACTAATGCAACACGATATGTTAACTTCAGAATTCTTCTCATTGTTTTCTGGTTGTCTTTTTTTTTTTTTTTTAATTCCAGTACGATTAATGTCTGAGACAGAAAGAAAACCAAAAAAACCCAGCCATACAAATATCTGAGGAGAGATAGTCTATGTAGTAGGTTCAATCAGTATGTAGGCCCCAAAAAGAAGAGCTTACCTGACACCTTTGAGAAGGAAAAACCAGAAGGAGAAACTGAGGATGGGGCAATAGCTAACAAGATCAAGGAGCCAGACGGGGAAATGGTAAGGTAGGGTCTTGGGGACTATAGGGAGACTGGCTTGAAAGCCAGTGGAAAAACCATCAGGCAAAGGCACAGCAGGTAGGAACAAGGAAGGACCATGTACCAACTTAATTTGTGCAGTCACACAGAAGTGAGCACAGAACCCTGCACTTCTAACCTCTAGGCTATACTCCCAAGTGACAAAGGATCATAACCCAACCTTGACATAGGTACAAGAATATTCAGTGCCAAAAATCCATCTATCAACAAAGAATGGGTTAACTATACTACCTCATACCCATGTAATGCATCATATAGCCACCTAACAAGATATATTTACATCAATACAGAAATCACCAATATGTTAAAAGAACATAGAATCCTATTTTAGTACAGTTTAATTTTAAGAGATTTAGAGACAACAAAAATCTCTGGAAAGATAGACAAGGAACAGTAGTTAGTTGTGGAGTAAATACTCATTATGAATATTGACCGTTTTTTAATAAAATTGTAAAGCCAGTTAAGCATTATAAAAGCATACATTAAATACACTTCAATATTAGCCAAGTAATGTAAGTTTTAAAAACCAGTTTTTGATATCTAGAGTATTACAGGCTTACAGTATCCTATTAATGGTAAAGAGGAAGGAACACTACAGGTTGCAGCTGAAGGTATTAATTTTGATTTCTATCGAATGTCATTCACCATGGCAAAAATAGGTTGGAATACTGATTTCCAATCTTCTCAATAAAATTAACATTCTTAAGGGGATCCCTGGGTGGCTCAGCGGTTTGGCGCCTGCCTTTGGCCCAGGGCGCGGTCCTGGAGTCCCGGGATTGAGTCCCACGTTGGGCTCCAGGCATAGAGCCTACTTCTCCCTCCTCCTGTCTCTGCCCCCGCCCCCATCACGAATAAGTAAATAAATAACTCTTTAAAAAAAAAAATTAACACTCTTAAGAAAATTTGAAGTCTTGGGGGCACCTGGGTGGCTCAGCTGGTTAAGCATCACTCTTTGATTTTGGCTCCGGTCATGATCTCAGGGTTATGAGACAGAGCTCCATGTTGGAATCTACCCAAATTCTCTTTCTCCCTCTCTCCCTCCTCTGGACCACCCCCTGCACGCCGCAACCCCGCCCCCCCCCCCCCCGCACATGCACACATGCACTCACTAAAATAAATTTAAGAAAAAAAAATTAAAGTCTGAAAGTAAAAAAAGGAAAGTAAAACTGCTCTGATTATAAGCATTACAGGGGATTAATCAAGGAGGTGCTTAGCTGGCTCAGTAGGTACAGCAGGTAACTGGATCTCAGGGTTCTGAGTTCAAGCCTCATGTTGGGTGTAGAGATTGCCAAAAATAAACTACTACAGGGGACTGATCAGAGCCTGTTGTTTCAAGCAAAAAAGGAAGCACAGCATATTGTGGACAGATGAACATGTTTGCATTATTTCTCTAGTACAGATTTTTTTAAAGTACAAATTTCATCAGTCTTCAAAGTGGAGTTTGATGGCTCGCAAGCTGAGGAATATTTACAATTTTAGGTATTTTTCTTCAAAATTCTGACAGGACTTTAAGAGGGGCATCAATTAGAAAATGCACTTTTTCAAAGAAGATACTCAATGTATTGCTAGAGATAAAACCCTAATCCAAAGCAGCAGGAAAAAAGGAAACTGATCAGACAATTAAATGGTGGAATAGTCAAGACTACTTTAGTTAACTGAAGGTGCAAGGGTGTGAAAGAAATGGGAGTCGATATACCATTTTTAGCCCAAACAGCTCCTTAGAATAAAATAAGAGGTTTGCGGAAAATAAATTCTTTTTTATACTTCAGTTTCAACGTGAGATCCTCATGAGCAAGTCAAAACAAATGGAAACACAAGCCAGGAGTTCAGAGGAAGAATTAAATTTCAGATATCAGCAGATAGGTAGGCAACGGTCAAATTCTAGGCAATTGGTAGGATCACTAAGACAGGTAATAAAATGGAAAAAAGGGAAACCTTAGGACGACAGTCTGAGGGAAGAAGGAATGATCTAGAAGTTGGAAGGAAAAAGTACTGCCACAATCCCCAAAGGAACAAGTAAGGAGGTGCTCATAGAAGCAAGCACTACAGAATAATTTTACACGGTGAAATCAGAAAGAACAACGGTTGCAGTCCTGGGAGTGAAAAACTATGCACAGAGAGGAAAACTAAGAGGAGTATCTTAAATACTCAGTTCTTATAAAAATAAGAGAAACTGCTAAAAGGCTGAAAAAGTACCCCTGGTCCCTAGCACAGGACCGGACCTGACACACTGGGACTTGTTAAATTATAGAGATCATACTGTCGTTAAAATCTACTAGGATGACAGTTAAAAGGACAATAGATTTTCAGACCCAAAGAGCGCCAGTAAAGGCCACAAAAATAGTATTTCAATTAGGGGGGGTGGAATCAGCCAGCAGAGGTCTGAACAGTGAGAAGTAAAATACTACTAACAGAATACATGCTGGAGACTATCACTATTGAAAGGTGAAGACAAACAGGCAGTAACTTCAGGGGAATGTTCTTGGAAAAAAGCTGGGACTGTGTGTGTTGGGGGAATTTCTGCCTCTTAATAAATGCTTTATGAAATCCTCTGTAGAATTTTTGGTTCTTGTAGTGAGCTGTGATTAAATATTCATGATGTAATGGTTTACCAGAGAAGCAACAGCCAGGAGTAGTAGATACAGCAACTCCCTGCTATGAAGGCACTGGAAGCAAATTCTAGCAGTGGGATTAAAGGAAGGACTCCAAGACAAGAGGGTTCAGAATTCTGAAAGGGTTAAGAAAGCACAACAAAAGACTATCATAAAGGCTTTTTAGAAAAAAAAGCATGAACTCTGGGGGCACCTGGGTGGTGCAGTCGGTTAAGCAGCTAGCTCTTGGTTTCAGCTCGGGTCCTGAGGTCTAGGTGGGGGGACTGAGCCCTGCGTTGGGCTCTGTGCTCAGTGAAGAGTCTGCTTGGGATTTTCTCCTTCTGCCCCTCTACCCTGCACTCACTCTCCACACTCTTAAATAAATCCTTGGCGGGGGGTGTAAGGAAGCAAAGCATGAACTCTTGAGAACAGACCCAGCTCAAAAACACCCAGATTTTTCTCACATATAAAAGCAGACCTATGGCATTTTTGTCCATTTTGTTCACTGCTGTATCCCGTGCTTGACTCACAGTAAATATCCAACTATCTGTTGAACGAGTGAGTGGATACAGCGAATTTTGGATTCTGGCTACTATACAGAAGAAAAGTTTCCCCTCGCAACAAGACCTACTCCTAAGAGTCAAGGAACAAGCAAGGATGCTGCTATTCTGGGACCAAGCAAACAGAAAAATGCTTACCACTGACAAGGTAAAGGGTAAATGAGTAGACTAGAGCAGGGGTAGTAAGCTTGAAGGATTACAGAATCAAGGTGGATTACAAACAGATGAGGCAAGCCAGTGAGCAATTAGAGTTCACATGTTCCATCTAAAGGGGTTGCCTCTACTCAGCTTCAACCATTTTTGCTCCATCAAAGTAACAGTCTGGGGTTCCTAGGTGGCTCAGCAGGTTAAGCATCTGACTCCATCTCAACTCAGGTCATGATCTCAGGGCCACGAGATCCAGCAGCATTGCCTTGGGCTCCATGCTCAGCTCAGAGTCAGCTTGAGATGCGCTCTCCTTCTTCCTGGGCCCCCAACCCCAGCTGGGGCTCCCGTTCTAAGTAAGTAACAGTCTGGAACAACCACATATTAGGATTTCAGGAGAAACCAGAAAACTCAGATTTGTAACATCTAGTTTAAGTGTTGGTAGCTTATTAAAAAACACTCCTTTGCCCCCCAAAAATCAAACCACCAGGGCCAAAGAAGACACACCTGCAGGCCACACACAAGCCATGGGCTTCCAGTTTGCAATCTGTTCTGGCAGAATGAATGCAGAAGCGGCTGATCTAATAGAGGATATCCAGGAATGCCTAATAGGGGACAGTGACTCTAAGTAAGGGAACATGGCTCAATACACTGCTCTGCAGCCCAGGAGTCACTTGAACTATGCAGAACTATGTAAACTAGTTGGTACAGAACTCTGGAAAAAAAAAAAAAAAAAAACTGTATCCCTATCATAAAATGGCCCAAATGAATAGGGAGACAAACAGAAAAGTTTTATGGCTGTTTGAAAGTAAGTACTCTTTAATAGTTCATTCAACTACTCGCAGCTCTCTAAGCATTCCTTTCCTGAGCCAAATACAACTTTCTGGCAAAAACCCAAGCTGTTCTCACTTCTACTTTACATGACTGACAACCCCTTTCACCCCAAGTCAATTGCTCTTCCTGAATGCCCATACTTTCCCCCTTCCCAGCCCCAAAGCTTTTTCCTACAGCAGTCTAAGATGCACGGAGTTTCTGAAACATGGAATACAGACTTCCTGTACCTTTTCTATCGCCGAAATAAATAAATAAAGCATTGCCCCCCCCCAGCCCCAAGAAGAAACAAAACAGGTGTACCACTGTATAGGTAAATACAAACTAAAACTAGAAGTAGATACCACACACCCAGAATAGCTAAACTTAACAGAAAATTCCAAATGCTGACAGGGAAGCAGAGCAATTAGAAAATACAGAGTGTACACTGGAATAGTCTCTTTGGAAAACTATCTGGCAGTCTCTGGTAGCCAACTTTAATAAAGTTGGCTACCAGGGTAGCTGGCTGGTTCAGTTGGTAGAGCATAACAATCTTGGGGTTGACTTTAAGGCTCATATTAGGTATAGGGGAGGAGTTGGCTACCCTTTGTCTGCATAATTCTACTCCTAGGTATGTACCCAACAGAAAAAAAGGGCATATATCCACCAAGACATGGAAAGACTAGCAGCCCAATTCAAAATAGCCCCAAAATGGACACTACTCAAATGTTTATTAAGAGACAAAAAAGGGGGGGGGGGAAGACAAGTAGGACTGTGATATATCCACACAATGGAATGCTAGAATAAGTCACCTTAACTATGAGCTACATCGATTTAGATGCTGAAAAACAGTGAGACACAAAAAGATATTACTATATGACTCCATTTATACAAACTTTGAAAATATGCAAAACGTCTTAAGCCAAAATAGTAATTAACATAGGAGAATAGTAATGACAGAAGAAATTCTAGAAAGGTTGATAATGTTCCTTTTCTTGATATGGATGCTGGTTGCTTTAGCGTTCACTTTGTAAAACTTAGCTAACCTTTATGTACACTACTCTGTGTTAAATGTCAACAAAACTAGGATTTTAGAAAAGACTTCTGCTAAAGCATCATTTCTTTAACCCTCTAATGGTTCGCGCGCCACTTATCTGCAATCAATTGCTATGCGTTTACCCAGCACGTATTCCTTTCTATATATCCCAAGTGTGCTTTGTGTTTTCTCCCACTTAAGTGTCATCAGTTTTTCAAGTTCTTACATTATTGACAAAGGTGAATCTGAAGGTTTAAAAGTTCTTCTGACCTGTGTAAACATTTTATCAAAACCCCTTGCGTTTCTTCATAACAGAACCGGGAACACTTCTGTTTTAACAGAGCCCAGGTGTGTAACATTCAAAAGCCTTCCTCAAATTAGCTGCAGCAAAACGATGGCTTAATAGACCCTAAGACTACTGATGCATGTTCAGCTATCCCGGTGAAATCAAATTTAAAACCCGCTTTGCCAGGCCACTCTTCTGTAGACTGTCCATGAAGTCTGAACACAAGTTTTAGTTTTGTATGTCGATAGTGCCCTTCACTATATCCTGTATCAGCACAGAAATACTCTACAGGTACTGGAAATACAGCAGTGAAAGGAGTCAAGATCTACTGTCCATTTGGATTCTGATGTTTAGAACATCATAACCACAGAATCTATTCCTGGCTCAGTTTTGTTTCCTCATCAGTGCAAAGAGGAAAATGTTTTTAGGTGTAGCAGAAAGCACCCGCGAGCTGATTAATGAAATAGCGTCATAACCACATTATTCCGGTAGTATGGATTCACGATCGCGGAAAGAAGGCCTACTTACTGTATAATTAGAAGAGTAACCCGATGGGTAAAATTCGGGAGCGTTCGCAGACAGCTTAGACATCAACACAGGAGCTACAGCCACCTGGGGTTTGGCCATTGCCGACTCCAAGTCCTGCGGCGGGATATTATCCTGTGAACTAGGCGCAGCTCTCTGGGGCCTCGTTTGTTCTGAGAAAGGAGAAACGAGGGGTTAGATGCATTCCGTCCTTTGTACCCCAACTTACTATCTGCGGAAGAACCAAAGGAGAAGGGCTGGGTTTTTGTTTTGTTTTGTTTTTTTAAGAGTCCAACAAGCACCGTCACGAATCTTAAGGTGAAAGCCAGGAGAAAGAGAGACAGGAGAGCCTGCCAGGAGGAACAATAGGACCGGCTTTCGCTCATTCACGGTCCTACCTGCCTCCTAAATGAACCAATGCTCGAGGGTTCCTCCTTGCCTTTTTTCCGCTTTTGTGAGGGCGTCGGTTAAAACAGAGGCGGTTGCTCGCCTAAGGTCTCCCTTCCCAGGGCCGGGGGTGGGGGGGTGGAGGGGTGGGGGGTGGGGGGGGGGATCTTCACTTCCTCCCCGGACGGCCGAACTCCGCGGCGGCGCAGGGGCCCCTCCCCCAGCCGGGGCGCACAAAGGGTTCCTGCAGCCGCCTTCTGGAGCCCGCTGCGGGCCCGCCCCCCGGAGCCCCCGGGCCCCTCGGGGATGCTTTCGGGGAACGCGGGGAGGGGGCGGCGCGGCGGCCTCGGCGCGCGCAGGGCCGTGGGGAAGCGTTGGCCCGCGAGGCCGGGGGCCCCGAGAGCGGCTCCGTACCTGGGAGCGCCCCGGGCCGGGGAGGCCTCTGGGGGCCGGCGGGGACCTCGCACTGGGCCCCGGGCGGCGGGGCCGTCCTGGGCTGGCGCAGCGGCGGCGGCTGCAGGTAGCCCGGGGCTTTGGGCTGCGGCGGCGGCCGCTCCGCGGGCCCCGCTCCGTTCGGGAAACCGCCGCCCTCGGGCCCGCCCCCTCCGCGGCCCAGGCCCCGGCTCCGGCCCCGACCAGCACCTGGGGCCCGATCGAAACCGTCCGACATGCTCCTCCGCCGCCGCCGCCGGGGCCGCTGCGCTGCGTCGGGAGGGAGGGAGGGAGGGAGGGACGCGGGGGGAGGCGCCGCGCTCACTCGGGCCTCATGGAGGAGGAGGGCGGCGGGCCGCGCTCGGCTGGCTCCTCGGCGCTGCGGGCGGAGCGCACGGCAGCCGCAGCCCCCGCCGAGCCCGCCGCTCCAGAGCGCCCGCCCCCCGCGGCTGCCCTCCGCTCGCCGATTCTCCCCAAAACCCGGCTCCCCCGCCCCCGGCGCGGCGGCGGGCGCGGCGGCGGGGGCGGCGGCGGGTCACAGCGGCCCCCCGCGGCCCGGAGGCCCCGGGCGCGCCCGCCGCGGCCCAGCAGGCCCGCCCGGCGAACGTGGTGCGGGCGGCCGACAGCGCTGGGCGCCGCGGGGGCCGCGCGGGGCCGGAGAGGGGCCCTTACCCCGGCCGGGCCCGCCCAGCGCGCTGGCTCGCAGGAGACGAGTACGGGGCCGACGGTTGAGGCCCGGAAGATAAAAACACGGGGGGAGGGGGCGTGGAGGCGTGGAGGCAGCGCCGGGGTTCGCGGACGCGCACCTCCGTGGGCGCGCAGGTGTGCTCGGTGGCCCGGCGCCGGCCGAGGCCTGGGCGGGCTCGGGGCAGGCTCCGCCAGCTGCCTCGTTGGCCGCGGCCGGGGAAGGAGGGACGCAGGCCCTGATGCGCCCCCGCCCCCCGGCCCGGGCCCGCAGCCCGCAGCCCGCAGCCCGCAGCAGGTAGTATTCGCCCGCAGAGGTCCTACCTACCGGTGCCCGGGCTCCAGTCTCCTCCCTTTTCCCTTCCCGTCCAGAAGTGCCCGGAAAATGCACTGCCTCTCAATGAAATCCCCCCTCTTTTTCGTCGTCTACTAGTCCTGTCCAATAAAAAAAAATAGAGTGCGAGCCCAAATGCAAGCTACTTACGTAATTACAAATCTTCTAGAAGCCACATTAACGAGGTAAAAAAGAAACAGGTGAGATTATTTTTAACGGTCTATTTTACTTACCCCCAACGGTATCATTTCAACATATAACTAATACGGAAATATTAATGACATGTCCTCCCCTTTTCGGGTACTAATCACCATCCACTGTGTGTTTCACGCTTTGAGCATGTCTCGGAGTTAGGCACGTTTCGAGCGCTCAGCAGGTACACGTGCTTGGCTAATGGCTACCGCATTGGGCAACAAAGTTCTAGATGTTACGTGTAAATTACTGTTTTTGTCTTTTGATTTTGTTTTTTTGGTTTTTTGGTCAGGACGGAAGGTGATAAAGCCAAAAACGAAGGATGAATATAAGTAATGAAAAGAAAAGAATCACTGTATTTACGGTTATATTGAAACATCCTCATAAACTTCGATCGTGACCCTTTGACCCTGACTTCATGTTTTCCAGTCTCCTCTTGAGAATCATTCCAATTAGGATCAAAACTCTTGTTAACCATTTTCTTTGTCCCAATAAACATTAACGTCTCTACCTAAATGAGTGAGAAAAGCGGCTTTACTGAGGGCAATCATAAATAAATGATTAGTGCTGTTGATTGCTGACAAAAAGAATGAAATCGGGGGGGGGGGGGGGGGGGGGGGAGGGGGGGAGGGGGAAGCCAACAAAAAGTATGGTTCCTGGGATCCCTGGGTGGCGCAGCGGTTTGGCGCCTGCCTTTGGCCCAGGACGCGATCCTGGAGACCCGGGATCGAATCCCACGTCGGGCTCCCGGTGCATGGAGCCTGCTTCTCCCTCTGCCTGTGTCTCTGCCTCTCTCTCTCTCTCTCTCTCTGTGTGACTATCATAAATTAAAAAAAGATAAAAGTATGGTTTCTTGGTGTAGAGAAAGAATGTCGGGTTCAAAGTGAGCCAGAGTTTGGTTCCCAGAGTTTTAGATCCTGGCCTTGACCCATAATGCCTTTGTGATCCTGGGTAAGCTAGGGATTTAGCTTCTCTGAGCCTCATTTTCCTCATCTTTCAAATTATATGTTGTAGCACTGAGCCATATGTTACAAAGACAAGATTACATTGTAAAAACTGGATGAGGATAAAATCCCATTCTTTTATGTAGTGGTCAGTCACTTCTTCCCCAGGACTGTTCAATCGGAAACATAAACTGTATACTCAGAAACAGTGAGAGTGAGTTATCCTGATGTTCCACTGAAGTAGACACCCTAACACTGTCCCAGGCTTTTGTTTGCATTCATCTCCCTTTTGTTCTCCTTAGAACTTTGATGATGGCTAGCACTTTGTTTTTATGCCTGAGACATTCTTATTTGAGAATAAATCTACTCTGCATCTATGGTGACATCGGGGTATCTTTATAGCTTCCTTTTGTTAGATAAGGTGGTTAATTGAGATATTATCCTTTGCCTTCTACCAATTTACTGTTACGTAACTTTAGGCCCTATTCTTATCAGATGTGGAAGGTGGCCTTGAGAGATAATATGAATGGATTTAGCTTTGTTTTAACAACACTATAATATGTAGTATGTGCCAGCCACTGTTTCAAGAGCTTTACTTCTATCTTTTTATTTAATCCTCCCATCCTAGGAGATAGGCATTCCAGTTAGCCCCATTTTTACAGAAAAGGGCCAAGATATTGCAAGGCTTATATCCACCTGGGGACTGTTATAGGGCTAAGTGGCAGGTGTGTAGGTATTGCAAAATGCCAAGATGGCAGGGGCACCTGTCTGGCTCAGTAGAACATGCAACTCCTTTTATACATATATAAAATCTGTGTGTATATATATATATATATATGTATGTATATATATATGGAGAGGGAGAGAGAGAGAGAGAGAGAGAGAGGAGGAGGAGAGGGAGAGAAAAAATCTTAAGCAGGCTTGAGCCACCTAGGCGCCTCAGTAGAGCGTGCAACTCTTGATCTTGGGGTTGTAAATTCAAGCCCCACATTGGGGACAGAGATTACTTTAAAAAATGCCAGAAGGTCAGTCACACACCAACATGAGTACCATATAGGACTCTGGAAAGAACTATCCAAAAAGCTGTTTCTCTATATTTACACATTTCTTATTGATTTATGAGGGTAGGGATAAACTTGGGTCATTGGAAAATGTCTTATAATATGCAAAAAGGACTTGCTGTAAACCATGGAAAGGATTTGTTTCCTTAAACTGGTTTTGAAAGATGTTTTCCAGGAAGACTTCTCCAAGCTGTCTAATCTTCGATGCCTCCCTTATGATAGTTATATCTTGGAAAAACTGTGTCTTGGCGTTTAGTATGCTGGATTGTTAATATTTGCTCTATCCTTTATCCTCTTCGTTAAGCTATTTCTGAAGTCAGAGGACACCTTTTTTTAGAGTAAGCTGTACATCCATTGTGGGTCTTGAACTTACATCCCCAAGATCAAGAGTTGAATGCTCTACCAACTGATCCAGTCAGGTACCCCACCCACAGGGCCCTTTTTCATTTCTACAGCCTTAGATCTTAGCCGAGTACTTGGTACCTAATAGGCTTTTAACAGTGATAGGAATCACCTGCAATACAGCTTTTTATTGGTCACCAGAATAATGATGATTAAAACAAAGACTGGTTTTCTCTTATACTTTTTAAAGATTTAAGTTAACAGATGAATATTAAAAAAAAAAAAAAGTAGAAGAAGACTGGTTTTATTTTTTACTTTTTGAAAGATTTAAATTAAGAAATGAATTTTTTTTAAAAAAAAGAAGATTGATTTTCATAAACCTACCATAACTTAATGGCTTCAAGATCATCATTGGGCCATATGAAAGTAGAAAGTGCAGCCTTTCAAGTCCAGCTAATAGAAGAAAGTTTTCATAAATATGGGGGGAAAATATGTGTAAGCCACATACTGACAAAAGACTTCATTCACACTGACCTCTCCCAACACCAGACACAAGGGGCACCTGGTGGCTCAGTTGGTTGGGTGTCCGCCTTCAGCTCAGGTCATGGTCTCAGGGTTCTGCAACTGAGCTTCTTGCCAGGCTCTCTGCTCAGTGGGGAGCCTGCTTTTCCCCGCTAGTCCTTCCCTCCACCTTGCCTATGCACTCTCTCTCTCTCTCAAATAAATAAATAAATAAATAGATAGATAGATAGATAGATAGATAAATAAATAAAAATATTTTTTAAAAAAAGACTTGTATCTAGAATATATGAAAAACTCTCAAACCCCAACTGTGAAAGAATAATCCAGTTAGGAAATGGGCAAAATACATGAACAGACATTTCACTGAAGAGAAAGTACAGATGGCATTTAAGCCCATAGGGGAAAAATGTTCAACATCATTAGCTTTCAGGTAAATGAAAATTAAAACCCAAATGAGATTTCACTATCTACTTATCATAATGGCTAAAGTAGAAAATAGTGACAACACCAAATGCTAGAGAAACTAGAAACAGAGTCACTCGTACATTGCTGGTGGGAATATAAAATGGTATAATTATTCTAGAAACTAGTTTCTGGTAGTTTCCTTTAAAACTATATGACTATACAACCCAGAAATTGCATTTTGGGGAGAGCCATCTGATTTACTCAGTCTACTGATCTGAATGCTAATCTCTCCCAGGAGCACCCTTACAGACATGCCCAGATATAATATTTGGCCAAATATCTGGCCATCCCATGGACCAAAGTGTCCTCTTATCCAGTGAGGGCCTAAAGAGAGCAACAAGGAAAAGGAAGGGAGAATGACATCACCCTATCTGATTTGCTTGGGCTAGGACATTGGTCTTCTGGCCTTGGACTGAAACTTAAACCATCTGTGCTCTGGTTTTCAGGCCTTCAGATGTGGACTGGAACTACACCACTAGCTTTCCTGGGTCCCCAGCTTGCAAACAGCAAATCATAGCTCTTTTCAGCCTTCAAAATCATGGGAGACAAATCTGAGGATTGGTTTTGAATATTAAGATACCATGGAATTTGCTAGTAGGTTTCAGATTTACTTAGGATCTGTCACCCCTCCTTTTCTATTTCCCTTTTGAAATGGGAATGTCTGTCCTATGCCTGTCCCATCATTGTATTTTGGAAGCACACAACTGGTTTC